TTAACTTTTCCCTCCGAGTGAGTCAAATTAATCATCGGAGTGTCAATTTATCCCTCCGAGATTGTTACGAAAAACTTAACCTTAAATATAGTCTGTTAGTCCCTCCAGATAGTTAGTTGAATACTCCAGTTTTCTCCGTGTGAAAATAATTGAATTTCGAATAAAAATTTTATTTTCTTAAAGATAATTGAAATTTTGACGAGAATTTTTTGTCAATTTTTGAACATAATTGAATTTCTGCGAAGAATTATATTAGTTTTGAAAATAATTGAATTCTTGAGACGAATTTTATTAAAATTTCTTTTTAAATAATTGAATTCTTTTGGTGAATTTTAATAAAAATAAAAATAAAACGAATTTTATTATTTGTGAGAATAATTAAATTTTTGCGTAGAACTTTATTAAAATTTTTTTTAAGTAATTGAATTCTTTTGGAAAATTTTATTAAAGTAGCAGATATTAAAAATCATTGAATTGAGGATATTTTTTGAAAATAATTGAAATTTTGCCAAGAATTTTATTAAAATTTTTGAAAATAATTGAGTTTCTGAGAAAAGTTTTACTATTTTTGGAAATTTATTGAATTTCTGCAATCATTTATAATTGCTCTAAATTTCAATATTTCTTTTAGTGTTTTGAACTAAAATTCTTTTATAAACCCATTATTTTAATCAATTAAATAAATATAAAAAAAATTTAATTAATTTTTAAAGAATTGGAATTATTAAAATTTTTCAAAAATCTACGTTCTTTTAAGATTTCTAAAGAAATTTATTCAAAATTGAACTTTTACAAAATTCTAAATTAAAACCTTTTGAAGTTCATCTACTTATGAAAATTGTAAACGCAACTTTTTTAAAATTGAATTACTTTTGAAATATAAAGTTAAATTAGATTTGAAGAATAAACACAATAACTTTAGAAAAGAACAATTTTCCAGGATTTAGATCAAAATTCCCTGACTTTTCCAGGTTTTAACCAAATTTATAAAATTTCCTGATATTTCCAGGTTTTCAGGTTTAGTGGCAACCCTAAAGTATTTGCAAATATATTTTTCAAAACGAAAATTATTATCACAACAGTGAATAATAGTATAATAATTAAAGAGTTGTTGATGGTAAATGGTTAATTCTTAAAAGTGTAAAAATAATGAAGAATAAATGAATATTTAATGTCTTCTTCGAAAGTTAAAAAAGTCAGCTCTGAAAGCTTTTGCTTTACCAAATAAGGAAAAATTTCTCTTTAACTACAGTCTTTCTAAATGCTCTTAATCCAAATTGAAAAATAATACCGTTCCTTTTCTTATGGAGAGCGTATATATTCTCTTCGCAGATTCTATATACATATATACATTGAAATTTAAATACTTTGAATGTAAAAGAAGCAAAAAAAACCAGGTTTGCTGTTTCTTTTGCTCGACGATAAGGGGCAAATTTTTTTTCTCACCTTTTTGTCATTATATATCATCGACTTCATGAGACTTGCGCGTCTTTTCTTGTGAACAAAAGTTTCATTAATTTTGCATTAAACTATATTTTATCGCCTAAAGGTTTAAACTCATCGTTTAACATATACATTTTCGTACTAAAACTCTTCGCGCACCAATATTATATAATGGTTATGCCAAGAGTTAGCCACCACTTTAGAGTTTCAACTATGAAACACTAAACGACTTTAGAGAGAATAACTCGAATTCACGCTTTTTCTCGAAAAAGTTCAGTTTAAATGTTAAACTATTTTTTTTCGCTATTTCTAAACTGATTGTTTTTCTATTTATATTTATGTAAAAAATATATTCCAAATTCAGAGCACTATAAATCTCTTAAAATTTAATTCTAAAATACTTGATTTAAATCAGGGGAATAGCAGAGAAACTTGAAGATTTAAATGTGATGTAAAATCTTGTTATTTAGAATGTAGCCGAAAAAGATAATTTAATGAAAATTTCCAAACAATTTAATGGAAAATAAAGACCGAGAAGGGTCGTAATTTGCCAATGAGAAGTCTAGAAAGTACCGCATGAGAGACTACCACTTTTCACCTTGCAGTGAATTCTTGGCTGTTACTTCTTAGGGACTCTGTAATAAAAGCAGTAATGTCAGCTTAACCTTATCCTCCTCTACGAGAAAAGGGAGTAACTGTTATCTTAAGACACTGAGAATAGGGGTAAGAACAAACAAACGAAAAAAAGAGAAAGAAAAGGATCTGTTTTTTTTTCTTAAAGAACAACGAAACATAAATATTACTCAACGGCAAAAAAATTCCCTCTTATTTCACATCATCAGAAAGCGGAGGGGAAAAAAAAGTAATTTACATTGTTTCACTTTTTTTGAATAGCAAATACAGTATAGCAAATACGATACCTAGATCTTGTAATATTCTCTTTGCGAGGATTGCAAACCGTTGTTCAGTGATGTGATAAGGCCGCGAGTTCAACTTCTTGCAAGATGCTAATCTTTATCCACTAACAAAACACGTGACTATTCTCTTAGAGTAGATAATGTTAGAATATAGGAGCGCATTATATGGAGCGGCAGAAACATAAATTTGTGGAATTGAGAAATATTTTCAAATTTTGAGAAATGGGATTTTCATTTTCATTTTCTACTTGACTTATTAGTACAAATACTAATTTGTACTATTTATAAATACAAATTTGTACTATATACAAATACAAATTTGTACTATTTACAAATACTAATTGTACTGATCAAACAAGAAATGACGCAACTTTTTTTATATTTGCAAATACTTGTGTTAACTCAGGATTGCCACAAAAATTTAATTTTGACTTTCCCTGACTTTTCCCTGATTTCCAGACAAAATTATTACTTTTTCTCTGACTCTGAAAAATATTCTAACCTTCTGAAATTCAATAACGTATGAGAATATTATTATAAAACATGAAGATATTGATAACTCCGAGTCTTCTACTCGAAGTGATCGATTTCTTCATGTTTAATAATAAATAAATAATAATAATTAATTAATAATAATAAAAAAAATAAAAATTAAAAAATTAAAAAATAAATTAATAAAATAATAAATTTAAGATGACAGAGAGATAAAATCATTATTTTATATCATAAGAATATTGTAACTATAAATTCAAATTTTCAAAGATTTTAATTTAAACCCTTTTCGAAAATTCAATTATTTCTAAAAATTCACGCTATAATGCTTTTAATATTCAATTATAATTGAAAACTTTAAGTAAAATTCTTTTTTAATCAATTTTTATAAGAAAAATTTTTTGAAATTCAATTATTTAATTAGAAAGATAAATCATTTATTAAATAATTGAATATTTCTTAAAATTGAATTTGTATGAAGAATTTTATCAAAATTTTTAAAAATAATTGAATTTTTCCGGCGAATTTTAAAAGTAATTTTAAGAATAAATGCAATTTTCTATCAGTTTATTTAAAATTGTATAAAAAATAATTTGAATTCTGCGATAAGTTTTATTATTTATGAAAATAATTGAATTCTTGCAACAAATTTTATTAAAAAAATTTTTTAAAGAATTGAATTCCAGAGAAAAATATTATTATTTATGAAACTAAGTAATTTCTTGTGAAGAATTTTATTCAAATTTTTTTAAATAATTGAATTTCTCAGAATTTTTTTAAACTTTTTGAAAATAATTAAATTTTATTGAGAAATTTCAATTTATTTCAATAAAAAATTGAAAATAAATTAAATCTAACGAAGAATTTTATTAAATTTCTTTTTAAATAATTGAATTTCTGTGAAAAATTTTATTTTTGAAAAGAATTGAATTCTTGGGAAGAATTTTATTAAAATTTCATAAGTAATTGAATTGCTTCGAAGAATTTTATTTTTTTTACGAAAATAATTGAATTGTATAGGAAAATTTTATTAAAATTGCAATTTTTTTAACTACATCTTGTAAAGAATTTTTTTAAATAATTGAATTTCTCAGAATTTTAAACAAATTTTTTAAAATAATAAATTTTTTTAAGAAATTTAATTAAAAAACTGAAAATAATTTAAATCTGACGAAGAATTTCATATTTTACGAAAATAATTGAATGGTTTCAAAGATTTTTGCAAAAATTTTTGACAATAATTGAATTCTTAGAGGAAAAGTGTTACATATTTTACGAAAATAATTGTAGTCTATGATCAATTTTATTATAATTATTCAAATTTATGAAGCATATTAACAAAATTTTTTTAAATAATTAAGTTTTTGAAAAAAATTTTGTTATTTATGAAAATAATTGAATTCTTAAAAAAAAATTGTATAAAAAATAATTGAATTGTATAGGAAAATTCTATTAAAATTGCAATTTTATTAACTACGTCTTGTATTTAAATTTTTCGAAATAATTGAATTGGTGCGAAGAAATTTATAAAAAATTGGTTAATAATTGAATTCCTATGAAATATTTATTAAAATTTGGTTTAAATAATTGAATTTTATTCTTTTGGAAAATTTTATTAAAATAGATATTAAAAATAATTGAATTTCTATAATCAGTTGTTCTTAAAATCTCTATTTAAAATTTTTAATTCATTAAAAATTGATATTTTCTAAAATTTCAAATTGAAACCTTTGAAGTTCATCTATTTATGAAGATTGTAAATGCAACTCTTTTGAAATTCAATTAATTTTGTAATTTATTTTAAGTAAAATTATTCATTAAATAATTTGTAAGTAATAATTTTATGATAATTCTTCAAGAGTTAAATTATTTAAAAAGAAATTATTTTAAGAAATAGAAAAAATTGAAGGTTTTGTATTAGAATTATTGGAAATTTCATAGTTTATGAAACAAACAAAAGACACCAAAATTCAGATTTTTCTTATAAATTCTAAAAATTTAATATTTTTTAGTACTTTTAATAAATATCCCTGACTTTTTCCTGATTTTCCTGACCAATTCTAATTTCCCCTGCTTTTCCTGAATTCCCTGATCTTTGGCAACTCTAAAAATATTCTAAAAGTTATGTATAATAATGAAAAGACTTACCGAAAGATGATTTCGATGATGGGCGATGATTTAAGCTTTTCCTTCAACATCCTTGTAATAATTAATCCTTGCCATAAAATTTTAATCCAAATATTGTCTTTTGTTTTATGCAGCTTCATTTTTGTTGTCATTCCATCCATGTTTTTATAATATCCACATGTTGTATTTATTTTAAGTAAATCCTTGTCACAGAAAGTTCCAAAATCATGTCTGAAAAAAAATAAAATAGGGTTATTAACTTCTACACTTCAAATTAATTCGATTTACTTAAATTTGACAGATTTAATTAAAACTTGTTTCACTACAACTTTATTAGAGTTTATACGTAAATAAAGGATATTAATATTTTCATATTCTTTTTTTATTATTTAAAAAATTCTAATATACTTATTCTTGTTATTGACAAGCTATATACAAAATAAAATTTTAATTTTACGAAATATTTTTTAAAACAATATTTAGCCGAAATATTTTTTAAATTAACTTCTTTTATATTGCCTAATAAAATAATATTTTAATTTTACGTTTTAATAAAAACTATACTTTTAATAATATTCAAAATTATATACTCTAAAAAGTCATTATAATATCCACCGCTTTATTTTTATATTAATTGAAGTATTTAACGCAGAAAATTAATTAAAGCACCAGAATATTTTTGAAAGTAACTTCTTCGAATAAAATAACAATATTGTTATTTTATTTTTAGTTACCAATAAAAAAGAAACAAAAATTTGCATTAATATTTTAAAAATAACCACAAAAAATCTCAAGGTACCCCCATAAATACTCTCACCTAAAATTATCTACATCTTGTGATAATTTTCATCATCTGAACATCTGTATATTTATACAAGAAAACAATATGTGAATTATAATTATAGTATAGTACATTTAGCGTTCGATAACCCATTCTCCACACAGAGTCTGGGAAAACGTGAAATACTATGCAGAGAATGAGTGCCACAAACATATATACAAGACACTCACATGAATATATTTTGCATCGGAGAAAAGCAGCAGCGCAACACTGCCAGCAAGTGTATTCTGAGCAGACTTTGTATAACGCATGCGCCACAATGTGTCCTTGTCGTCGTGAAAGCGTATACGACGCTCTTCCACCGAATATGTCTCATATTGTATAGTAATTTACAAAGATTCAATAATGTATAACAATTAATACAAAACATTATTGTACACATTGCTCAAATGTACATGTAATTATTACCAGATAAGTGTGTTAAATACTCGTATACAGCAGAAACAGATTGATATCATTTTTTAGCAGTAAATTTAGTGGTGATTTTCAGAGAAAACGATTTAGAATAAATAGAAAACGTGGTCAGGGCGGCCATTGCCATTCTTGTTGACACTTTTAACTATACGCGAAAAAAATACAAGTAAGTAAACTTTATAATCATAGGTTAGAAAAAATGTACTTGCATAATAATGATAACAAGACAATTATTATTTATTTATTCTCTTAAATTCTTACACTAAAAAAAATTTATTTGATTCAAATAGCTGATTAATTGACTATTATCAATTAAATATTTATTTGAATCAAATTTTTTTTAGTGTACTTTCTTAATTATTTTCAAATGTATTAGAATTATTCTTTTAAAATTAAACTTTTTTGTATTAATTGTTATACATTATTTAAGAAAATAAGTATCAAATTTTCTAAAAGTATTTTAGAATTTGAGGGAATTGATAATATTTTTCGTTTTAATTTATTTAGAATTATTTAATAAATTAATCAAATTTTAATATACCTAACTTTATTAAATTTCTTCTAAATTTTCTTTTTTTTTCAATAAAAAATTTGTCTTTGTCTCATTTTCTCCCCAAAAATAAATGTAATATTTAATAAATTTGTATTTTTTAATAATTATAAAAAAATTTACTAAATTTCTTATAATTTCATCTAAATTTTTCGTATTTTTTGTACAAAAAATTTTGCTTTATCTCATTTTTCACCCTCAAAATTGTAAAATACTTTTATAAAATTTTTTATTTATTTTCTTCCCGTGAGATAGCAATTCAATTATAAGATTTTACAAATTGAAATTAAATTATTTTTAAATTACTGTTTTTTCAAAATACAAACTATTTAATCTAAAACAAATTTTTTTGTCTTTCAGATTTGCAGACGATTTCATTTAAAAAGATTCCTCGAAAATAGAATTAAAACTAAATGGATGAGATTAATGTGAGTAAACGTTTTTAATTTACTTTCCATTTACAATTTTAATCCTTTTAAAATTAAATATGTTTTTTGTAAATAAAATTTTCGGTAAATAAGAATATTAATTTTCTTTTTGAAATGCAAAGTTTTTTCAGTTAATTCCGGACGTTACTATAATAGATCCGTTGAGTATAAAATCGGAAGTAAAGGATGAAAATGATTCGTTTGAATCAAATGAATTGAACTTATGCGACATTGTAAGCGAAACAAATTTCAATGAAGGGACATCGAATAAAAATGGAATAAGAATCATCGATGCTTCTGTGAGTTTACATTTTTTATCGCGCAATAATATTATAATTTTAATAATAATTGTAATAATAATAATTATAGTGCCTAATAGCAGTAATAAATTTTTTACAACTTAAATAAATAAATAATAATAATGTAAACATTTTTCAGAATTTACAGATTATTACACAAGCTACTTCAACTCCTCCTGCAAAACCTAAGCAATCTAACAAAAGGCCTTCGGGGCAATCGACATTCTTTGTCAGGTGTCCAACTACCGAGTCCAGTACAATTAGAGAATCGGTAATAAAATCTTTGTTTAAAAAATGTTAACTATTAATATTTATTAACTAAATAGCTCATTGTTAGCAATAAAATTGAATTTTAAACAATCAGAATTATTCTTATTACACAAAAAAAATTTTTCAGGAATTGGAAATAGCCCTAAAAAAAAGTGGCGATGGGAAAATAGTTAAAAGATCCTACATAACAAATGGGGGATTTCTACCCGACACTGTTCGATCAATTCTCGTCCATCTTATCATTAAATACGAAATGGACAAAGCTTTGGCAACTTTATCCGACGATGGCTGTGATAAATTAACTGAATTCGTGTAAGAAAAAATCATTTTGTTTTGAAAAAATATTAAATTATTTGAAAATATTAAATTACCAATTAATAATTTCTTATTTTTTTCACAGAATAACTTCATCTCAAATGTCAGCATACGCGAATGATATCGTCCGAATATTTCCGAGTGAAAAGGCCGAAACGTATTTTGGCGGTTTTAGAACTGTAAATGGAGTGAGAATTTTGGCGAATGGAAAATTATGGGATCATTATAATTATATGAAATCAGTTTTAAGAGAACAGGGTTTACTTGAAGGGCGAAAATTGAAAAGAAAAAAAGTCGAAATTACGTACGAAATAGATGGTGAGTATTTTTGTCTTAACACTCTCAAGATGATAGTAAATTATTTTCAAACATTAAATCAAATTCCTTTTTTTTCTCCTCTTTAGAAAAAACACAGAATAAATTAAACTGGTTGAAGAACAATTCGGAACCATGGTCGGAAGTTTTTCTACAATGGACTGAAACTTTCTCAGCAAGAACAAAAGGTCATTCAGAGCTCGAAACAAGACAACTATCTGAATATTTTCAAAAATACCCTTGTCTTCGAGATAATCAAGCAATTGTTTTGGTAATTTATTTTTTTTTTAAAACTTCTTAATAAAAAAATACTTCTTATTAAAAAAGGACTTCTTAATAAATAAGCAAATTCTTATTCTTGTTATTATTTGTACTTTTACAATATTTTTTTATTTATGCTTTCTGTGTTCGTTTTTCAGATTCAAAATGATTACGAAAAATTGTACAAGAAAAAACTTTTCAACATTGGAGATACATGGAGTAAAATAAAGGGGCATTTGATTTTAAAATTGCAACAATGCAAGGGAATCAAGACTCTGGATGACAAAGCATATGTTCATTTGTTACCATCCTTAACTTCGGGTGAATATAATATATAAAATTCAATTTTAAAAATAGGACTTTAACTTTATACCGAAAACTTATTATAGTTTCAATCCCGAAAATGCCTTTATTTCATTCGATTGATTAAAAATTCTAATTTTAAAAAAACTCTCGTTTTCACACTTTGCGAGATTGGAACTCAATATTTTTTAGTTGTAAAGTTAAAGTCCGAGTGCTTTTTAGTTCCAAGTTTTTTCCACTTAAAAACAAGATGGAAATTAAGAACATTTTCTAATAATAAAAATGTATTTTAAATTCTCAGAACAACAGGATGGTGTGATTCTTTTCTTGCTTCCCTTTTTGGTGCCAAATGGGCGCAAAAAGAGACGAAATGACGATGAAGAATCAAGGAAAATGTCCCCGACCGAAAGAAGAGACACTTTCATCATTTACGTTGCAGTAAGAATTAAAACAAAAAAATATTAATAACAAAAAAAAGAAAATTTTCTAAATTAAAATTTTGATAACGGTCATTTTTTCGGAGAATTTTAGAGAAATTACAAATAATTGCAGAAATTCGATTATTCAATGATTTTTAATATCTACTTAAATAAAATTTTCCAAAAGAATTAAATTATTTATAAAGAAATTTAATAAAATTCTACGCAAACCTTTAATTATTTTCATAAAAAAATTTAAATTTCACAGGAATTCAATTATTTTCAAATTTTTTATAAATTTCTTCGCAAATATTCAATTATTTCGATATCGATATCTTCATGTTTTATAGTTATGAAAAAATTTAATGTATAGTTTTAAGTAATTAATTAAATTAAATTAATTAAATATTGAATTAAATTAAATTAATTAAATATTAAAAAATTATAACAAATTTTGTATCATTTGCAGCATGAAGATGAAGTAGACGTGAGATTAGAACAAAAGCGAATGGAACTAAGAAATTGTGGTCGAATTTTACATCCAACATTAGTTGGTGTTGGGACAAAAATGGGAGTAACTAAATCTTTTGTGGCAGTTGATGATGTTAAATACGAGGTATCATCGCTATTAAGCGCTATTGATTTGGCTTTCAAAATTTACTATACAGCTCACTGTGATTTTCCCGAGAGCTGTCACAGTATTTGGCTTTTTATCCAAAAAGCAATATTCGATATTCATTATCCAACCGACAGAGCCAATCCTGCATTACACGCCTTAGCTGGCGAAATAAGAAGAATCGCCGACTCACAAACGAATTAAAATTAACAATTTTTCGTTAAAAACAACGCCTTTCGAAATGACAAAGTCAAGATATTTAAATATTTTCTAAACTCGAGCAAAAATTTCACTTGACGCAAACAAAAACTTGAAAATATTTATTTTCTTTTCTATGAATAATTTTACTTATTTAAAATTTTCAGTTTTCTAATTAATCAGTATTCACTTCAAGTAAATAATTTATCAATTACTGTATAATTAGTAAACAACTTTTAATTTTCAATAAGTAAAATTTCACTTAAGTTCTGTCAATTAATTTCTGTCAATTTTTTCACTTAAGTTTTTGTCTATTTTTTTGTTAAGCAATTGATAATACTTCTCGAAATTATCAAATTTTCTTTTTTGTTTGCAAATATTACTTTTTGGAAATTATTACTTTAATTTGAGCAATTAAAATTATCAGTAGTAAAAAATACTTTCAAATTCAGTTTTCTTTAGTCAAAATAATATTCGATAAGACGAATTCAGAAAGTATTTAATCACCTTCACGAAAATATACATTACTACGAAAAATATTCACACTCTGTTTTCGAATTAAACAGTATTATAGTTTTGTATAAATAGATTAATAAAAAATACGTTTCTACTGTTGAAATCTAAATCCAATTCTTTTCCCTCAAGGTCGAAACTTTTTTTCAAATTTCCCCAATTATCAAATATCAAATAAATAATAAACATTGAAATTTAATTACATTAACCTGTTAGTCGACAAAAATTTGAATTAATTATCAACTAAACAATTTTAATGCAATAAACTTCACTTCATTAAATAAATGCGAGGAAATAAAAAAAATTTCGACCGTGACAGGACTCGAACCTGCAATCTTCGGATCCGAAGTCCGACGCCTTATCCATTAGGCCACACGGTCAGTTGATGGCAAAATTGTTAGAACCGCAGACGAGGCCAAAAAGGGTATATCGCAAATTAATGACTCATTTCCGGGGGTTATTTATAATTTAAAAATTTTTAAATGATTACTCGCAATTTTTCACGTTCCTCACGAGTGTATTCATTTACTCGTTTTACAACTCATGTATTTTATTAGTCCATTTTTGCGCAGGTGTCAGGAATGAGCCTCATTTTTCTGAATATATTCACACGACTCTGACATATAAAAACTTATCACAAATACGTACATTCGTTTTGTTATGTGATAAATGCCAGACATAAATTTACATTTCCTTAAATTCGTCAACTTGCACAAAAAAAAATAAGAAAAAAAATGGGTGAATAAAAAGCGTAACTCCCCTGTCTTAAATCTAAACGTAAAAAACTTACAGTAAAGAAAAACCTTGAATAATTTTATCATTTCATAAAATATAAAGCTAGAATTTGTATATTTTTTGTTACTTTTTTCTTGACACAATAAAATCGAAATCAAAAAGAAATTTTCTTTTATGAAAGATTCTCCTTTGATACGAAAGGATTTATTTAGGTAATGTATATTTTTTATTTCACCCTCGTTTTTTGCATGTGTGAAAAATAAGAAAAACTTTCGAAAATTTTACAATTGTTTTCTTCTACAAAATGTGTTTCACATTTTAAAATTTATTTCTTTTACATTTTAACACAATGAAGTTAAACATTAGTATTATTTACTCAAAATTAAATAAAATAAAATTCACTAAAATTTATTTGATTCAAATATTTACTTCAAAGATTAGAATTTAAAAATCTTTTGAAATTTAATTATTTCTAAAAATTCATAATATAACAATTCTAATATTTAATAATGAACTAAATTTTTAATTGAAATTCAATTTTAAATCAATTCTTCTTAGAAAGTTCTAAAAAACTCCAATTATTTAAATATAAAAATAAATAATTTATTGAATAATTGAATATTTCTTAAAATTAAATTAAATTAAATTCTTAAAATTGAATTGAATTCTGAAGAATTTTATCAAAATTTCTTAAAATAATAATTGAATTCTTTCGAAGAATTTTAATAACAATTTAAAAAATAATTGCATTTTTCGAGGAATTCATTATTTAAAAATTGTATAAAACATGATTTAAATTCTGTAAAACGTATCATTATTTATAAAAATAATTTAAGTCATTGTAAAGAATAAAATTTTTTAAATAGTTGATTTTGTTATAAAAATCTTATGAAAATTTTATTTTTAGTCATTTAATTCGTGTAAAAATTTTATTATCTATATGAAAATAATTAAACTGCTGCGAAGAAGTTTATTAAAATTATATTCAAAATAATTGAATTTATCTAAAGTATTTTATTATTCATAAAAATAATTGAATTCCAGCGAAGAATTTTATTATTTACTTGAATAATTGAATTCTTACAAATTTTTTTGACGAATTTAATTAAAATCTTATTGAAAAAAATTCAATTGAGGGCCTGCATACAATAACAACCGCTGCGCTTGGTTGTAGGGGATAGTACCAGTCAGGTAGCAGTGAACGGCCCAGAGACTCTCACTGCTGTCTGGCTGGTATTATCCCCTACAACCAAGCGCAGCGGTTGTTATTGTATGCAGGCCCTCAATTCTTATATATAGAATTTTATTAGAATAATTTTTAAAAATAATTGAATTTCTGCGAAGAGCTTTAAAATTTTCAAATAATAATTGAATTCCCGAGAAGAATTTTATAAAAATCTTTTTTTAAATAATTGATTTTTGTCGAAATACTTCAATGAAAATTGTATTTTAATTTTTAAATAATTGAATTCCTGTAAAAATTTTATTATTTATGAAAATAATTGAACGTTTACAAAGAATTTTCTTAAGATTCTTTTAAATAATTGAATTCTTTTCGGAAATTTGAGTAAATAATAGTAGATATTTAAAATAATTGAATTTATGAGAAGATTTTCAGTTATTTGAATCAAATAAATTTTTTTCAGTGTAAAGGTTTAATTTGAATAATATTCAATAATTAGGCGAAACCAAATTATAAAAAGACAAATTGTGCTAAAAGATTGTACATTAGAAGAAATTTAATTGATTTAAATGACCGATTACTCGTCTATCAAATAAATATTTACTTGAATCAAATAAATTGTGTTTGAATCAGTAATTTCAGTATTTGATTAAAATTTCAGTATTTGATCAAATAATTTCAGCATTCGAACCAATAATATTTTAGTATTTGAAACAAATACGATTTAACTGATGTAAATAAAAATTAATAATAATTTAAAATATTTTTTAATAAAACTTTGATTCAAGTAAATATTTATTTGATAATACACAAGTAATTGGTTTATTATAATGAAATAAATTTTCGTTTTACTGTAAGTATAGATTATCGATTTGTTGCGGATTGAAAATGAAAAGAAGAAAACATTATTACAGGACACAACTACACAACTGTTTTCAATATATATCTTTATCTAACTTTACCGCTATATGCAAACAAATGAAGAGATTTTGAAACGTGACGTTAATTACCGTTCCGATGAACCCTTCCAGTCGACCGGAAAATAACGAAAAGCCAAATCCTCGCATTAACAGGATAACTATCCTGGTGGTAGCAACAGCAATGATCGGGGATGAGGAAAGGGTCAGACGCGATACTATAATCATTATCGTCGAAATTCACTATACATCTATATACGAGAGAGCATGCTTTCTCTCTCTCTAACAACGTCATCCTCATCGGCTTTGACATTCGCTTATTATGTTTTAGATGTGTGTTTGAACTCTAGAATCAATTGCGTTACAGATTACTGAATTTGATTGGATTCTGAATTTCTGGTTAAGCTTAATTTATTACACTCACATCCGCTAATATTTATAGAAGAGGGTTGTATCAAATGCGTATAGACAAAACTAATTAATTTATTGTATTTATAAGAAATACGGTGTATGGCTCGCAATAAAACTCATTAATTATCGAATTCTCTTCAACATTATAATAATAATTGAAGAGGATTCAAATAAAAATGTTTTGATTCATTGGTCCTTTTCTCATCCCCGCAAGGCGCAAGCATTGCTTTAGCTACCTGTCGTAATAAAAAAATTTTTTTTTGTGTCTGAGAATTATTTTAAGACCCATAATTTTTCTTGTACATTACGGCGGGAAAGTAGTTGTGGCAAAAATTAGTTATTAAATCAAATAAATGTTTAATTGTCTGCTTAAAATTTGTTTGATTTAAAAATTACTAAATTAACGAAGTGATTTATGTTCTCAACAAAACTTTTTTATTTTTAGAAATATTGACAAAATTATTGTTGTGGTAAATATGAATAAATTGTAAGGCAATTATAAAAATATTATAAATAATTATAAAATAATTTTATAATTTTGAATTTTTGGAATATATTTTTTTTAATAAAATCCAATATGAAAATATCTATTTTCGAAAAATATTCACCTTCTAAAATATATTTTTCTAAACAATAATTTCTGAGTATATTTTTTTGGTCTTTTATTTCATTTACAAAATCATTTTTACAAATGCCTCGTGAATTTAATTTTATTCATCTCTTTTTAAAGAGGAATCGTACAAAAAATAAAATTAATAAATTAGTCAAAAATTTTCATAATTATAAATCAAACATCAGTTTATAATTAAATAATATTTTACGCTTTTCAATTGTAAATAGCTTTTGATTTGAAAATACGGATTTCGACTAATAATTTTTAATTTTGCTTTGCATCAAATTCCTCATTAATATGTTTTAATATTATTATTGTTTTCAAAATCAAAATTTTTCTCTCAATATATTCACAATATGTTGAAAATATAATTTTCATAGTATTTTTCACAACATCAATTTTCAGTAAATTATTATAATAATAAAATATCGTCAAGTTTGGATAAATATTTTTTAGAAGTTAATTTTTTTTTGTAGAAAATATAAGTTTAGAAAATTTATTAAAAAAAGTTATTCATTATAAAACAAAAATTAGAAAATGTATTTTAGAAAAATTTTATTATTGCCTGCAATATTAATATTAAATAAACAATAAATATTATAAAATATTCTCAAAAATCGGATCTTCAATTGGCAAAATTATTTAAACATTTTGCACAAATTTCTATTGCAGTTAAATTTTTCTTTCGAGTTTGGAAATGATTTTGTGGCTCATATTTAATTTTATATTACGCGATTTTTGTATTATTACTAATATTGTTGAGAACTTAAACTTTTAGTAAATTTTTCTAGTAATAACCCTAATATAATTAAGTTATTCACAGTACCTTTATATCCATGAAATCGTATATTGATAATTATAATTAAAACTCCTTCATATCCATGAAATTGAAAATTGGTAATTATACTGCAAAATTCCTTCACTTCCATAAAATTGAAAATAGATAATATCCAAAATAAGTTCAATTCTTATAATCCATCCATCATTATACTAAATATCTGAAAAAATTATAATAAAATTAGTACAATTCTTCACTTCAAATACAATTATTTTAAATATTTACACTACTTTGAATATTTTTTAAAGTTTTCTTCGCTATAAATTTATTTATTTTTATGCAATTAAAAGTGTCAATAATTAAATAAAGTCGTGTAAATTTCCTATTGATAGAAATTTTGTAAAAAAATTTACAGGAAAAACACAACTAACGTTTGTTCAAACTAAAAAATAAATCTTGTATTTCTCAAACACTTGTCAATATTAACAAAGAAAATTCACTTGATTCTAAAAAAGCAAAACGAATAAAATAGAAAATATTACGTATAATGAAACGTTAAATAAAGTCGCTTGTTTATTTCCTATTATTTAGATATTTTGTATAAAATTTCACTGAATAAAAAACACAACTACGGTTAGTTAACTAAACAAAAAATAAATTTTGTACTTCGCGAACACTTGTCGATTAACAAATTCACTAAATTCTAAAAAACAAGACAAATAAAAAAGAAAAAACGACAATCATCAAAGGACAGAACGCCCTGGCATTTTTTTCACTCAAATATTATATTTTTTTTACTAATATTCTCCAATTTACACGCAAAATAATGACAGACTACTCCAATTTATCAAAACGTTTCAGAAATTGTAAAATTAACACTTTTATACAAGAAAAACTTACGAAATATAACTTTGCAAATCGCGCATTAATTTAGTGGAAAAGTGAAAAATTTCAATAAAAACGGGAAAAAAGACACAAATAACGTTTATTTTCCCTAAAAAAGTAAATAAATTTGAGACGATTTTAGCGGATTACGTCGCGATTGTTAAACTTTTGTTAACAGAAAAAACAAGATGGCGTCTGAACAATGCCATATCTAACAATCACTTGCCGGATGAAAAAAATATACCCATATATTCGAAAATCAATTGATATTTTATAAACTGCACTTTGCAATTAACAATTAAATCACTCGATTCCATAAAAACGAAACGGATTCGCATTGAAGAAATCATTTTTTGTATGTCGAACGCCACAGAACGCAAGACCGAAACTTTCACGAAAATGTGGTATTTTTTGCAATCACTCATAAAAGGAGGAGGGTCTATAAGGCCTATTTTCGGCCCACTTCAAATTTTTATTTAAAAGCTTGAAATAAATTTTCCGCCAAAGAAAAATGATAATTATGATGATTGAAGGTTAAATGAGGGTATTAGGAGAATATTAACCCCTAAATAATAAGGGTTTTCGAATATAAAATGGGTATAAATAAGGGTAAAAAAATTTTCAATTATGAATTAATTCGCTTGAAAATCATTACTCGGGGGTTTTTAGGGTCGCTGATTACGAATATGATGTTAATTTTGAAAAACTAACATTATATTCGTAATCAGCGACCCTAAAAACCCCCGAGTAATGATTTTCAAGCGAATTAATTCATGTTTTAAAAAAGTCGTCCGCCATATTGGATCCGCCATTTTAAATTTTGAAAAACTAACACCAGATTCGTAATCAGCGACCCCAAAAACCCCTGAGTAACAAGTTTCGAGCCAATTAATTCATAATTGAAAATTTTTTTACCCTTATTTATACCCATTTTTTATTCGAAAACCCTTATTATTTAGGGGTTAATATTCTCCAAACACCCTCATTTAACCTTCAATCATCATAATTATCATTTTTCTTTGGCGGAAAATTTATTTCAAGCTTTTAAATAAAAATTTGAAGTGGGCCGAAAATAGGCCTTATAGACCCTCCTCCTTTGGGTGTTTACGAGATGCTCGCCCTAGGGCGCCCCGAGGCGACCAAAGGTTCTCAAAGTCACTTTTATTATCGTTTGTTTTCATATAAATAAAGAATAATAAAAGTGACTTTGAGAACCTTTGGTCGCCTTGGGGCGCCCTAGGGCGAGAATCTCGTAAACACCCTTTATTCACAAACTGATGTAAAACAACTTTAATTTACCAAAAATTACAAAATAATTGATATTTTTATGCAAAATTAGTAAAAACTTACCGCCATGAATCACACACTACGCTCTCTGCACTCTGTTCAACAACTGAATACAAAATGGCGGCGAGCGTTTCGCGAACGAATCACGTGACATGAACACTAGCGCTCTCATTGGTTAATTCAAAAAAGCGGCAAATCGTTTCAAATTCAAATAAGTTAACTCAAAATAATTTTAATATTAATTAATTAAATAAATTATTTAATAAATTATTTAAATTAATAAAGAGGATTAAAATGGATTTTTATAATTTTAATCTCGTTAAATAATTAAATTAATAAAAAAAATTAATTATTATACAACTTAACAAACATTTTAAGGAAAGTAATTTTCACAAAAACATTTGTTAATCTACTGACAATTTTTTAACGAAGAATTTTACTCTTCTACTTTCAAAAGCATATGAAAAAAATATTTAAAATGAAAATTATTAAAAAATATTTAAAGCAGTACGTTGTTGGTACATTTTTAGATTAGAATTTAACTCACTTTGATGTTGGGAACAAGTTTTCGAAATTATAATTTTTTCCAAGTTCCAAAAATTTCCATGGCAGTGAGAACCTGAAAATGATTAAAAATTACAATCAAATTAATATAATTCTAAATTTTAATTTAACAAATTAAATATTTTTATATTTATTATTAAAATTAGCAAATATTTTAGAAACTATTTAAAAATTTTTGTCAGTAAAATAATTATTGGAAAATAATAATTCGAACGTAAAAACTTTGGACGGACAATTAATTATACTTTTTCTATTCAAATTATTAAAATACAAATTAAATTTATTATCAAAAATTATTTAAATCTTCTTTTAAATAAAATCAATAAATTTTTTAATAAATTAATAATAATAGTTAATAGTAATAATAATTGTAATAAAAAAATTAATAATACAACTAATTTTAAGAAATAAAAATGTAATATTTAATAGATTTATCAAAAAATTATTAAATTTTGTTTAATTAATCATATTTTTTAAAAAATATTAACCAAAAATATCAATAAATCATTATTTAATCATTATTAATGAATTATGAAAGAAATGTTCAGAATGAATCCGAAATTAAATTAAAAGAATAATAAAATATTTGACGCACTCTGAAAAAAAGTATTTGAAGCAAATCATTTTAAGGTTATGTTTGCTTGATTTTTACCGTAACTAAAAAGTTTCCAAAGATATCAAATATAAAGTAAAATAATTAACATTAAAATAACGAATGTTTTGCTTAAAACAAGTTCAAAGAATTTTAAACCATTCATCTTTCAGAAATACCGGATAATCAATAATTTGTAACATAAAAATCATGAAAATATTGAACTTTTTTCAAGGTCAACAATTTTTAACCGTTAAAAGTTACACAGCAATTATGGAAATTATTTACGAATATTAGTAAAATCTAGCGTTAAATTAGGTTAGGGACTACAAATACATGAATATTAATAAAAACAATAACAAATGATATAATTGTTAATTATTATGAGTTTACTTAACAACATTCAAAAATAAAATTAACATTTGCGTCTTACCTCTTAAGGATCTTGTGTTTCCGTATTTATAATAAAAATTAATTCTCCTATTCATGCGTTACAGGCATATGGAAGCGTACATTTTCTGTTAAATTGCTTTACAAGAAATTAGCACTGAATTCGTGATATATTTTTAACAATTAACATTTGTTTACAATTACAATGTTTGCAATGTTGTTGCCGGTACTTTGCTGCGCTCGCTGCGCTGCAGTCTACTGTGCAAAATGGCGGCTTGCGCGTTTCCGGTGACGGAGATCCCGTGATGCTCTGTGATTGGTTGACCGAAAATAGGCGGCAATTTTTAATTTAAATTATTGCTTCCAATTTATTAAAAATCCTTATAATATTTTTTGTTTTTAATTCATCGAATATTTATTCATTTTATTTAAATTTACTTTAATAGTTAGAAATTATTTATTTAAAATTTATTATAAATTTAATTATTTTATTACATAAGTATAATAAAATTAATAATAATAAATAATAATTATTAATTACAATAACAACAAAATTCCAATAAATAATTTATAATAACAAATAATTTAATTATAATAATTTTAAATTTATTTTAATACTTATTTTTATTCTGTTTAACTAATTTAATATTTCAAAATAAAATTGAGGTATAAAATAATTAAACATTTTTATTAGTTTTATGTAAAATAAGTGATAAATATCATTATAATGCAAAATTAATTAATTTTGCATTATTTATTAATTAAATTATAAATCTATAAATTATATAAAATTAAAATTATATTATATAATCAAAAGTATCTTAATAAAAAAAACCTTTTTTATATAAATAAATAAAGGAGGAAAATTAGATCACAAGAATTACACGTAAATTCGATTTATTAATTGTTATTACGGTTTCATACTAAATTATTCTAAATAATTATTGACGGATGGCACGTCTCAACATGTAAATGAATTAATTCGTTATAAAAAAATAACGACACGCTATAAGATCTGTTTTTTTCTTCTTTTTTTTTTTTGGTTGTTACAAATGTGTAGTGTAACAAATAACTCTTCAAGACGTATAATATATTTATATAACAAGAGATCATTTTTTCTACTACTGCAATAAACCGTACTAATTAAAACTTTTGGCTTATAGCTTATTTTTCTTTAATAAGTGGCACGAGATTCGAAAATAAAAACAAATTACAATCGTTGGAAATTTTGAATGACATTTTAAGCAAATGTTATCCTTTCATGTGGCACTTTTTTTTGGGAAATTAAAAAAAAAGGTGGCAATGAATTTTTCTTTTTTATGTTTTCAACCTTCTGCCAAAGGCGGTGTGACCCAACCATATTTCTCATGCGTTTTGACTAGACTTCTAAATGACTCCTCAGCTGAACGTCGATTAAATTCTTTATTTGTCTTTGGTTTTCTTGCAATTCGACCCTGAAATAAAAGCAGAGAAAAATTTATATTAGAAAATTTCTCCTTAAATCTACTCTTTAAATCTATTTACTCTCTAAAGCTTTGAATTTACATTTAGTGCAAAATTATCAATTAAATTAATTAAATGAAATATTAAATTAAAAATATTTGAATTAATTACACAAATATATTTTCAAATAGATTTAGCAATTTTTTCAATTCTTGGCTTGCGTTACTTTAATTTAATTTTAACTTAATTTTAATTTTTTTTTTAAATTTATTCACCTGGCCTTTAACAATACTAGCTGCAAATTGCATAATCACAGCCTCAACGGTATAAGCACTGGCCCATCCTCTGGGCGTGAGCAGTTCCATACAAATTGCACCTCCCTCCATAACAAAACCCTTTTCTATTCGGGGCGATATCACTCTCATAAATGGAGGTGCAAAAGGAAAATTTTCCGGGAAGACAACGTGAAGAAGAATATTATGAATATTTAATTCTCTCATATCCGCAGCTAATTTACTCTCTGGATCAATCTTATGTAATCTGATATGCCATTCGTATAGATTATCATTCACAAGTTCGGCGGTAAATGTTGAATCCTTACGATGTTGAGTACGTTGAATTTCACTCAGTTCCTTCATTAAACGACGCATTCGAACTCCTCTCTCAGGTACTGCGATGGACTAAACAAATTTTTTACTTTTTAACATTTCACGTTTTATATTAATAATAATAATATTAAATATTTAATAAATATAATAAATTATTATTATTGTTTTTATTATCATTACTCAGGGTTGCCACAAAAATTTAACTTTATTTTCTCCTGACTTTTCCCTGATTTCCAGACAGAACTTTGACAAAAAATATTCTGATCCACTCTAATATTAATACTATTATTAATAATATTTAAAAATTATTAGATACTCAAAAAAATGTTCTATTAAATTTAATTTACAATTTTCTTCAAGAGTAAAATTATTAGAAACTCAAAAAAATGTTCTATTAAATTTAATTTACAAATTTATGATTGACCGAGTGACAAAATCATTATTTTATTATTATAAGAATATTGTTACTGTAATTTCTTCAAAATTATTTTCATCATTTCAATTCAATTATTATTTTCTACAATTTTCAAATAAAATTCTTCTTTAAATCGCAATTACTTCAATTATTATTCAATTAAATTCTTTTCAAAAACATTAATTTTACAGAATTGTTAGTTAAAAGTACGAGAATTAAAAATTGAATTCTACGAGCATTCAATTATTTAAATAAAAAAATAAAGAATTTATTCAATTATTGAATGTTTCTTAAAATTAAATTTTTACGAAGAATTTTATTAACAACTTTTGAAAATATTTAATTTCTTTTAAGGAATTTAATTACAATTTGATTTTTTATTATATTAAAAATATTTGAAATTCTGCGATGAAAATAATTGAATTCTAAATAAAGTTTTATTATTTATGAAAATAATTGAATGTTTTCGTAGAATTGTATCAAAATTTTTTTTCAATAATTAAATGTTTTGATAAATTTCATGAAAATAGTAAATATTGAAAATTATTAGATTAGAAATAGAATAAATTTTTGAAGGTTTTGTATTAGAATTAGTGGTAGTTTCATAGTTTATGTGGCAAACAAAAAAGACCCCAAAAATTCAGAATTTTCTTATGAATTCTAAAAATTTAATTTTTCCAGTATTTTCAATAAAAATCCCTGACTTTTCCCTGATTTCCTTGACCTGTGGTAACCCTGTTATTAGTTAATGGACAATAACAATAATTATAATTATCATTAAATAATTGTTAAGCAAAGAAATTTAAAGATAATTATAAAATGTACCTGGGAACAATGTCCGGTTGATTTTTTAGATTTGAAGAAACAATTGGCGTGGCTTGTGTGACTAGCACCAGGATTTTCGGAGAGAGTACCTTCGGCAGGTGTGACGACATCTGGACGATGATGACGACTCAATAAACGTCGGGAGGGCGAATTCGTTGAACTTCCGCCAGCTCCTTCTTGATCGTTAATTTTCTCCGAAGTTCGAAATAACTTTCTGAAAGCTGCAACGACTTTTTCCTTAGATCTCGTCGACATGGCTATTGTATTATCCATTCGCTTCTCTAATCTGCAATTAATTTCGTTTTATTAATTTTTATTCACAATTTCATAACATTTCATTTCACAATAATAATCAATTAATTATATAATTAATTAAACATAATTTAACAATTAATTGATACAAACATTTAACTATCATTTTAAATAAAATTTCCGTCATGCGTCAATATTATTTTACCTTCACGTTATTAATAATTAATAAACAATATACTTATAGAAACAAAATAAATATAAGCGAAAAAAGGTATAAATAAAATTCTACATTGTGCCAAATTAACATATATTATCATAAATTTGTTTAAATATTAGAGAAAACTGAGAATGAGGTCATATTTTATGGAAAAATGTATGAATAAAAAATTAAATTAATAAAAACAAGTTTAATAAATTAAAAATATTCTAATAACAAGGAAAATTAATTTTTGAAATTAAAGAATTGACAAAAAAGAAAATGATTTGCAAAATAACATAAAAGAGAAATGACAAAAGACAATTAATTCATTGTTGTTGCAAGTCTTGAGAAATGACAAAGGTTACTCAAGTAATATTCTAATGACAAATGACATTGATTTTCACTATATACACAATTGCATTGTTATGTAGTGCATTGTTTTAAAACAGTATAAATGTTTTGTTATACTTTGTTTTTTCTCCACAAACCAAACCAATAATTATTAATTAAATAACCTTGCAAAAGCAGCAAAAATCCTTTGTGTGCTTTTAAAATGTAAACACTCGCTTTTATGATTCACTGTTCAAGTGTAAATTTATCACACATATATAATTGTTTTCTTCATTTGAATTCGCACAAAATAAAAATAAAATTTGTTTCTTTTTGAGGTTAATTTATAACCAAAGTGTGAATTGACAACAAACGAGAATATTCGCACACTTTTCTTTTCTCTTTGATTCGAATAAAATCATTTTTCTTCTTTGTTGAAATTAAGAATTTTGAACAATGATATATAAAAACAACTAAGAGCCACTGCAGCAGACGAAGCTTTAATAATAATAAAGAAAAAAAGAAAAAGTGATGATGACAAAAAAAAATCCTTGGTTGCTAGGAAGCCACTCCTGATATTATGCACTCCGACATACACGCATGCACGATTCGTCGTCAACCTTAATGCGCTTTGCAAAAATCAATAATTTGAAAAGTAATTGTTAATTTTCGAATTTTTTTATTACTTTTATTTTTTGGTAATTTTTTTTAGAAAATTATTAAATTTTTTTAAATAAAAAAAAATAAATTCTTTTAATTTATTAACAATAGGACTTGTAATAAAAATAAACAAAGAATAATTATTTTACAGAAGAAATAAATTTTTTTTTTACTAAGATTTTTATTCTATGGATTAAAATTTTTATTTACGGAGAGATTTTTGAAAATTAATTACAAATATTAAAATTTAGGATAAACTAAAAATTTTAATTCAAAGAATAAAAAAAGGTTCAAAAAAGGTTTTTTAAACCTTTTTTTTATTCTTTGAATTAAAATTATTTACAGAGAGATTCTTTTTAAAAATTATTTAAAATTTAGGATAAATACCTACAAGAAAATCTTTTTTGAAAATAAAATTCGCAAATATTTCTAATTTAATTTGAAAATCTGAAAATATAATTTAGTTTGAAAATATAAATTTTGTCTAATAAATATTTTAAAGCAATTAAATTCTTATTTGCAAAAATAATAATTAAAAAATGCTTTGAGAAAAGTGTGAATAATAATTTGTCGGAAATAAATAATAAACCCTTTTTGTGAATATTTAGTAATTGTTTTTAATTAATTTTGGTATTAAAAATTGAGTATTAAAATCTAAATTGACTAGAACTTAATAAATTGTTGAACTCTCAGAGAATAATTCATTGTTCAATATAAAGTATAATAATCGAATTTTTTTAAAATTTTCGTTGTTAAAATTTGCATGTTTACTCACCCATTTTTTATTTTTTCTTTGTATAAATATAGACGCACTTCTAATCCAAATTGTTGTAATTATGATTAATTGTTATTAAAAATCCGAATGGCACACGTTATTAGAATATAAATATAAGTTAAGTAAAAATGGAAGGATACAGCGCAGTCTCCGTCTTCATTGAACTGAGTGGACAAACTGGCTGTGAGAAATAACAACCAAGAGGGATAACGTGGAGATAGCGCGAGAGCCAAATGGTAGGGCGAAGGGTGGATGGCAACCAGACTCTTCGATCGATTCACCTGTATTGTTGATATCAAATGATGCTGACATCCCAAAGCCAATTCACAAAAAACTTCCCAAGGAAATCAAATTCATCGATTGGCGTTTCTGAAAAGAAAAAAAAAAGATAATTTTTTTTACCAATTTTTTCCTTTTTTATTTTAGAATATAAAAATTTTAATTATAATTTTATAAAACAAATTCCAATAATTAATAAAATAATAATCGTGGTATTTTTTTATGATTTTCGATAAAAATTCTAAAGTAGAAAAAAATAAATACAAATTTGATTTGTAAAATAAATAAATACCTTATTATTCAATATTTATTTTTCTTCTCCCAAGGAATTAAGACATAACTTCTCAAGTGTCGACTCGAAAATAAATAAGTCAGACTGCGTTTGCCTAGGAAAATCAGTATCAATAGTAAAGATAAATACTGCATCCAGGCCCACTTTAATTCCTCGAGAATTCCTGGTTGATATCTAATCGATTGTTCTGTGTAAAAAATCTCTCCTTCCAATAAAATTTCTTCACTACTCAAAAATCCGCTTTGCCACGTTACTTGAGAATTTACAATTCTCGCTGAAACTAAAAAAATATATATTAATTTTTTTGCAATTAGAAAAAAATTTCTTTATTTATAATTCTTAATTTAGAAAAATTGTTTTCAAAACTGATAAATAAATTAATATGCAAACTCACACATTCTGTTTGAATTTTCCGACAATAATTGCGGCAGAGATTGAAAATTTCCATCGACACTGGAATTATATAAATTATAAACTCCATCGTGTCGTAAAAGTCCTTTTTGCCGTAAAATTAAATCGCCGAGGAAATATATTTTTTGCACGTCGTGAATTAATGAGATGTCTAAAACTCCCATTGTCTCCATCGTGACTTGAACGTGTTTCTAAAAATCAAAGATATAAATAAAGAAATAAAATCCACGAAATTCAAATAAATTCATTCATTCGTTATATTTATTATTGAAAAAATAGTTACGAAAGTAACTTAATAAAAATTAAATTGATAACTTCTATTAAATAAAAATTAAATTAATAACTTCTATTAAATAACAATTAAATCCATAACGTCTATTAATTTATAAAAATTAAATCAATAACTTCTATTAATTTAGAAAATTTAAATAACTTAATTAAAGTCAAAAAGAAATAAAAAAGGAAAATCTGACCTTGAGCTGATGATTAAAAAATAAAAGGATCTTTATAGATCGAATCGGTTTGTCGCTAAAGAAACGTGCCTCAAATTTTAATTTATCCTTTAATCCATTTTTGTGTGAATCAATTTCTCTAGCCTGCAAAAGAAAATAATTATGTATTTAGTAATTATGCGCAAAATTATTTCTAGGTAATTATAAATTACAAAAATCGTCTCTCTTTATGTAATAGGCGGAAAAAAATTTCGCGTATATTTTTAGAAAACAATGTTTTTATTACCTTTATTAAAAGACAATCATCCGTAAGCTCATTGCCCTTGTAGCTAACAAAAGAAGAGCAAATAATGGGATTAGCGTCAGTCTCTTTTTCAGCGATCAGTAAATATTTGTGCTTAAAATTCACTTTTGGAATTTCGTGATAAGTTCGACTTTTTAGCCAAAAACCTGAAAAAAAAATTTAACATAGGGCGAAAAATTTTTTTTATTCATTTATTAATAGGATAAATAATTAATTGAATAATTTATCAATCGCTTAATAAATTATTAATTTACTTCATTTATTACTATTCTTATAAATAACAACTATGATAATAGATTAAAAGGATTAAAAGTGCATTTAAATAATTTAAATCGTAAATTCCATAAGGGGAAAATTTTCTAACCTTAAAATTAGTTTTCAAAATGTAAGAAATGTAATAAATATATTATAAAAATGAATAATTAAATTTGTACTTGTAATAAATAAGTAAATATAAATTGAAATACCTCCTGCATGATAAATAATGTAAACTGGAGCGACAATAACAATCAAACAAATGAAAGCGACAAGAAAAGTACTTATGGAGCATAAAGTTGTCTTATATTTATATTTCACAGAACTTGAGAAAATTTCAATTGCTCTCATTGTTTTTGACGTCTATTTTCACAATTTAAGTAGGAAAATATAAATTAATTTAGAGATAAAACAATATTAGAAACTCGGCACGTAACATGTTTGTATATTTATTCCGTTACCATGACAACGACACGTGCATGCAATTCATGCAATTTAGGTTATAATGCACTTTTAACAAGACGATTGTCATGTTGAGAATTTTTTAATTTTACAAATTTTGCCAATTAAAAAAGCATTTATAATTAAAAAAATCTAAAGCGGTATTTATTATTAATTACAGTGTAATAATTCTACACGAAAATAACATTTTATTAACATTTTTTTTTGTCTGAAATACTCAAAAGTATTAATGGTATAAATCGTATTATTAATGTTTTGAAATTCGTATAAAAAATAAAATTAAGTTTATTATGATTTCTATTTGTATTTAAATTATTTACACATTACAATATTTTTCTTGCTAATATTAAAGATTTCGAATGTAATTTTTTCTTTGAAATTTTGAATTCGCTTAATTTTACCGCCTGAATATCGCCATCTGTCGGTGAGTCGAAAAAGTTTAATATCGGTTAACTTCAGGAGTGTACCAATAGTGGGGTCGAAAGATGAATAATAATTATTATTTATTTATAATAATTATTCGGAATTATAAATAATGACTACACTATTCTCAAGAATTAGTAATAATCTATGAATTTTAGTTGAATTTTATCTTTCGTCAGTTTCGATAAATAAAGACTATTACATTCTCATTTTTGTTTGTTATTGTCCGATGAATCTGTACGTTACTGATCAGTAAGATGGAAAACAATTTTCTATTTTAAATAAAGAAAATAAAACAATAACTATTTATCAAGTTGTGAAACAACAAAGAAAGTTAAGTGCGTAAAAAACGACAATTGAAAATAATCTACAATTTATTTCACTTGCTGAAAAAAGTGAAAAAATAAGTGACAAAATACATCTAACCTTCGTTTCATTGTTGCTGGCGATGATTGCTGTCTGTCACTGGTAAACTTTCCCATTTTTTATTTAAAAAAAAAAATGTTTTGAATTATTAATTTACTGTACTTTTTCTTTAGATACACACATTTACTTAAAAATAATTTTTAAATGACAACAACATCATTTGATGAATTGACAATTTTGACGTGCGAGAATTCTATATAGATTTTTGTGAAATTAAAGACTTTTGGTGAAGGACAATGTTAGAGTGCATTTGTCAAAGGTATAATTACACTGAGAAATTGAAGAAATTAGTAGAATTATTAAAATGACGAAGAATAATAGTGACATTAATGCTCAAACTCACGAAACCTTGAGAAATAATTTTGAAGGTTATGACGGAGTCGATGAGCTGTCAAAATATGTGTCAAAACGGCGAGAAATGCATGTGCTTGTGGCGTGGAAATGAACGTGTTTCTTTTACATTTGAAGATCCATTAAATGGATGTATTAAAAAATTGAGCAATGTCAAGGAGCATATTTTTCTTGCGACATCAACATTCGACTTGTATCATGGAACAGTTTTATGCGAGACAAATCCATCGTCTGATACTATTTTGTTCTCGATTACGTTTAAAAGAGCTCAATTTTATGCTGTTGATATAGATGCTAATAGTGAATATTTATTTATAGTTAATGCCGATGGCCATGTCTTGAAAATAAATCCCCAGGATCTTAATATTGTACAGACTATTATTCTTAAGGATGACATTAAATTCTGTTGCCATGGGTATGTATTTATTTACTATTTATTTTTATTACTTACTTATTATTTTTATAAAAGAATAAGTTTTTATTATTTTCATTACACAGAATTCCATTTATTATTTTGTAAATAACAAATTTTTATATTTTCAAGAATATACATAAAATTGAAATTATTGAATTTTTTGGAAGAATTTTAAAAATAATTTAATTTTCCCTGGAATTCAATTAAAATTGTATTTAAAATAATTGAATTGCAGCGAAAATTTAATTATTTTTAAAAATACATAATTGAATTATTAAATTGAACTCCTATGCAAAATTCAATTATTTTTAAAAATAATTAAATTTGCTCGGAGAATTTTTACAAAATTTTTAAAATAAATTGAAATTTTTGAAAAATTAATTAAAGTTGTATTCATAATAAATTAAATCCTGATAAGAATTTTATTATTTATATAAAAATAATTGAATTTTTTAGGAAGTTATTATTATTTATAAATTGATTAAAGAATTTTGTTACAATTATTGAAAGTAATTGAATTCTTCATAAAATTCAATTATTTTAAACATTTAAAAAGTTAGGAAACAAAAAAGCAAACAATTATTAATATAGATTATTTTATAACGAATCCTAATTTTACAGTTACGAGCAGGATAATGAGATATCGAAAATAAAAACAATAGCTGTTAATGATGATTCAGCTCTCTTTGCAACTGAGAATGGACAACTTTGGGCGAGTGGTAATCATCCGGAATTGGAAATAAATTCCGTGGAACCAAAAAAAGTGATATTTTTCGAAGGAAGAGTTGTATTCGATTTGGCGTGTGGCTTTAATTTTCATGCCGTTATTGTTAGAAAAATTAATCGTACACTAAAAGAAGACACGGACAGTGAAAATGAACTCGACGATCAAGTATTTGTAAAATCATGTCCACAATGTTTGAATAATGCAATGATTAGTCCAGTGAGTGTGGCATCATCAGACACTTATCCCATGGGACATCACGTTCAAAATTTCAGCGATCGTTCTTCAAATTCATTGAGCGCAATTTCAAGTGCAAGTAAAGATGATGTTCTAATTTGTAGTGTCTCGGAGAATTTGAGCAATTATCACGAGCCACTTGTCAATGGAATTTCCGAATCGGAGAAAAAGAATGTCATGTTCATCAATACAGAGGCGGCGAAACAATTTTTAACACGACAATTGTCCTGGGTTTCATCCTATGGAAGTGGAAAGGACGAAATATATATTGACGGTGCCGATAATCCGACAAATTTGCTAAAACAAAATGTTTCAAATATGGCAAATTTAGTGTACGAGGGTGTGAAAACGGTGGGCGATAAAGTTGCGACATTATCTAGACATGTGAGTGGAAGTTCAGATGTTAATGATCAAGAGAATGAGAAAGATTTGGCTAAAATTGAGGAGAATAAACGAACGCAGAGTAGTTTAATTCATAGTTTGCGATGTGAGGAATTTCCCTGGTCATCGAGCGCTGGATCGTCGGAGCATGAACTCTCTCAACAGGGTTTAAATGAAAGGATTAATCTCCTTGTTCGCGAGGGTAATAATTTACTGTCAACTGAACTTTGGACCTGGGGTGATGTGAAACACGGTCAATTGGGAACTGGTGACACTGTTAAACGACCGAGACCAGTTTTAGTGACAAAATTATCGCAAACTGGTGTTAAAAAAATATCCTGCGGCTCGTTTCACACAGTTGCGATAACACTCGACGGCCGAGTATTCACCTGGGGTAGAAATAATTGCAAGCAAACCGCAAATGAATGGAATTCCTGTCAAAGTGCTCCTCTAATGTTCACCACGTCAAGAGTTTCAAAATTATCGAATTATCCCAGTAATGAGAGAGCAAAGGACATGTCAGCTGGAACTGAACACACTTTTATTTTAATGCAACCGGCCTTATTACTTTTTCTCGGAAGATTTCATTATTCCTACGATGGTGTCAAGTGAGTAGATATTTACAAAGTTGCCACAGGTCAGGGAATTCAGGGAAAAGTCAGGGATTTGATTTGATCCCCTTCTTTGTGTTTTGTAATAATATTCTTATAAGTTGTTGATAATTTTCAAATATATTTTATTTTTTCTTTAAAATAATTTTTTATTTTCTTTTACAGTAAAATTGATTCATCGAGTGAATTATGTGGAGTTTATGACGCTTCAAATGTTGAGGATTTCTCATGGAATAGTTTGAGTCGTATTCTATGCTCGGGACCGTTCAGCTGTTGTACAACAACAAGTCCATCGGCAAACGAAATATCCGAGGATTTCATAAATGAACAAATATTTCTCGAAGAATTAATATCATTTTATCAACATTTAATTCGACCATTTCAAAAAAAGGGCGCTGCGGCAAATGAATCGAATGTTTATGAAACACTTTGTCGATGTTACACTGAATTAATGAATATCACGGCATTAAATGTTCAAAGTTTATCCGATTATTATAATAATATGGGAAAAACTTATGAAGTTACAATTATTGCAAATGTCGATGAATGTGTCGCTATTTATAAATATTATTTAAATGCTATTTGTGATGTTATATCGCTCAGTGGTTTTACGCATATTGCAAGAATAATTGAACTACCTCAGGCAATGCCAAAAAAATTACACGATTTAAAAGCACTGGGAACGAGGAAAATTAATAATGAAAATGTTATTGCAACTTCATTGCAAAATCCATTGTTTGGTCTCAATAGATATAAAACGATGATAAATAATTTAATAAAGTGTAATGGTTCAAAAATGGGTATTGAACGACTCAAGGAGGCATTAAGTAAATGGGAGAGGATTATTGATGAACAAGAGAAACGACAGAGAGAAGCTGAGATTACGAAACAATTTTGGGAAGGATCGGGAAAGTTGATTGAATTATTGAGATCGCCAGAGAGAAGATTAATTAGAGAGTCGAGAACTCATCCAATATCGGTATTGAATTCGGGAAGATTTACAACTCATTGGTTTGTTTTATTGACTGATATTTTTATTCATATCACTGGAAGTTCGCATGTTTCTTATCCACTGCCAACACTGTGGGTGGAACCTCTTCAGGATTCAGATACACTACAGGTAAATAAAAACTAAAAGTTAAAAATAAAATATAAACATTAAAATTAAAATTAAAATTAAAATAAAAACAAAAATAAATCATAAAAATAACAAATACTTCAAAATTGACTTTAGAATGAAAAATTTTTTTTTTAATTTAAAAATTAAATCCTAATTAGATTATTTTTTCAGAATGCACTATCAGTGACAACACCGGAAAGTAATATTACACTTTATGCTCCTACGGCTGTGGCGAAAAATGAATGGATGCAATCGCTTCATGCAGCGATAAATTGCAGTTTACCGAGAGTCGTTGGCCATAAGCCACCAATGGCTCGAAATAGTACCTTCACATTTACAAAGCATCCAGTTTATAAGGATGCTAAATATACGGGTAATAATAATTTATAAAATTTGTAATCGTAAACATTTTAAATTACGCTAATTTTTCAAAATTGCAAGGCTCGAACCAGTGAAAGTACTTAAAAATACGGACTTTACGGACTAAAAATGAAACATTACGGACCATTACGGACCAATTACTGACAAAAATTCTCATAAAGAATTTTATCAACAAATTTTTAAATAATTGAATTCTTTCGACGAATTTTAATAAAATTTTTAAGAATAATTACATTTTTCGAGAAATTTGATTAAAATTGTCTTAAAAATAATTAAAATTCTGCGATGAGTTTTATTATTTGTGAAAATAATTGAATCCCTAAGAAGAAGTTTATTATTATTAAACAGTATTCAATTTTTGCGAAGAATATTATTATTCTTGAGAATAATTGAATTTTTCCAATAATTTGTAACTTTTACAAAATTAAATTTTTTTTTCGTATTTTTAACTAAAATTATTCTGTAAATGCATTATTTTTAATAATTTTTGAAAAAGTTCATTGAGAATTTTCAAAATTATTTGTTTACAAAATTTCAATTATTCGTAAATTTTTCGATAATTTTAGATTTTTTACCAAACAGTTGAGACTATTAAATAAGTAAAGTATTTTCCAAGAGCACAAAAATAATGAAGCTAAATCCCATAAAAGAGAGGAAAAAATGTTAAATTTTAAGAAATTCGGATTTTTGAATTTTTGATAATTTTCGATAACTTTAGATTTTTTAACAAAGAGTTGAGACTATTAAATAAGTAAAGTATTTTCCAAGAGCACAAAAATAATAAAGCTGAATCCCATAAAAGAGAGGAAAAAATGTTGAATTTTAAGAAATTCGGATTTTTTAATTTTTGATAATTTTCGATAACTTTAGATTTTTTAACAAAGAGTTGAGACTATTAAATAAGTAAAGTATTTTCCAAGAGCACAAAAATAATAAAGCTAAATGCTATAAAAGAGAAGAAAAAATTTTGACTTTAAAAAAAATTGGTTTTTCGAAATTTCGATAATTTTTAATAATTTTAAATTTTTAACCAAAGGGCTGAGATAAAAAATTAGGTAAAGTTTTTTTGAAAAGCACAAAAATAATGAAGCTAAATGCTATAAAAGAGAAGACAAAATGTTGAATTTTAAGAAATTCGGATTTTTGATAATTTTCGATAATTTTAGATTTTTTTACCAAAGATTCGAGACTACTAAATAAGTAAAGTATTTTTTAAGAGCACAAAAATAATGAAGCTAAATGCCATAAAAGAAAAGAGAAAATGTTGAATTTTAAAAAAACCGGATTTTTGAATTTTTAATAATTTTCGATAATTTTAAATTTTTAACCAAAGGGCTGAGATAAAAAATTAGGTAAAGTATTTTTGAAAAGCACAAAAATAATGAAGCTAAATGCTATAAAAGAGAAGAAAAAATGTTGAATTTTAAGAAATTCGGATTTTTGAATTTTTGATAATTTTCGATAATTTTAAATTTTTAACCAAAGGGCTGAGATAAAAAATTAGGTAAAGTATTTTTGAAAAGGACAAAAATAATGAAGCTAAATGCTATAAAAGAGAAGAAAAAATGTTGAATTTTAAGAAATTCGGATTTTTGAATTTTTGATAATTTTCGATAATTTTAAATTTTTAACCAAAGGGCTGAGATAAAAAATTAGGTAAAGTATTTTTGAAAAGCACAAAAATAATGAAGCTAAATGCTATAAAAGAGAAGACAAAATGTTGAATTTTAAGAAATTCGGATTTTTGAATTTTTGATAATTTTCGATAATTTTAGATTTTTTACCAAAGATTCGAGACTACTAAATAAGTAAAGTATTTTTTAAGAGCACAAAAATAATGAAGCTAAATGCCATAAAAGAAAAGAAAAAATGTTGAATTTTAAAAAAACCGGATTTTTGAATTTTTAATAATTTTCGATAATTTTAAATTTTTAACCAAAGGGCTGAGATAAAAAATTAGGTAAAGTATTTTTGAAAAGCACAAAAATAATGAAGCTAAATGCTATAAAAGAGAAGAAAAAATGTTGAATTTTAAGAAATTCGGATTTTTGAATTTTTGATAATTTTCGATAATTTTAAATTTTTAACTAAAGGGCTGAGATAAAAAATTAGGTAAAGTATTTTTGAAAAGCACAAAAATAATGAAGCTAAATGCTATAAAAGAGAAGAAAAAATGTTGAATTTTAAGAAATTCGGATTTTTGAATTTTTGATAATTTTCGATAACTTTAGATTTTTTAACAAAGAGTTGAGACTATTAAATAAGTAGCGTATTTTCCAAGAGCACAAAAATAATAAAGCTGAATCCCATAAAAGAGAAGAAAAAATGTTGAATTTTAAGAAATTCGGATTTTTGAATTTTTGATAATTTTCGATAATTTTAAATTTTTAACTAAAGGGCTGAGATAAAAAATTAGGTAAAGTATTTTTGAAAAGCACAAAAATAATGAAGCTAAATGCTATAAAAGAGAAGAAAAAATGTTGAATTTTAAGAAATTCGGATTTTTGAATTTTTGATAATTTTCGATAATTTTAAATTTTTAACCAAAGGGCTGAGATAAAAAATTAGGTAAAGTATTTTTGAAAAGCACAAAAATAATGAAGCTAAATGCTATAAAAGAGAAGAAAAAATGTTGAATTTTAAGAAATTCGGATTTTTGAATTTTTGATAATTTTCGATAATTTTAGATTTTTTACCAAAGATTCGAGACTACTAAATAAGTAAAGTATTTTTTAAGAGCACAAAAATAATGAAGCTAAATGCCATAAAAGAAAAGAAAAAATGTTGAATTTTAAAAAAACCGGATTTTTGAATTTTTAATAATTTTCGATAATTTTAAATTTTTAACCAAAGGGCTGAGATAAAAAATTAGGTAAAGTATTTTTGAAAAGCACAAAAATAATGAAGCTAAATGCTATAAAAGAGAAGAAAAAATGTTGAATTTTAAGAAATTCGGATTTTTGAATTTTTGATAATTTTCGATAATTTTAAATTTTTAACTAAAGGGCTGAGATAAAAAATTAGGTAAAGTATTTTTGAAAAGCACAAAAATAATGAAGCTAAATGCTATAAAAGAGAAGAAAAAATGTTGAATTTTAAGAAATTCGGATTTTTGAATTTTTGATAATTTTCGATAACTTTAGATTTTTTAACAAAGAGTTGAGACTATTAAATAAGTAAAGTATTTTCCAAGAGCACAAAAATAATAAAGCTGAATCCCATAAAAGAGAAGAAAAAATGTTGAATTTTAAGAAATTCGGATTTTTGAATTTTTGATAATTTTCGATAATTTTAGATTTTTTACCAAAGAATCGAGACTATTAAATAAGTAAAGTATTTTCCAAGAGCACAAAAATAATGAAGCTAAATCCCATAAAAGAGAGAAAAAAAGGCTAAATTTTAAGAAATCCGGATTTTTGAATTTTTAATAATTTTCGATAATTTTAGATTTTTTAACAAAGAGTTCTGTCTATTAAATAAGTAAAGTATTTCCCAAGAGCACAAAAATAATGAAGCTGAATCCCATAAAAGAGAGGAAAAAATGTTGAATTTTAAGAAATTCGGATTTTTGAATTTTTGATATTTTTCGATAATTTTAGATTTTTTACCAAAGAGTCGAGACTATTAAAGAAGTAAAGTATTTTTTAAGAGCACAAAAATAATGAAGCTAAATGCCATAAAAGAAAAGAGAAAATGTTGAATTTTAAGAAATTCGGATTTTTGAATTTTTGATAATTTTCGATAATTTTAGATTTTTACCAAAAAGTAAAGTAAAGTAAAGTGTTTTTAAAGAGCCCAAAAATAATGAAATTAGATTTAAAATTCCACTGGAATTTCGTAAAAATTTGACCTGGAAATCATGGAAAATGTATGGAATTTTAAATGCGGATTTCTGTAGGAATCCTGTAAAAATAATTGATCTTCTGCTATTAGTTTTATTATTTATAAAAATAATTGAATGATTGGGAATAAATTTGTAAAAAATTTTTAAATAATTGAATTTCTGTGATATTATTATTGTATGAAAATAATTGAAGGTTTGAGTAGAATTTTATTAATTTTTTTTAAATGATGAAATTCTTTTGGAAAATTTTATTAAAATAATTGATATAAAAAGTGATTAAATTGAGGAAAATTTTTGAAAATAATTGAATTTTAGAGAAGTATTTAATTATTTTTAAAAATAATTGAAATTTTGACGAGAATTTTTTAAGATTTTTGAACATAATTGAATTTTTGCGAAGAATTTTATTACTTTTGAAAATAATTAAATTTCTTGCGAAGAATTTTATTACTTTTGAAAATATTTGAATCGTACAATTTACGAACTTCTTGTTTTCTTCTTAATCAAATTACGGACTTTACAGTCCTTTTTTAAAAAAAACTGACTTTTACGGACTTGAAGCAAATTTACGGACCTACTTCGAGCCCCGAAATTGAAAAAAATTGTTCTACAAACTATACTTGAAATTGTAAATTTAATGTTCTTTAGGTCGCTGGTTTAATGGGAAACCAGACACAGATGAATCTTATGGTCAAATGGATTGGCCCGATGGTAGAATGTATAAAGGACAATTTTCCAAAGGTGTTATAAATGGTTATGGAACAATGCACAATTTGACGCAAGGAATTTATAAGGGCCAGTGGAAGGACGGACAACAAAATGGTTATGGAACTATGAAGTAATTTATCATTTTATTGCTTTAAATCAAAGTTTTCTTCATTTAATTTAATTCTCTTTTCCTTTTTAATTTAAGGTACATGAATGGAGATGTTTACGAAGGATATTTCAAAGATGGGAGTCCGCATGGTCATGGGACGAAAAAAGAAGGTCATTTTATGGCTTCTGCCGCCTCTGTCTATATTGGAGAATGGGTGTCCGGAGTAAAACAAGGCTACGGAATCATGGATGATATTATAACGGGTAATAATATTTTTTTCGATATTTATTTTGCCTAATTTTTCAAATCTTATTATTTCTATTTCAATTTTAATGAAAATTATAAAATGAAGTCAGTTAATTTAAAAATTAAATTATGAAACGAATTAATTGAAAAATTGAAATATGTAATGAATTCATTTAAAAATTAAAATACGAAATGAATTAATTCAAAAAGTAAAATATGAAATGACTTCATTTTAAAATTAAAATCTGAAACGAATTAATTTATTTAACAGTTTCAATTCAATTAAAAAGAATATTTAAATTGAAAAGCAAAATTTGTAGCATCAAGAAATAAATTCTAATAGGAGGAGGAATATTTTAATTTTCATCAATTTATTTAAAATAAGCATCACTTATTTTATTTTTAGGTGAAAAATATATAGGCTCTTGGAGCAATAATATGAAACATGGCTGTGGATTAATTGTGACATTAGATGGAATTTACTACGAAGGTGTCTTCGTTCAAGATGTTTTAACGGTAATTTAAATTTTTTTCGAAAATACCTATCTTTTATATAAAAATTTAATTCAATTACTTTTAATAATCCAATTGATTAAAACTATCGACTGAATTTTAATTTTCAAGGGTTATGGCGTGATGGTTTTCGAGGATGGCACACATTACGAAGGAGAATTCAAATCGGCTGGTATTTTTTGTGGAAAAGGGACTTTAACATTTTTCAGTGGCGATAAATTAGAGGGAAATTTAAGTGGAGCTTGGAATGAGGGAATTAAAGTTAACGCGACATTGCATATCAAAAAAGCTAATGACAATTCGCATAATACACCTAAACCAACGTAAGATTTTTTTCCAAAATATTTTCTATTTTCTTTCCGATAATAATTATTTATTTTTTTGTATAATTTTTTAAAAAATAGATTTCAATTTATATATTAAATTAATTTCATTAATTTAATATGTAATTTATTTAATTTCATTAATTTAATCTAAGTAATTGAATTTAATTAATAATCAATTTTATTCAACGCAGTTGCTTTGGAAAATTATTCACACCACCGGAATTACCAAAATCATTTGGAAAACTTTGTGTGCCTCCTGATCAAAAATGGAAAGCAATATTTCGTCACTGTTATCAGCAGCTCGATGTACCTGAACCTGGAAATAAAAGTGCAGTTAAATTCAATGAAACACAAAAATTATGGGACAATGTTGCGGTTATTATTTCAAATTCATATCATAAGAAATTGAAATTTAGTAAAACAACAAAAGACTCAATGAAAAATGAAGTGGCAATAGATACTTTATCAAAAATACCAGATTTTGGAAGAGATAAATTAAATTTAACAATTTATGATGAAATTCATCAATATTTGTCGATAGCATTTGAAAGTAGTCATCATCCATTGGGAAAATTATTAACGGAACTCACAACAGTTTATACTGCCACTTATGGAGGAGTGAGAGTTCATCCGTTATTAAAAACTCATGCAGTTAATGAATTAAGAAGTCTCACTACAAGAATTTATGAAATTATTACTCTATTCTTTCCGGCAATGCCAGAAAATGGTGGTGAATGTCTATCGGTAATTGAGAAACTTGAGGATGTCAAAGAAATGTCGTCTGATGAAACGAATAAGGGAGAATTATCTAAACCGCAGGAATTAGAGGAACGGTGAGAATATAGATAAAAAATTAATTATGGAAAATTTATTATATTTATTTCATTTAATTCTTTTATTTATTTCCGTTTTTAGAAAAGTGAGAATTGATGCAGCAATTTTGCATCCAGTTTTGCTTCCAAGAGTTCATTCAGCTCTATTTTTCCTCTACGCTTTGGATAATAAAAAGGACGACGATGCTTATTGGAAGCGACTAATTAAATGGAATAAGCAACCCGATAGTACTTTAACATCTTTTCTAGGCATTGATCAGTAAGTTTTTTTCTCAAACATAAATTCACTTCAAATTTACTCAAAAGAAATTATTTATTACTATTATTAATTTTTATTCTAAACTAGCAAATGTTAATGAAACGTGGTATTCAATTTATTATTGTTATGCAAATTACAACATTTTTTATTTTTAAATATAAATTTTTAAATAAGTTCATAATCAAAATTTAGAAAATTAACTTATTAAGTACAAAATTAATTATAATTAGGTATTATTATTCATATTTTAAAAAATTTTAATATAATTCTTCGCAAGAATTAAATTATTTTTTTAAATAGTAAAATCTTTGCAAAAATTTAATTATTTTAAATAAAATTACGCGAAGAATTTCGTTATAAAGAATTCGTTATTAAATTTGTCAAAAGAATTCAATTACTTTCTAAAACTTTAATAAATCCTTTCGAAACAATTCAATGATTTTTATAAATAGTAGAACTCTTTGCAGTACTTCAATTATTTTCAAAAACAATTTTAATTGAATTCCTCGGAAGAATTCAATTTTTAAAAAAAATTTTGATATATTTCGAATAAATTCAATTATTTTCTAATATTTTAATAAATCTTTCGAAACAATTCAATTATTTTTATAAGTAGTAAAATTCTTTGCAAGTATTCAATATTATTTTTATAAATAGTAAAATTTCTTTGCAGGGATTTAATTATTTACAAAACAATTTTAATTGAATTCCTCGAAAGAATTCTGAATATTTTTAAATATTTCCATAAAATTCAGTTATTTCATAAAATTTTAATAAATTCTTCGAAGTAATTAAACTATTTTTATAAATACTAAAATTCTTTGCAGGAATTAAATTATTTTTAATTAAATTTCTATAAAATTATACGAAAGAATTTTATTATTTATTTTAGGAACAATTCCTCGCGAGAATTCAATTATTTTCCTAAATAATAAAATTCTTCGAAGGAATTCTATTATTATCATATTTTTTTATTAAATTCTTTGCAATAATTCGATGATTTTCAATACATTAATTTTAAACATGAAAATATTTGAAAAGAAAAATTATGAAAAAAGTTAAGAAACAAAAAAGCAAACTACAACTAAATTTATTTCTTTGTCTTTCTTTATCTTTATAAATAAAATTATTTATTTAATATTTATTCTAATTGTGAACATTTTCTAACGTTATTAAATACTTTTCAGAATATTCGGCGAAAGTAACTCAGTTGAACAAGATTCTAAAGAACCACTATTTAGTAAGGCAATTGAAACTTTGCAACAATTGAAGACAACATTTACGCCCTTGGAGAAATTGAAAGTAGTTCATAATACAGTGAAGCAAGTGGAGCAGGTAAAAATTTCTTAATGCGAATTAATTAATTATTAATTATTATTAATTATTATTAATTATTTTTAGAAAAGTATTTACATTCGTATTTAAATTGTATAATTTAATTTTTTTCAGGTGGCTAAAGCGAAAATGGGTTCTTCCTATAATTTAATAATGGACGATCTGTTTCCTGCTTTTATTTACGTGGTAGTAAGAGCTAGTGTTCTTCAGTTGGGAAGCGAGATTAATTTTATTACCGATTTCATTCAAGACTCACGTTTAGAGAATGGCAAATTTGATTTTGCATTCACCACTCTCACGGTAAAGAGAAAATATTTACATTTCAACGTAAACTTAAGATAGTAAATTAAAGAGTAAAATTAAAATAGTAAATTAAATAGTAAAATTAAAATAGTAAATTAAATAGTAAAATTAAAATAGTAAAATTAAAATACTAAATTAAATAGTAAAATTAAATAGTAAATTAAAAAAGATTATTAAATAACTCAATTTCGAGATAATTTAATTTTTATTCAAATTTACTTTATTTGCAAATTTTCAATTTACATTATTAATAAATTCACCTTATTTGTAATTTAAATTTAATTAATTTAATTTTAATTTATTTTATTTAATTTATTCAATTTATGTTCAAATTTTCAAAATTTGTTAAAAATATGTGATTTAAGAAGAAAATTGTTTTCAGGGCTCTTATCATTACATTCTTCACGAGAAGATGACAAACGAATGATGCAGAGAAAGTGGAGTTTTGTCTGCTGTGCAAACTGTGAGAGCATCTAAAAAACTATGAACAATATTTTCTTCAAAGCAAAGCCAATGACTTCTGTGATTATAGAGATATCAGGCTATTAGAACCTTATTATTTTTATCTACATAGAACAGAACAATAGCAACAAAAATATGTGCCAGGAACAGAGTCCAATTGTGTTATATTTTGCATACACTTAAATATTTTTTCAAATTGGTACAAAAACCTTACCAATTTTAAAAAAAACTGATCTAGTCCCTCTTTCATCGACTAAAAAAATCGAAGATTTTCATTTCTTGAATTTAATTTTCTTGACTATGATTTAAAAATGAAAATTGAATTAATTATACACATATACGTAAGTAGTTTTTACTTTTTGTTTTTAATAATTCTTAATAATTAATAATTCTTAATAATTTTTAATAATTTAGTTAACTTTTATTACATTACTTAATTTATATCTTGATAATGATAAAATCAAAAATTCCCCAAAAAAAAGGATGTACAAAAGAAATGAATCTTTGAATAGTGTTACATTTTGATCTTCCTTTTTTAAAATTTTAATTAAGCTCAATTACGTACAAAATACTTATAGTACTTGTAGGCTTTTAATCACATTAAGTGTTGAAAAATGAAGAGATGTAGTCTATTTAAAAAAAGAAAAAAAATTCAAAAGGTAAACGGATTTAATATAAGCGCTGGAAAAAATGCAGCATGAAATATTGTGCAATAACTTATTCATTCCATATTTTCATATTCACATGTTGATCATGATATCAAATGTATTATTAACATTCCATACATCTGACTATTATTTTTTAATCTATACTTGGAAATTATTTCAATATACTCCGATTTAGTTTTATAAATAAATCAGTATTTATTTCCAATATACTATAAGTAAACACTGTTAATAAAAATCTTTAAATGCTGAAGTTTGTGTAATTGTTCAATATCTTGTGTGAAAAATTAATCCATATTTCTCCTTCTGTAAATTTTATTTAAAGGTAAACCTTTAAATAAAATTTATTTATTTTTTTTAAATTTATTTAATTTATTATTTTTTAATATTATTATTAATTTATTATTATAAATTTATTATTATTTATATATACTAAATTATAATATTATGATAAATAATATTATAAATAATAATAAATTGTATAAATTGTATTCAAACGTTTAATTATTAACAAAAGTTTTTTATAATTATTGTTATTTTCTATTTTTCTTATTATTATTATTATTATTATTATTATTATTATTATTATTATTATTATTATTATTATTATTTTAGTTTGTATTTAAATCCGTTTTCCTTGTTTCCTTGTTTACTGATTTTAAATTTCGCGCCATGCGCAGTGTTTTATTTTATTATTGTTTATTATTATTATAATCAATATTATTACTATTATTATTTTATTAATTATTATTATTTGTTATTTTTATGAAAAGTTATATTATTTAAATCAATAATTTTGTATTAATGAATTTCAAATTTCGCGCCATGCGCAGTAGCGTTCATTTTACGAACGCAGAGTTTTTTTTTTATTTCAGGTTGGCAAGCATGGTTTCAGCCATATTGAGTAATGGCGTCTGACGGCGTCACAAGTGAAAAACTTTTACTCTCCGTATTCGTATTAATCTTCGATATAGTTTTCCATAATTATGAAAAATCTGTGATGAATCATTTATTTGATTGACGATGCATCGAATTGATGAATAATTTAATGAAGAAAGTCAGTATTTGTTTGAAATATGAAGTAGAAGAAAAGGTATAAAATTTTCCTTTACTTTTTTTTGTTTTCTCTGATCTGATTATATTTCTATAATTTTTCACTATATTGTATATTATTGTAACAAAATACGATTGAAATTTTCGTTTTTTTCACATTATTGATTATTGGGGGCCGTTTATTAAACCACGTATAGTATTTGGAGAGGGTGGGTGGGGTCGGGTAACTACGATAAGAGGAGAAAATGGCGCCAAAACATGTAATTTTGCAAAGAATATTGACAACATATTTTAAAGCGAAGATTATAGGTTTGTGTGTGAATGATTGATCGGATTGATCTGATCGATCAATGTAATCAATTATTGAAGGCGTACGTATACAATAAGTGGATATGTGCTATGTTAAATGCACGATGCGTAATCCCTTATTGCATAGAGTTTCAATTATTATCATAACCTCAAAAAACATTTTTTTTTTGTTCATGTCGATAATATTTTTGTGCAATTGTCAAGAACTTTGTTGAAGGCGTTGAAGGGGACAAATTCTAATAATTATTTTGCTCGTACTTTAAGGTAACATTAAATATTTCTTGTGAATATTTTTATGTTGCCTCAGAGTGAGAAAAATATTTGCATTTGTTCTCTATAGATTTTCGAAAAGTGCGAAAGAATATTGAAAAGAATTTTTTTTTTGAGGTTATGATAATAATAATAAAACGCAGTCAGTGAATTGAAATTCTGAATTGGGAATTAATAAAATAGATTCAACATTATTAAGTATTTAATTAAATTGGTATAAAAAAAATACAAGAAATTTAATAATAATATCAAAATAAAATAAATAATTATCAAAAACATTTAAAATACAAAATAAATAATTTAAGGAAGAATCTGAAGGAAAATCAAAACAAAAGTTTGCATAATGAAGGTTTAGTGAAAGGGTAATTAATTTAATTTTCAAAATTTAAAGTTAAACAATTAAAAGTTGCTTTTGAATAAAAATTGCAATTTCTCGTCAATACGAATTATTTATGTTAATAAATTTTAGGTTATGTTACCTAAATTGTTTCTTATTGACAAAAAATTGTAATTTTTATTCGCAACTTTAAATTGTTAAAAATGTTATAAATTAAATTCTCTACTCTTTCACTAAAATGTATTTAAATTTCAACATTTTTTTTTAAAATAAGAAATTGCCATTTTGGACTAATTTTTGTTCCGATTGTCTATATCGGAATTTTTATTCTTAATCAAATTAATAAAAAAGGTTTTTTAAAATTTATATTCGTTTTTCATTTTATGTTACAGATGAGTTTTATAACTTCAAGAAATAAAATATTCGACTAACGGATGAGGTTTTTTTTAAATAATATTGTGAAAAGCGATTATTGGAATTTTTTTATAGAAAAGTTTATTTTAAAGTGTAATTTTTAATTTTCGAGTCAGTGCGCAAGTTTGAAGACAATTAGAAAACTGCGGTTCAACAAAACAAAAGGTTAGTTTTTTTCAGGTATTTAAACTCTTTTTATCTAATTTATTTAATTACTATTATTTTTATTTTTAGTATCTTATTATTCACCTAAAAACGTGAGCTTAGATATTCTATGTCTAAATATTAAATTGAACGTTAAATCAATGAAACATTAAGTTTTTAATTTCTAATTATTTTTCTAAAGAGAATAATTATTGAAAAAAAGAACTTTATTTTCTTATATTTGATATGTTTAAATCTTATCAAATTAAATCTCGAAGATTTAATTAATATAAAATTACGAACTATATTATAAAAAATTGTTCAGCAGTAGGAAATATAATTTCTAAGTGTATTTGTTTTCCTTTAATGACATCGGGCAATGATTTGTCCAAAATTTAAAACGATTTGGAAGTATTGAAGTTGATAATATAATTCTAGGATCTGTATTATTTCGTATATTTCCAATTTGAAGATATCTATTATTTAGAGTAGTGTACGGCTTCCAAATTTCGGGATTTTTCAATTCTTCTGCCTTTGGTTTTCTGAAATATTTTAATAAATATGAATTATTTAATTATTTGGTAAATAAAATACTATAATAAAAATAAAAATTCGAAATATAAACATTGAAATGAATAGTTAAATAGTAACAAGTTTTTTTAAAAAGAGAAGTTCGAACTTTTATAGATAAAAATTCGAAATTTAAAATTTAATGTTTAAAAAAAAATTTAATTACCCTCAAAAGTAAATTTTGTTTTTTTTATATTTAATTCTCACCCTGTTATTGCAAACGATGTCCAAAGATTCACCATTACTTCACTTATAAAAAAATCAGGTCCAGTTAAAATTTTGTCCTTTAATTTGGGCGAAATAAATTTTATTGGAAATAAATATATGAGTTCGTCCATATGATTAACGCCGATATTTCTATTGTCATCAGTAATTGACATTGTCGTACTAAATTCACCTCGATAGCCAAAAACGTAGGCGTAATTTAAATTCTTCATATGAGGCGATACTTTTTGTAACATTTTTAATGTTGGATAGATAAAAAATCCATCGGTGACGAAATTTGTTATTGCTCTTAAATACTGTGGAAATATAATTGCAATTACAAATTATTGATGTTCAATTCTTCATTGCATTGAAAAATATTCAATAAAAATTTATTTTTAATAATTAATAATAATTAACATAATTAAAAAAGAAAAATATACCGTCAAATGGGGCAATTATAGTAGCAGTGGGGTAATAAGTGACAGGACTTTAAAATTTAATTCAGAATTATTACTTTGAGGTAAAAAAAATTGCGGACATTTATTTTATCCCAAGGTACCTTTAATTCATCATCGAAAGTGTTGTTGAAATAAAATTGATTCACTAAGTCAATAAATTTTTTATTGTCATTCGCACCAAAATAATGACTAGCTACAAATCCAATCAGTTTTGCGTGCAATAATTTGAGAATATTAAATAGAAAATAATTGGAATAGAACACTGAAATGAAAATATAATTTTTTTTAAAATATGGAAATTTAATTTTTTGTTTTTACTTGTTTATTTATTTATTTGGAGTACTTACTGCCAGTGACAAGCAATCCCTCGTTTACATTAACTCCAACTATATATGGTAAATCCTTCATTTCATGGATTAAATTTTTCGGATCGTCTGTTATAATGGCATCTTTATTATTATCATTTTCTTCAGTAGGTGTCCAAGTGAGTTTTGCTATTCGTGACATATAATTGAAAATAGTCTTTGTACTCAGTAATTCACTGACATTTTTTTCTCGCAAACAATCGATAATTTTTTCCGACGTGTTAAAAGAACAATTCACAAGTGTTTTAATATCACTTAAATGCTCGACCATACTATTCTTTTTCTGATAAGCCCACGGGCATAGAGCACTGCCACTTTCGATTATGTATTGATGAAAAAGACCTGTTTTTATACATATTTCCTGTTATAAAATTAAAATTTCTTGATTCTACTTATCTTCTTTTTTTAAATTCAATACAATTTTAACGAATATTTTTTTATAAATATTAAAAAAAAAAAAATAAATAAAAACAATATTTGTTAAAATAAATATTTTAACGAATATTGTTTTAGTTTTATTTTCTTCTTTCCGAACAAATTTTGTTATTTTAATTCTCTTTTGAGAATTGAGAATTTAGATTTTTTGAAATTATCAAAGATTGAATATTTTATAATTTATGAAACTGCAATTAATTTTTATGAAATTAAATTTTTTTAAATTTACCATGAGTTACTCTCGATAATGCGAGAAGATTAACGCTCACACCACCTGCACTTTGACCAAAAATTGTCACTCGCTTCGGATCGCCACCGAATGATTTGATATTTTCTTGAACCCATTTTAAAGCTAGGACTTGATCTTTTAATCCAAAATTTCCTGGTGCTGTTAAATCGCCAGTTGATAAAAATCCAAAAATGCCCAATCGATAGTTAATTGTTACTAAAATAATTTTTTTATCCAAGAAATATCTTGCAGTGTAGGAGTTACTCGATCCTCTTGTAAAATATCCTCCATGAATCCAAAACATCACTGGGAGTAAATCATTTTTTGTCTGACATTTAATATATATTATTAAAAAATTATTTTGAGGAAATTAGAAAAGATTTTTAATTTTTAATCAAAAAAATATTACAATAGTTATGATTTTTAAATTAACACTGCGAGAAATTAATTTTTTTCGCAAATAATCAATTTCAGATTTTGTCTATTGTCAAATATTTATACTTGAATCAGACAATTTTTATTTAAATCAAATAAATTGTATATTGGAAACAATAAGTTTAGTAATTACTAAAGAAATTAATTTTATTTGCAAATAAACAAATTCAGATTTTGTCTATTGTCAAATAAATATTTACTTGAATCAAATAATTTTTACTTAAACCAAATAAATTGTATTTTAAACAATCATTTCACTATTTGAATTAATTATCATTTTATATTGACTAAAAACATTTAATTATATTTTGAAAAAACTGGCTTAAATAAAGAATTAAAAAAATTAGATTTAAAATAATTTCTTGATTAAATGCAATTCTTTGATATTATTTACAAATTGAGATTTAAAATTGAGAAACGGTGTATAAACATTTAAAAATAGGCAGTCTTCATTTCCAAGTAATGTTTTATTTTCCATTTGAGGGCAAATATTTCCAAATTTTTTAGCAGATCTTATGCTATCCCAATTTTCTGCTGGTTTTGGTGCTGAAAATCTGAAAGTTTTTCATTATTTCAATTTTAATGTCGAAAAATAAAAATTTTTAAAATAATTGATAGCATAAAGTTTTTATAAGAAAAATTTGATTTAAATAAACGATAACTTGTCTATTATCCAAATAAATATTTATTTGTATCAAATAATTTTTATTTAAGTTTTAATGGTATCTATTTGATTCAAAATACTGATATTTTTGGTTAAAATTATGTTTTTTGAAGTCAATCAAACGGTCTTTGCTTCAAATACTGAAATTATTGGTTCAAATAATTATTGATTTGAATTTTAAATAAAAATTTAAATAAAAAATATTTAAATAAAAGTTATTTGATTTGCATTAATATTTAAATAAAAATTATTTGATTTGAATAAATATTTATTTGATAACAAACGAGTAATCATTATATTTGAGTTAAATAATTTTTTTTATCTCTAGGAGTTGTAATTTAAAAATTAAAACTATTTTTGAATGTTTTATTACATTTATTTTACAAAAAAGAAAGAATTCTAAATTACCTTAGTTCATTAATTGGCGGTTGCGCATAAGGTATTCCAATAAATGCTGAATAATTTTGCCCATTTCTTGATTGTTTATAAATTCCATTCAATACTCCTTGTTTTATTTGCACTAATGGTTCTGTATTTATAAGTAAGATTCTCAAAATGTATAGAAAGAATAATTTTATATAAAAATACATATTTAATATTTTTAAATTAAATTATCGCAATTTTGATTTAATATCTAAATTCAAAAGAAATGCAAAAAATTGGACATAAATAAATCATGTAATTAAAAATACGTGAAAAATTTGAAATTTAGTTAAAATTAAAATAAAAAATTCTTATGTTCGTGAAAAATGAAAAAAAACTTGAAATTGCTAAAGGTAGAAGTGTAAAAAAAGTAATATTATAGTATTAAAGTTAAAAAAATTTCCCACTCTTGGAGAAATGATAGTTAACAATATCTACAAAGCCTGATTAAAAAAAACTAGACAAATATGAAAAATTCAAGTTTTGTTTTTAAACAAAGAGAAATGTGTTTTGTGTCAACAATTACAATTCTTGCGATAAAAACTATTTACAATATAATGATAGACAATTTATGTAAAGTTCCAGAGAATTAAGTTGTTTTTCAAATAAGGCGAAACGAACTTTTAACAAAAATTAGGATTTTTATTCTAGAATATTAGGATTATTATTATTATTATCATTAGGATTTTTAGATTCTAGAGAAAAGCAATAATTTATTAATATTACAGTAGAGATAAAACATTTATAATCTTAAAAATGTTCTCTCCAAAAATTCATTCTTTCTGGTAAAAAGTTGTTTGTTAGTTTTACTGATGGTTTCCTATTGTCACTTTCTTCGCCAATTTGTAAATAGGGATTTTTTTTGCTGTTGTAGGGTTTCCATAAATTTGGTGGATTCAAATATTTTGATGTTGGTTTTCTAGGTTAAAAAAATAACTATTAGTTAATGGTTCTTTGTTGTACAGAAATTATTTCTGTAATTCACTTCAGAAAAAATTTAGAATTAAAAAAACTATTTTCAAAAATTATAATCAAATTCTTTAAAACGATTCAATTATTTTCAATAAAAAATATTCCAAATTTAATTATTTTCATCAAATTTGGCAAAAAAATTCAATTATTTAAAAAATTTATTGTAAAAATCTTCATACGAATTCAATTCTTTTCACGAATAATACAAATTTCTTAGGAATTCAATTATTTAAATTAGAATTTGCATAAAATTAATTGAAAGAAATTAATTATTTAAAAATTTTTTATAAAATTCTTCTTTTTTGGTCGTCAAGTAAATACAAGAAACAACTTTAAATAAAAATTTTTCTTCGTCTAAAAATAAATTTTAACGATTTAAAAATTTAATTAATTAAATAATCAATTTGAAATAAACTTTTTCCTTGAGTAAATTTTTACTATTTTGTTAAATAATTCTTAGCAAATATTACCCATTGGTGGCAAATGATGTCCACAGGTCAACCATTAATTTACTTATCATTCGTTCTTCATCAGTAAAATGTATATCTGTTCTATTAACTACCAAATAAGTTAATGGGAAATAAAATATTAAGTCACCACCATGACCAGCGCCAAAGTTTTCATTAGATATTAAATTAGAAAGAATTGAAGTTTCACCACGATATATAAAATGATAAAAATAGGTAGGATTTTTCATTCTAGGAGCTATTTGATCCAACATTTTCATTTCTGGATAAAAGAAAATTCCGTCTGTAATTATGTTTGTGTAAGTGTCCAAATCCTGAAACAAATTTTTTTTGTAAAGTACAATCAAGACTTTTGCTATTTTAAAAAAAAAAAATTTATTGTCTTTGATTAACAGAATTTAAAAATTAAAGAATCAAAAAATTTCCCTTTCTCTAATTACCTGTCGCTTTTTGATAGATTGATGTGAGCTATTAAAATAGAACTTATCTAAATTAGCTGGAAAATTTTTGTTTGCCCCTCTTATATAAACGGCATCATCGATAAATAATTTTTTCATAAATTTGCTCATAATATTGTAGGCAGGATCAATTGCGTAGAAAACTGAAGGAATAAATTTTAATTATATTCATTTTTTTAATACCGAAAAAATATCGAAAATGTTTTAAAATCTTTAAAGTTAGCAATATAAAGTTATATTTATTTTGTTTTTAATAGAAGATGACAGAATGTTTTTTATTTGTTAAATATATAAATAAATTATGACCAGCTTTTTTTCTTATCTTAATGGCTTGTTTACCATTTGTAATAAAAACTGCTTCGTTACCAACAACGCCACTAATGAACGGTAAATCTTTCATTTCTTTCATTAAATTTTGTGGAGTGTCGGTTAAAAATGCGTTTGGCTCGTTTTTTGGTTCGTTTGTTGGTACCCATGCCATTTCGGCAACATGAATAAATATTCCAACTATATCGCACCAAAATAGTAGAGTTTCTGGATCTTTATTTCGAAAACAGTTGATTAGATTTTTTGTTGATGTTGTGGGACAGTCGACAAATTTAGCAACTTTTTTAACAGTTTGATAAATTTCTCTACTGTCTCGATAGGACCAGGCTGGTAGTGCTGTACCACTTTTCATAATATATTGTTGAAAAAGACCTAAAATTAAAAAGATCTCCTAATTGTACGGAGTTTAAATTTTATGCAGTTTATGTTTCTCGTATTAGAATTAATTTTTTTTACCATTGCTTGCTTTGCTAAGAGCAAGAAGGTGAACACATGAAGCTCCCGAGCTTAGACCAAAAATTGTAACACGATTTGGATCGCCACCGAAAAATTTAATATTCTTTTGAATCCATTTTAAAGCCAGAACTTGATCCTTCATTCCGTAATTGCCTGAAGCTGCTGAATCGCCAGTGGATAAGAAACCAAAAATTCCCAATCTATAATTGACCGTTACAAAAACGATATTCTTGTCCAAAAGGTAATTGGCTTTGTAATCATTGCCAGATCCAAAGAAGAATGATCCCCCATGTATGTATACCATTACTGGTAATAAATTTTCGTTAGATGTGTTTGAGTACTGGAAAAAGTATTTTCGTTAAAATGTTCTCTAAATTTTTTGGAAAGTTTAAATTACGATAACTTGTTGCGAAATGCTCTTCAGGAAAAGCTAACAAAATACATTTCAAAAAATCAAATGTTACCATTTGTTGAAATTCAGTAATTGGGGTGTAAATGTTTAGAAATAAACAGTCTTCCTTTCCAAATGTTCTTCCAAATATTCTGTGTACACATGCACTTCCAAATGATTTTGCTCTTCGTATTCCTTTCCATTTTGCTGCTGGTAAAGGATTTTGGAACCTAATTTTTATAATTAAGGATTATCAGTACTCAGATAGCACAACAATTTTCTGCTAGTTTGTTCTGCAAAGCTTTGTTCAATTAATTTGTTACTTGAGGGAAAAAATTAGAATCTGAAACTTTTCTTGTGTTTATTCAGAATTTTTACTAGTCTTTTTACTAACTCAAAATTGTTTACTAGTAAAATAATATCCATTAGAAAAATGTTGGTTCAGATTCATGCAAATTCCATTTGTTTGCGTTTATTATTGCAGAACTTTTTTCACAAATTTTCAAAACTGTTGATTTTTTCGAAATTTGTTAGTAAGTTTCCAATCTTACCTTAAAATTCCAACCGGAGGTTGTCCGTATGGAACACCAAGAAATGCGGAATAATCTCTACCATTTCTGGATATTTCTGTTGTTCCAAGAAGAATTCCTTGAGATGTTTGCACTAGTGGTTGTGAATTTAATACCGTCGGGCTTAATAAGCAGAGCAATAATAAGATTTGATTTAACATTTCGTTTATCGAGAATATTATTCTTAAATAATATAATAATATTTATTCAATAATAATATTATTCTTAAATAAATTTTAAAAAATAATTTTAATAAATAAATTTTTTTTCTCTATATGCTAAACAACCAACAATGGCTGTCTTTTTAGAAAAACAATAATTTCCAAATAATCTTAGCGAAAAACAATGAAAATTTAGGAAACAATTTTTTTTGCAGACTATTCTCTCTTAGATGTTACTTTTAGAAGACTATCGTACAGACTGTATTTTTTTCTTATTTTTTTATTAAATATGTACGTCGACTGACATTGAACTGGTTATGAAACTTTAAACCTTGATCTTAGAAAAATTTTGACAATCTTTACAGATGTTTTTCTTAATTTCATGGTCAGATTAGTTTCCAAATACTCTTGAATATTCTCTCCACTCTCGTATAAGCACGTAAAGAGGGGCTTTCACAATTACGCATATTTGACTCAATCACGAAATTCTATTACATTTGAACAAACAAACGAACATTAAAAATAGTGTCGAATTATTTGCATTTACAGTGCAACCTCGATTATTCGAATTAATTCAGGCGTGACTCGGTTCGAATAATAAAAATTGCAATTATTTTCGTTTAAAATTTTTAAAAAATGATTAGTTTAATATCCTTTGCACTATTAAATTCAATTTTTAAGTAGTAGCAGGTCGTCCACCCGTACGCCATCAAACAATCAAAATTTCATAAAAAAGATATTAAAAACTTTTTTCTTTCAAATTTAAAAATTTTAATCATCTGTAAATCACCTGAGTTCTAGTAGGGACTGAGCCCTAGGCATTCTTGAAGAATAGGGAATTTTATTTCAATTTTTAAGTAGTAGCACCACCACCCGTACGCCATCAGACAATCAAAATTTCGTAAAAAAGACATTAAAAATTTTTTTCTTTTAAATTTAAAAATTCTAATTATTTGAAAATCACCTGAGTTCTAGTAGGGACTAAGCCCTAGGCATTCTTGAAGAATAGGGAATTTTTTTTCAATTTTGCTTCTTGTTTTTTAGAAATAACTTTCTTTTTTATTCAAATTTTTATTAATTCTTGTCAAAATTGTATTTCTGGCATGGAAACGAATCGATGATGTATCTAAAGTATATATTTTTTTATATTTATAAAATTAAACAATATTTTTTTTTCAACAAAAAATTAATATTTTGATTTTTTTGAAATTTTATCTTAATACTCTAAAATAATTTTTCTATAATTAGAAATTAAGGGAATTCATATATGTATGTTATATTGAGGAAGCTAAATGATCATAAAATTGACAACTTTTTTTTCAATCATTACATCAGTTTAGTGTATTTTTTTCCAAAAATCCATTTTGTTGGATAAAAAGTTACTTGATAATTTCACTGAAGGTTTCAAATTGTCGTCCTCGTCACCGATTTGCAGATAGGGATTGGATTTTGTATTATACGGCTTCCATAAATTTGGTGGATCTAAATATTTTGATGTCGGTATTCTAGATTGACAAAAAGATTAAAATTTTTTGTTATTAAGATTATTATAATAATAGTCAGATAGCACGATACTGGGTAAAAAAGAAAAATTGTTAAGAAGTTTAAAAATTTGCAACAAACAGAATTTTTATTTTTAATAGTTTCATTTCATACCCGTTGATTGCAAATGAGGTCCACAAGTCGACTGTTATTTTACTCATCATTCTATCATTATCAGTGAAATAAGCATCTGTTCGGTTAATGAAGAAATACTGAATCGGAAATAAATATACTATTTCGCCAGCATGACCTGCTCCGAAGTTCTCATTACTTAATATATTAGTGAGGAGTGAATTTTTTCCACGATATATATAACGATAGAAATAGTTAGGACTTTTCATTTTTGGTTCAATTTGATCCAACATTCTAATTGCTGGATAATTAAATATACCGTCTGAAGCTATGTTCGTATAGGTGTCTAAAAACTTTTGAAAATAATCTTTTGTTAGAAAATTAGACATTTTTTGAAAAGAAATTATCTCTTATTTTACTTTTGGAAAAAAAAGTTTTTACACTCTAATCAATTATGAGGAATTTTTGTATTTGTTTACTGATCTATTTACCTGCTTTTTGGTTAAGTTTTGGTCTTGCGAATTGTTGAAATAGAACTTATATAATTCGTTCGGAAAACTCTTCTTAGCGTCTCTGATATAAACAGCATCGTCGATAAACAGTTTTTTCATATATTTTTTTAGACGATTATAAAGAGAATCGAAAGTGTAGAAATCTGATGGATAAAATGAATTTTAAATGAGATAGAAAATCTTGTCATTGCACATGGAAAAAAATTCATTTAAATCGTTTTTTCATTTGAAGAAAAAAGTACTGGTACATGTGCAATGACTTTAGTTTTCTTTAGTTTGCATTTCTTTTTTTTCATAAGTTATTTACAATTTGTAATAATCGCTCCTTCATTGCCAACAACACCACAAATGAAAGGTGCATCTTTCATTTGATGCATTAAATTTTGCGGATTTTCTGTTAGAAATGCATCATCATTTATGGGTTCGTTTGTTGGTTGCCAGGGAAATTCGGCAATTCGAATCATCAGTCCGACCAAATTGGACAAAATTAGTAAATAATGTCCATCAACTTTTCGTAAACAGTCCATTAGAATTTGTGTATTTGTTGTAGGGCACATTGCAAATTGAGCCATTTTTTTAACGGATTGAAATATTTCGTTTCTGTCTCTATAGGCGAAGGCACTTAAGGCGGTACCACTTTGCATAATATATTGATGAAACAGACCTGGAAAATTTAAATTTTATGATAATTTATCCTTTTATTAAACTGCTAACAAAATTAGGTGATTATAATCAATTTTAGCATATTCTGCAAAATTGATAGTCAATATTGTTTATAAATAATTAATATTGTTAATTAAGGTTCTTTACCACTGCTCCTTTGGTTAATTGCATGTAAATGAACGCTGACACTTCCAGCACTTTGTCCAGAAAGTGTAACACGATTGCGATCACCACCAAAAAATTCAATATTCCTTTGAATCCATTTTAAGGCAAGCAACTGATCTTTCAGTGCAAAATTACCTGGAGCTATTGTATCAGCAGTGGTTAAAAAACCAAAAATTCCCAATCGATAATTTATAGTCACGAAAATGACATTCTTGTCCATAATGTAGTTTGCTTTATAATCATTGCCAGATCCAAAAAAGAATGCTCCACCGTGTATAAAAACCATTACTGGCAATAAAGTTTTGTTTAATGAACTTATATTCTATAAAAAAAGTTTTTTTTTTGCCTTGTCATGCATACAATGAAAAAGTTTTGTTTAAAAAAGAAAAATTGTCACCACTTGTTGAAAATTAAGAAACGGGGAATATATGTTCAGAAATAGACAATCTTCTTTGCCAAATGGTACTCCAAACAATGTGTGTAAACATGAGTTACCGAAAGATTTTGCGTTTCGTATTCCATTCCATTTCTCTGCTGGTACAGGATTTTTGAACCTAATTTTTATATTTCCCACTTAAAAAAAAAAATATTACAGGGTTGCCACAGGTCAGGGAAAAGTCAGGGAAATTAAAATTGGTCAGGGATTTTTATTAAAAGTACTGGAAAATATTAAATTTTTAGAATTTATAAGAAAATTCTGAATTTTTGTGTCTTTTTCGTTTGCATCATAAACTATGAAATTGCCAAGAATTCTAATACAAAACCTTCCATTTTTTCTATTTCTGACAATTATCTCCTTTTAAATAACTTTATTCTTGAAGAATTGTCATAAAATTATTAACTATAAATTATTTAATGAATAATTTTACTTAAAAATTTCAAAATTAATTGGATTTCAAAAGAATTGCGTTTACAATCTTCATAAATAGATGAACTTCAAAGGTTTCAATTTGAAATTTTAGAAAATATCAATTTTTAATGAATTTAAATTTTTTTAATAGGGATTTCAAGAACAACTGATTACAGAAATTCAATTATTTTCAAAAGTGATAAACTTCTTCGCTTAAATTCAATTATGTTAAAAATTTTTTTAAATTCTCGCCAAAATTTCAATTATCATTATAAATAATAAAATTCTTCTCCGAAATTTAATTATATTTCTATACAATTCAATTATTTTCAATACAATTCTTCTTAAGAATTCAATTATTTTCACAAATAATACATTTTTTTATAGGAATTCAATTATTCGAAAAAGTTTTATAAAATTTAAAATTTTTATAAAATTCTTCGCAAGAAGTCAATTATTTTCATAAATAATAAAATTTTTCTCAAGAATTCAATTATTTTAAAAATTTTTATTAAAATGTTTATAAATTTGAAAAATTATAATAAAATTGATTATAGAATATAATTATTTTCGTAAAATATATAACACTCTTCCTAGGATAACAATTATTGTCAAAAATGTTTGTAAAAATCTTTGAAACAATTCAATTATTTTCGTAAAAAATAAAATTCTTCGAAGCAATTCAATTATATAAGAAATCTTAATAAAATTCTTCCCAAGAATTCAATTCTTTTCAAAAATAAAATTTTTCACAGGAATTCGATTATTTAAAAAAAAAATTTAATTAAATTCTTCGTTAGATTTTAATTATTTTTCTCCGGAATTCAATTCTTAAAAAAAAAATTTTAATAAAATTCGTTGCAAGAATTCAATTATTTTCATAAATAACAAAACTTATCGCAGAATTCAAATTATTTTTTATACAATTTTAAATAAACTGATAGAAAATTGCATTCAATTTTAAGGAATATTCAATTATTTATCTTTCTATTTAAATAATTAAATTCTCGAAAAATTTTCTATTAAAATTTGATTAAAAAATGAATTTTACTTAAAATTTTTGATTATTTTCTTTTGAGTATATAATAATATTTGGAGTGAATTAAAATATTCTTCAGGGTCAGGGAAAATGTCAAAATCAGTCAGGAAAAAGTCAGGGAAAAACCAAATTAAATTTTTGTGGCAACCCTGTTTTACTTTTTTATTTTAATTATTTAATATATTTCTTTCTGAAATTTTTGTTAGATTTCTGCTAATTTTTACTATTTTTGAAATAAATTTTATTATTTTCAAAGTATATTTTCGTATTTTCAAAGAATATTATTCAGTAACATTTTCTTTCAATTTACCAAAAAATTACTGTATTTCTGGAGATAATTTTATTATTTCTGTTTAGTAAATTTTATGGAACTTGGTAAAATTTACTACGTTAATTTAATAAAAGTTAATAGAAATGCGCAAAAAATAGTTTTGATAACTGCAAATTTTTTTAAAAATTATATTCTTTTAAATACTCACAAATACTTTGTTGAAATTTTAAAAAATTAGTTACACAATTTTGATACTACCTTAAATCTCCGATAAATCCTTAAATCTACCTTAAATCTCCGACTGGTGGTTTTCCATATCGTACGCCAAGAAAAGCGGAATAATTTCTTCCACTTCTCGATTTTTCTACTGTACCAACAAGTATTCCATTTTCAGTTTTCACTATAGGTTTAGAATTTAACAATGGTGCACTTAGCAAAAAAAGAAAAAATATAATTAATTGATTCGTCATTTTTGGTTGAGGATACATTTTATAATAAATTTTTAATTCTCTATTTATTTAAATTTCTATTAAACAAATTTTCAGAAAATATTAGCAGTCCTTTTTACATAAAACTAAATGATTAGAAAAAATAATTTTCCGATTATACTAATTTGTAATTTAACTATTTGCAACTCGGTTGCCTCTTGACTACTACTCTCTTCGAAAAAATAATTTTTTGATTAAACTAATAACATTGTAAGTCCGTTTGCAACTCTGTGGTATCTAGGATTTTATGATCAATTAAATATTCTGAGATGAAATATGATTAGTGTTTTTCAGTGTTTTTTTCTTGGTGGATTCTCATATTACTTTGTAATAACTTAAATACATAGTTGAAGAAATTGCAAGTAATACAAATTAGCATATTTTGTAATCGTATATGTTTATAATAATTTTGTTTCGTATTGAGTATTCGGAGAAAAAGGGATTATTATATTTACTATCAATCAGTATAGTAACTATTGGTATTAGTTAACTGGAGGGAAATTTTTTCTCCAAAAGTTCATTCGCTCCGCTAAAAAGTTGCTTGATAGTTTTACCGAAGGTTTCATTGTGTCATTTTCGTCTCCAATTTGAAGAAAGGGATTTTTCTCGGTGTTGAACGGTTTCCATAAATTTGGCGGATTTAGGTATTCAGATGTTGGTTTTCTAAATCGAAACAAAATAATTGTGATTATAAAAATGTAATAATTGTATTTTCCGTAAAGTCTTGATTTTTGTTAATAGCTGAAGTGAACTTTGACCTTACGGAAAATTATTTGTAAAATTTTGTTAGAATTTGAAACGAAGTAGATTTTAATAAAAACTTTACCCGTTGATTGCAAATGAGGTCCATAAGTCGACAGTCAATTTACTCATGATTCTATCATTGTCACTTAAATCAGCATCCGTTTTATGAATAATGAAATACGAAAAGGGAAATAAGAATAATAATTCATCAGCATGGCCAACTCCAAAGTTCTCATTAGATAAAAAATTAGAAAATAGTGAAGTGTCCCCATGATAGACAAATTGATAAAAATAGTTGGAACTTTTCATTCTTGGTGCAATTTGATCCAACAATCTCATTGCTGGATAATTGTAAAGACCGTCTGTAAGTATGTTCGTAAAGATGTCCACATTCTTCAAAAGGATATTTTTTCAGGAAAATCTATTTTATGAGACTAAAGTTTGAATGAATTTTTCTTTTATCTATTTACCTGTTTTTTGCTCATATGATCCGAATTATTATTAAAGTAAAACTCATCTATTTCACTCGGAAAACTCTTTTTATCGTTTCTGATATAAACAGCATCGTTGATGAATATTTTTTTCATGAATTTGCTTAGAAGATTGTAAAGAAGATCGATGGTGTAAAAAACTGATGGATAAATGGAAATTTTAATTATTGTGGATACTTGGATGTTAAATTTTTATTTTTATAGTGTTTTTAGTATTTTCAGTATTTTTATAGTATTTTTAGTATTTTTAGTATTTTTAGTATTTTTATAGTATTTTTAGTATTTCTATAGTATTTTTAGTATTTTTATAGTAGAGAGTTGTAATTTGTTTACAATTTGTAAAAGCAACTGCTTCGTTTCCTGTAACGCCGCAAATGAAAGGTACGTCTTTCATAAGATGCATTAAATTTTGCGGATTGTCGATTAAAAATGCATCGTTATTTATAGGTTCGTTTGTTGGTTCAAAAGAAAATTCGGCAACTCGAATCAGTATTCCAACCAAATTGCTCCAAAATAGTAAATAATATTCATTTTTCTTTTGCAAACAGTTTAATAATACTTTTGTTGATGTTGTACTGCAATTGACGAAGTTTGCAATTTTTTTTACTGTTCCAAAAATTTCGTTTCTGTCTCTATAGGCGTAGGCAGTAAGGGCGGTGCCACTTTGCAGAATAAATTGATGAAAGAGACCTAAAAAATATATTTTTTTATAATTAAGATGATTATTATGATTTTTATATTTTAGTATTTATCCTTTTTATATTTTAGTATTTATACTTTTTATATTTTAGTATTTATACTTTTTATATTACAGTATTTTAATTTTATAGTATTTCTACTTTTTTGTATTATAGAATTTATATTTTTTATTTTATAGTATTTGTACTTTTTTGTATTATAGTATTTATATTTTTTAAGATTCTAGTCTTTTTACTACATTTATATTGTAGTAACTTTGTAGTAAATTTTTTTATTTCTTTTACCACTGCTAGCTTCGCTTAGTGTGTGTAAATGAACACTGGCACTTCCAGCACTCTGTCCGAATATAGTCACTCTATTCGGATCACCACCAAAAAATTTGATATTCTTTTGAATCCATTTTAAGGCCAGTACTTGGTCCTTCATTCCAAAATTTCCCGGAGCTGTTAAATCCGCAGTAGACAAAAATCCAAATATCCCCAATCGATAATTTATCGTCACAAAAATGACATTCTTGTCCATAATGTAGTTTGCTTTATAGTCATTTCCGGCTCCGAAGAAAAATGCTCCACCGTGTATAAAAACCATCACTGGTAGTGGATTTTCCTTTGATGTATTTAAATTCTACAGTAAAAATATATTTTTAATTCGTATTACAGAATTCGAATTCGTATTACAGAATTAGAATTTGTTTACAGTAAAAAAAATCTTAATTTAAGACTTTCTTTTTGCATTAAAGGACTTCATTTTTATTGTAACGGAGATAGGTTAAAATTTAGATAAGAAAAATTCTTACCATTTGGTGGAACTCAAGAAACGGAGAGTATATGTTTAAAAATAAACAATCTTCGTTGCCAAATGGCAATCCAAAAAGAGAGTGTAAACACGAATTACCTAAGGATGTTGCAGTTCGTATTCCACTCCATTTTTTTGCTGGTACAGGATTTTTGAACCTAATTTTAATATTTGTTTGGGTATAAATTAATAAAAACGGAAAATTTGATTTTAGTTTCCAGAAATTATTTTAACGTTTTATGTTAAATATGTATTATAGTATCATTTTAATATGTTATGTTTGTTACATTTTCTCCTTTCCATTAATATGTTTTAAATCATTTGATTAAAATTTTCTTAAATATTTAAATACTTTGTTGAATTTTTCGAAATTAGTACATTTTCAATAATACCTTAAAATTCCAATCGGTGGTTGTCCATACGGTACACCAAGAAAAGCGGAGTAATTTCTACCACTTCTCGATTTTTCCACAGTGCCAAGAAGTTTTCCCTGTAATGTTTCCACTAGTAGTTTTGAATTTAACACTGGCGCAAATATTAAATAGAACAACAATATAATTAATTGATTTTCCATTTTGTTAGGAATTCATTTATGAATTAGAACACTTATCCTCTTTTGTGGTATGCTTAAGGATTCGAACTGCTTTAAAATTCTTAGGTTGCACTTTAACTTTGTGTTATTGCATAAGATTAGAAAAAATTGTAACGGTAACAACAATAACTGGTACAACAATAATAGAAAAAACAATAACAGTTGAAATTATAACAGAAAGAACAATAACAGTTGAAATAATAACAGAAATAACAATAATAAACACAATAGTTAAAGAAACAATATAACTTTAATACAACTTGCTTACAACTCACTAGAAAGGCAGTATGAATTTATTGTTCCCTCATTATTCATGATCGATTTTACAAGTCACTTAATTAATCGATGATCCAATATGTTAATACTTTTTTTGCATCGTTACGAAGATTTACTAATTACAACTATGAGGAGATTATGAATAATACAATTAGCATATTCACTGATCGTATTCTTACTATATTTTTTATTTTACTAGAATTAAAATTAGTTTAAAATATATACATTATGTTATTTTACTTTTTTGTTTAAAGAATTTAAAGTTTCAAGTATTTGAAGTTTCAAGAATTTGTTTTGTATAAAATATTAATTATTTGACGGAAAATGTTCTCTCCAGAAATTCATTCTTTCAGTTGAAAAGTTGCTTGATAATTTTACTGATGGCTTCATGTTGTCAATTTCATCACCAATTTGCAAGTAGGAATTATTTTCGGTGTTGTACGGTTTCCATATGTTTGGTGGTTCTAGATAATCGGATGTAGGTTTTCTAAAAATAAAAATTATTTATATTTCAAAATGTGTTAATTATGATATGTGACATGTCGCGAAAAAAGATACCTAAGAGTCACTTATAGTTTATGTTTGTTATTTTTACCTTAAATAAAAGGATCTTTTTTTATTTTGTAAAATAATTTTTATTGAATATTTTAAATGTTTTATTAATTAGTTTGAATTGAGATTTAATGTAAAGTAGTCTTTTACCCATTAGCTGCAAATGATGTCCATAAATCGACAAATAATTTACTTATTTTTCTATCAGTAGGTGAAAAATCAGCGTCTGTTCTTTTTATTATAAAATATTCAAAGGGAAATAAAAATATTATTTCATTGCCATGACCAACGCCAAAGTTGTCGTTACTCAAGAAATTTGACAAATTTGGAACATCACCACGATATCCATAGTTATAAAAATAGGTAGGATTTTTCATTTTGGGTGTAATTTGATCCAAAACTTTGATTTGGGGATAAATAAACATTCCGTCTGAAAGTATAGTCGTATAGGTGTCCAATAATTGCTTGAAAAAAATTAAATTAATTATTGAATAATTGCGATCATTTGAAGTATTTATTTATTTATTATTTTGAGAATTTATTACCGTTTTCTTATCCAAGGGCTGGGAATTATTGAAATAAAATTTATATACATCAGTTGAGAAAGTTTTTTCACTATTTCTGAGATAAACAGCATCGTCGATAATCAACTTTTTTAAAAATTTCTTTATCAGATTGTAAACAAGATCGAGTGTGTGAATAGCTGGGGAATAAAATTGAATTTTAATTTCTATTATTTGATTCAATTAAATATTTAATTGATAATAGTCAATTAATCGGTTACTTGAATCAAATAAATCTTTTTTAGTGTATATTTTTATATTAAATTATGATTAAAATTTGTTGCTGGTTTACCACTTATGAAAAAGAGTCCTTCATTTTTGGAAACTCCACTAATGAAGGGCAAATCTTTCATTTGTTCCATTAAATTTTCTGGATTGTCGGTTAAGAATGTTTCCTCGCTGTCAGGCGATTCATTTGTTGGCACCCAAGCAAGTTCTGCATTTCTAACGAATAATCCAACAATATTACTCCAAAATAGTAGATCATTTGCGTCCGTTTTTCGCAAACAGTTCATTAAGATTTTAGTTGATTTCGTTGGACACGAAACAAAGTTGGCTATTTTTTTAACAGTTTGAAAAATTTTACTACTGTCTCGATAGGCCCAGTTACTTAATGCAGTTCCACTCTGCAAAATATATTGGTGAAAAAGACCTAAAATTATATATTAACTTATTCTTTATATTGTACATTAATTTATTCTTTATATTATACATTAATTTATCCAAAAAGATTGCCAATTTTTAAAATTATTAATATTAATTTATCATTTATTACAAAATATTTATTTACTTAATTTGAAGATCGAATGAAAATATAAAATGGTTTTTTAATTAGTAAGTTTTCTTTTACCATCACTTGCTTTTGAAAGAGTGTGATAATGAACAGAGGAACTGCCGGAGCTTATGCCAAAAAGTGTCACTCGATTTTTATCGCCACCGAAAGATTCGATATTTTCTTGAACCCATTTTAAAGCTAATCTCTGGTCTTTTAGTCCAAAATTTCCGGATGCTTCGGAATCGGCTGTCGTTAAGAAACCTAAAATTCCTTGACGATAGTTGAGTGTCACAAAAATTACATTCTTGTCCAAAAAATATGTTGCTTCGTAATTATCACTTCCGCCGAAGAAAAATATTCCCCCGTGTAAATATACCATTACTGGTAATGAATTATTTTTCTAAAACGAAATGTTTTTGCTTTATTAAACGGTAATTTGACACGAAAATTCATTTGCCGTAAAATTTGTTTGGCATAAATGGCATTTAACATAAAATTCATGCGATTCAAATTTTATTTTGACATAAATTTCAATTGACATAACTTTCATTTGATACAAAAATTCATTTAACATAGAATTTGTTTAACATTAATGGCATTTGACATAAAATTTAAGATATATACATTTTATTTTACATAAAACTAGTTGGAAATAAATGTTATTTGGCATTTTCATTTGACATAAAATTAATTTAACTTAATATTCATTTGACATACATTTTATTTGACATAAAAATAAAATCCATTTTACAATGAGTTCATTTGACATAAAAGTCATTTGACATAATTCCCATTTGTCATAAAATTCATGTGCCATAAATGCTCTTTCAACATAAATTTAATTTGACATAAAACTCAATTTGCATAATTTCCATTTGGCATAGGAATCACATGACATAAATTTCATTTAACATGAAAATCACTTCACGTAAATTTCATTTGACACGAAATTCATTAGACGTAAGTTTAATTTGATATAAAATTCATTTGAAATGAAAGTTATGTAATATAATTCTTATTTGACATAAAATCTACTTGACACAAATTACAATTGGCATACAATTAATTTGACATAAAACTCATTTGACATTATCTAGAAAATTGTAATTAGCCAATTTTGAAATTTGCACCTAAATTTTTATGTCAAATGATCTTTATGCCAAATGAAATTTATGGTAAGAGAATTTTATGTCAAATGGGAATTATGTTAAATTACTTTTGGATAATGTACTAAATGAAGTTTATGTCAAATAAATTTTATGTCCAATTAAATTAAAGTCTATTAAGTGTTAGGTTATTTTTATATTTAATAGAATTTGTATAATGTGATTTATATGTTAAATAATATTTATGCAATGTAATTTTTTTGTCAAATGAGAATAATGTTAAATAAATTTTATGTCAAACGAAATTTATGTCAAATTAATTTTATGTCAAATAAAATTTATGTCATATGAAATTTATGTCAAATTAATTTTATGTCAAATAAATTTTATGTCAAATGAAATTTATGTCAAATGAAATCAATGTCAAATTAATTAATTTCATGTCAAATGACGTTTATGTCAAATTAATTTCATGTCAAATAAAATTTATGTTAAATGAATGTTATATCAAAAGAAATTTATGTCAAATGAATTTTATGTCAAATGAAATTTATGTCAAATTAATTTCATGTTAAATGACGTTTATGTCAAATTAATTTCATGTCAAATGAAATGTATGTTAAATGAAATTTATGTTTAATTAATTTTTATGTCAAATGAAATTTATATCAAATGGATTTTATGTCAAATGAAGTTTATGTCAAATGAATTTCATGTCAAATGGAATTTCTTGTTTAATTGTTTACGTCAAATAAAAATTCGGGAATATTCATGCGTCACGGAAAATAAATAGCTAGAAAAAAATGGAATTTACATAAAAAAAATGATTACCATATTTTCTTGAAATTCAAGAAGCGGGGAATAAACATTTAAGAATAAACAATCTTCTTTTCCAATTGTTTTAATCCCAAACAATGTATGCAAACATGAGCTTCCAAATGATTTTGCCTGTCGAATTCCACTCCATTTTTCTGCCGGTTGGGGATTTTTGAACCTTATTTTAATATTTGTATAAACTTTGTTATTAAATTTCTTTAAATTAATTAGGTAATTAATTAAATAGTTAATTATTAATTATTAATTAAATATTTAATTATTAATTAAAGACTAATCATAATTTTAAAGACCTTAAATCACCAACTGGTGCTTTGCCATAGGGAATACCGAGAAAAGCAGAATAATTTCTACCATTTCTTGATTGTTGAAAAGTACCATCAACTATTCCATTTTTAGTTTTCACTAATAATTCCGAATTTGACACTGTTGCGGTTATTAAACAAAAAAATATAATTCTACCAGGCATTTCAATCTCTGCTTTTCTTTTAAAACTAAAGTTGAGTTTTGCTCTACAATGTATCTTAATAATATCCTACTTTTTCAATGAAGTTATAAATTAAAATTTCATGATTATATACAATCATCTGGAATGGTGATAAAGATAAAATTCATTAATACTGTTCGTTTGTATAAGAATGTCAGTATAGGAATTGGTAATTTTTTTTTTGTAACTGTAGCAGATTTTTAATAACATCATTTCATGTAAGATATAAGATAAATTGATATAAGATCAAAGATGCTTCGAGTGTTTTTCAAAATGTTAGTATATTTTGTTTACATGTGTAAATTTTAATTAGAAGTATACGGAAGAACGGGATTTTTTTTTAAGTGCAAGGATATAAAATTATGACGAAGAAAATTAGCATAGTTCTTAATCAATGTCAGATTGTAATAGATAATACATATTGAAATTTTTATACATTTATTGCAAAAAAAAGTTTAGTTTGTATAAAAGAAATTGAAAATGAAAAATTAATTCAAAAAACAAGTTGTGCTATTTGTTTATACACAAATGTTTTAAATTTAAATTATACAAAATTTTTTACTAAAATCGTCCAGTCGATTTTAATTACTTTAATAGTAACTATAAAAGTAAAAAAAAGTTGATCTTGTTAACTAATAATTAGGTCAAAATGTCGACCTTACTTTTATAAGTAATTTATAAATTTGAATACAATTTCTATATTGGAGTATTTTGTCGCCAAAAATTCACTCTCTTTTTAAAATAATTATTCGACATTGTCACAGTTGGATCACTATTGTTTCTTATGTTTCCGATTTGAATGTGAGCTGTTGTATTTGGTGAAAATTGTTCCCACAAATTGGAATTGGATAGTTCACTGGATGTTGGTTTTCTGTAAAAAGGATGAAAGTTAGGAATTTTTTTCTATTCACCAGAATTAGAATTTCTTTTTCTTTTAATTAGAGTAATTTTCTTCTAATTAGAATTACCGAATTAATTACAATTAGAATTAGGTTTTCTATTTCTTCGTCTGAATTGACAAAAAAGTTGAATTAATTTTAGTCTGGGATTTTTACCGAACAGGGTTTTTTGGTACCCTAGTCAAAATTCAAAAGATGATAATTTTTTTCCAAAATGGAAACAAGTTTGGGGTTCTTTATTACCCCAGTTAGAAAGTAAGTTATGTTAGGGATTAAAGATTGAAAATTTTACCCATTTGTAGCAAATGAAGTCCAAAGATCCACCATGATTCGACTAATATTTTCATCAGTTCGTGTGAAATTTGCATTTGTTGTTACGAAAGATCCGTAATTAACTGGAAATAGATATAAAAGTTCATCAGCGTGAGCGACACCATAATTCGTATTATCGCCAGTGACTGACGTCAAACTTAGAGTTCCTCGATATCCAAAGGAATAAAAGTAGTTTGAATTCTTCATCTTCAAAGTAACTTTCTCCAACATTCGCACTTGTGGATAGAAATAATTTGCGTCACTGAAAACTTTTGTCATTCCTTTCAAGAACTGTGGAAAAAATCAAATTTTAAATGTCTGTTTTCTTTTAATTGGTGAGATTTTAATATTTTGTCGAATTTAACAAATATTGTGATATCTTATTCAATTGAACAAAAATTTATTGCAGTATTTTACTCAATTAATTATTCTTAATTGATTTTACTTAATTAGCAAATATTAATTTTATACAGACCTGAATTTTACTGCTACTATTAAGTTTGTCGGTAAAATAAAAATTATCAATTTTAGAAAATAAAGTTTCCAAATCTTGTTCAAAAGATTCTGCAAAGTTTTTTATTAACGTTCTTATATTTTGTCTTTCCATTTGATAAATCACATCATTAGAGTAGCCTCCTATAAAAGTAATTATATTACCATATTATATTAATTTTGTAATTATTACAAACATAGTTTGTTAGTTAATCAAGTTAATAACCATACCGCTAGTCAGCGCTAAACCTTCATCGGTGACTGTTCCGCTCATAAAAGGCAAATCCCTCATTTTATTCCTATTCACACTGTTTAATGGACTATCGGTTAAAAATGAACCTGGTAATTTTGATTCAATTGTTGGGGTCCATATGAAATGACCGTATTTTATTATTGTCTGCACTGTTGGACTGGTTTTGACTAGTTGATCTGAACTGACATTTCTCAGACAATTAATGGTCGCTCTTGATTTATTCGTCGGACAATTGAATAATTTTGCTAAATCATCAACGTGAGGTTTAAAAGTTTCCTTGTTTTGATATGCACCAGGTCCGATTGCAGTTCCACTTTGGATGATGTACTTTTGGAACAAATCTAATTGAAAATTTATTAATTAAATTTTTACTCTCACTTTGACCTTGAATTTAACTTTAACTTTGACTTTTACTTCGCCTTTAACTTTCAACTTTGAACTTCACCTTGAGTTTAACTTTAACTCTGGCTACCAACTTTGACCTTTACATTAACTTAAACTTTGACCAGTACTTCGACTTTAACTCCGAATTTAACCTTGAAGTTGGAGTTCAACTCTAACTTTTTCTTTCACTTAATAACTTTAATTCTTTTAAATGACATTAATTTGACCTTGACTTTCACTTTGAGTTAGATTTTAGATCGGACTTTCACTTTGACCTTTACTTTGACTTTAACTTTGACTACTACTTTGGCTTTTACTTTGACTTTATCTTTAACCTTCATCTTGACTTAGACTTTAACTTTGGACTCTGACTTTAACTTTTACCTTCACTTTGACTTTAACTTTGACCATTACTTTAACTGTAACTTTGACTTTATCTTTAACCAAAATCTTAACTTTGACTTTCACTTTGACCTTAACTTTGACTTTCAAATTGATTTTATCTTTTATTTTCACATACATTTTTACATTGAAAGTCGTGGTAAAAGTGAAAGCAAAGGTCAAAGTGAAAGTCTAAGTCTAAATGCAAGTCAAAGTGAAAGTCAAAATCAAGGTGAAAATCTATGTTAAAGTAAAACTTCAAGTCAAAGTGAAGGTTAAAGTGAAAGTCATAGTCGGGTTGCAGTGATAGTCAAAGTCAAGGTGAAGGTCAAAATGAAAGTCATAGTCAAGGTCACAGTGAAAGTGAAAGTCAAAGTGAAGGTCAAAGTAAAATTCAAAGTTAAATCGAAAGTCAAAGTCAAATTACAAAATAATTCTTCATAATTGAACAGAATAAAAAAGTACAAAATAATTTCTCCTAAATACCTCTACTAGCTCTTGAAACTGCATGCAAATTCACAGCAACACCTCCAGCACTCTGTCCAAATAGTGTCACTTTATTTTGATCTCCTCCGAATGATTTGATATTTTTTTTAATCCACTTCAGAGCTAGAACTTGATCTTTGAGACCGAAATTTCCAGGTGCTATTGCATTGCCAGTGGTTAGAAAACCCAAAATTCCCAAACGATAGTTGAGAGTCACTAGAATAATGTCCTTCTCCATTAAATAGCCAGGTCCGTAAATATTTCCACTTCCTGTGAGGAAACTGCCACCATGAATCCATACCATAACCGGAAGTAGTTTATTACTGGCCTGTAGAAATTTTTTCTTTTGTAAATTCTTATAGCCAGATAGCAAAATATTTTAGCAAAATTTGAGCTTAATTTTGCACGTAAATATTGCCAATATTGCCCCATAAAATAAAAGGGACTTTTTTAAAAAAAAAATTAGAAGATGATTTAGGAGATTTTTGGAATAAATGGTGATAAATCTTTTTTTGTATTTACCACTGGTTGTTGAAAATCTAAAAATGGCGAGTAGACGTTAAGAAATAAACAGTCATCTACTCCTGATATGGCGCCATTATTATTTTGAGGACAAATGTTTCCAAATGAATTTGCAGATCTTACTCCTCCCCACTTTTCAGCTGGTTCTGGATTTTTAAATCTGCAATAAATAAAATACCCCTTTTTTTAAAAATAAAATTCATGGAAAAAAATCTTCAACTGAAACAGCTAAAAATTTCCCTATATTATAGCGAAATTTTTAGTTAGTTTTCAAGAAAATTGATAGAAAATTGTATAAAAATAATTGAATTTTATAAAAGTTTAGAAAGGAGAACTTTTTAATAAAAGTTTTTTTATTTTTCAAATGAAATGTTTTTTTTTCGATAAAAATATGATGCAATAAAAATAATTTGTAATTTACCGTCGTCTTCCAATTGGAGGTTTAGCATAGGGAATGCCAAGAAATGATGAATATTTTTTTCCATATCTTGCAATCTCAACTGTGCCATTTAAAGTCCCTTGAGTAATTTGCACTAAAGGTTCTGCACTAATGGAAAAAATCCACAATGAAAATAATAATAGACAATATTTAAATATCATCGTGTTTCTCATATTTTTTATTCTTCTTTTCCAAATTCTAAAGTTACTGTGAACGAAATTTATTGAAAATTTGACTTGTTTCCAGTTTTCCTTATGCTTACTAATTGAGTAATTTTATTGCAACCAATTGTAAAAAAAGATAACAAACAGGGACTTTTTTTCTGAATATTTTACATATTTCTCGCTAAAGGAGGAAAAAGTTTTAATTAGCATTAATGTCGAACGAACATTTTTATCAACATCTGTGAGTAAGTCTTAGAATTTATAGCCGGTAAATATATGTAAAAATGTACAACGCGGTTAATGATTTGTAAAAAGTAAATATTAGTTTGATTATTAAATAATTATAATTTTTTTAAAATTTTATCTACTTTTGAAAATTAGATCTTCGAGAAATATTTTTAAAAAATCAATTTTTCTATTGTTTTTTCTCATTTTTCAATTTTATTTTCTTGACTTATGTCTGTATTTATTTTAAAAATATGTAAATCAGCTTTCGACATTTTTATATTTTAATAAATCGTTTTGTTAGTCAACGAAATCCAATTTTCTGATTAATTTATTACTTTTACGATAATTTATTAAGTATATAATTGGTATATAAATTTTGGCTTTAAATTATAGATTCTAATAAACAATATAGTTTATTAATAATGGTGAGAAAATTACCAATCGAATTATAATTTATTGAACATAAAATTCTAATTTAATTTAAGATTCGATCAGTTTTGAAATTAAATTAAATTAAAATTCTGTCAGACTCGGTTATTTATAGATGTGGATAAAATATTTATTTGATCAAACTGGCATTATTATGACAGTATTATTATTATTATTATTAGAATTATTATTATGGCAATATTATTTTATATAAAAAAACTGTGTTTGCTTAAATTTGACTTTTTTATTATTAACGTTTCGGGGAAAACATTTCAAAAACCATTTTTTTAATGAAAGAAAAAATTGTACTTTCTAAACTTTAATTAGTAAAAATGTTTACTAATTTAAATTAGTGACTGACTTTTTGCTTTTGAATTTGTAAATTTTACTAATAAATAGTAATTTCTACTAATTTTTTTAATAAAATTTACTAATTCAAAAGCAAACAGTCAGTCACTAATTCAAATTGATAAATTTTTTTACTAATTCAAATTTAGGGAGTAAAATATAATTTTTAAATTTTATTTATCATACAGGAGCATTCTTCCTCCAAAAATTGATTCTTTCTGTAAAATAATTCTTTGACATTGATACAGTTGGATCTCGATTATTTCTAACATTTCCGATTTGAATATGAGCCGTTGTACTTGGTGAATATGCTTGCCACAAATTTGAATTCAACAATTCGTTAGAAGTTGGTTTTCTGCAAAATCGAACAAAATTAAGATTGTTTATCCTTTTTTAGAATAAATTCAAAAAAAAATAAATATTTATAAATATTTTGAAAATATCAAATCGTTTTTAAATATTTGAAAAATTTAAATTTTACCCATTTGTTGCAAACGATGTCCAAAAATCAACCATTATTCGGCTAATTTTTTCATCAACTTGACTGAAATTGCCATTTGTTGTTTTAAACGATTCGTAATTTATTGGAAATAGATATAAAAGTTCATCTTGATGAGATACACCGAGATTTCTTCTATCTCCATATTTTGTTGACAGACTCACAGAACCTCGATAGCCAAAGTTGTAAAAGTAATTGGAATTATTCATCTTTGGTGTTACCTTCTCCAGCATTCTCAATTGTGGATATAAAAATACTGTATCGCTTAAAAATTTTGTTATTCCCTTCAAGAACTGTAAATAAATATTTATTAGAAATGTTAAAATTAAAAAATTTGATGTCCGAAGTAAAAAACTGTAACTGCATTTTCCGTAAGGTTCAAGTTAAACAAATCATGATTTGTCGGAAAATGCGGTTACTAAGTTTTTAGAAATGGAATTTTATTTCGGAAAAAATCGAGTATTGTAGAGTGTAAAATTTTGATAAGATTTTTTATGATTAAAATTTTATAACCTGATCTTTACTGCTCGTATTATATTTGCCGTTAAAGTAGAAATTATCTATGGCGGAGAAAAATTTTCCTGGTTGTTGTTTATAATGTTGAGCGAGATAATTAAATAATTTGTAAATATTTGATCTGAACGTTTGATAGACATTGTGATTAGAATATGGTCCTGTGATTAAGAAAAGGATTTGTTACAAATTCACTAGATTCGAGAAAATATGCTTATTCGGCCTAATGCGAGGCCTAAAGTTTATTGTTACTTGCCGCTTGTAAAAGTTAGACCTTCTTCCGTAACTGCCCCACTCATGAAATTCAAATCTTGCATTTTATTATTATTCACGCTGGTTAACGGATTTTCTGTTAAAAATGCATCTGCGGAATTAGATTCAATAGTTGGGTTCCATATGAAATGACCGTATTTCATTATTGTATCGCCTATTGCAGTTAATTTTACCAAATCATTTGAATTCACTTTTCTTAGACAATTTACAATTTTCTGTAAATCGTCAATTGGACAGTTAAATAATTCTCCTAGGTCTCTGAGATGAAGAATGGCGTCTTTTGGGTCCTGATAGGCACCAGGTCCTACAACGGTTCCACTTTGGATGATGTATTTGCTAAACAGACCTAAAATAAAGGGAATATTATTACATTGTGTACACTTCAAATAAATTTCAAAATTAACATTTCAAATTTGGAAATTAACATTTCTGAAGCAAACATTTCGAGATTGGAAATTAACATTTTTAAAACAAATATTTCTGTGTTTGAATCTCTCTTCTGATTTTTGTAAATACTTAACTCTACTGGCTGAAGAAATAGCGTGTAGATTGACCGCAATTCCGGCCGCACTTTCTCCAAACAATGTTATTCGTTTTGCATCTCCTCCGAATGATTTGATATTTTTTTTAATCCACTTAAGAGCTAGAACTTGATCTTTGAGACCAAAATTTCCAGGTGCTATTGCATTGCCAGTGGTTAGGAAACCCAAAATTCCCAAACGATAGTTGAGAGTTACTAGAATAATATTCTTTTCCATTAAATAATCCGGTCCGTATGAATTACCACTTCCTATAAGAAAACTACCACCGTGTATCCAAACCATAACTGGAAGTAATTTCTTCTTGGACTGTAAATATTTTAATAAATTCATTACATTTTTTCTAAACCCTTCCAAAATCATATTTTCTTTTTGGCTAATATTTCCCAGTAAGAATAATTTTAATAATAACAAATTTTCTAACCACCGGTTTTTGAAAATTCAAAAAAGGAGTATAGATGTTTAAAAATAGACAGTCCTCGTTTCCAAATATTACTCCATCGTCATTTTGAGGACAAGCGTCTCTGAATGAATAAGCAGGACGTATTCCTTTCCAAGGTGTGGGCGATTCTGGTATTTTGAAACTAAAATATTCTCCACGAATTAGTAACGAAATGATAGAAAAAGTTTGTTAGATATTTAAATTTTTTATTTACCGACGTTCGCCTATTGGTGGTTTGGCATATGGTATTCCTAAAAATGCAGAAAAATATTTTCCGTATCTGGCTATTTGTACAGTTCCGTTTAATATTCCCAGAGAAGTAGTCACTAGAGGTTTTCCATTTATCGATAAAATCCATAGTAGGTGTATTAAAAGTAAAGAATATTTAATAAACATAACGTTTGAATTGTTCAAAAAGTAAAGAATTTTGGAAAAGCTTCCTTACAAGACGATGTAAGTACTGAGAATCAAAACGAGTATTAATCAAAAGGAAAATATTAGAAGAAAACTCTTCCTTACAAGAAGAATACTGAGAACGAAATTAACAAAAAAAATTTTTGATACTGAAAATTATCTCGAGGATTTTTCATTTTTAAAAATACTAACAAGGTCAAGAATAAGGAAAAGTAAGCAAGAATAAAGGAGATAAAAAACAAACGAATCTGCATAGATTACAAGTAATTAATTTTGCAAAATTTTTAGGACTTTTTTCGAATTTAATAAATTTTTGGGTTTTAGTTGAATTTAGAATAAAAGGAGGAGAACTTTTATGTACTGATTTTTTATTCTCGACAAGCAACTGTACAGAAAAAACGATAATCTAATTTTAAGAAGAACCTACTTAAATAGGAGTTAAGAAGATTCCCCTTAATTAAGTGCCCTACTTAAATTAAATGGGGTCACTTAATTAAGGGGAATATTCTTGGCTCTAGGTTCTTCTTTAAATTAGATTATCGTTTTTTCTGTGTGGTAAAAAATTAGGAAAATAGTTTTAACATTTGTCATCTAGATGGGAACATTTTTCCTCCAAAAATTAATTCTTTCTGTATAGTAGTCGCTGGACATTTCTACCGTTGGTTCCTTATTGTTTTTAATGTTTCCAATCTGAATATGAGAGGCAGAAGTCGCTGAATACGGTTGCCAGAGATTTGCATTTGGTATTTCGTTAGATGTTGGTCGTCTGAAAAAAATTATGAACTTAAATTAAAATTGAGTGATATTTAAGATGCTGTTAGGACAGTTGGGAGTCATAGAACAAATAAATACCCGTTTGTTGCAAATGATGTCCAAAAATCAACCATTAATCTACTGATTTTCTCATCACCACCAGTAAAATTGGAATTTGTCGTTGTAAATGTGGAAGTTATGGGAAATAAATAGAGAATATCATCTCCATGTGTCACGCCACTATTTCCTTTAATTCCACCAATTGCTGCCATGCTCAATGCACCTCGATAACCAAAATTATAAAAGTAGATGTTACTTTTCATTCGTGGTTGTATTTTTTCCAGTAATCTTATTTGTGGATAGAAAAACGATCCATCACTGTAGAATTTTGAAACTCTATTCAAGAACTGTTGATCATTTTTGCAAATTAATTTTTATTTCTGAAAATTGAATTTCTGAATTTTTTTATTATGTTACCTCTTTGGGTTGTAAAGTTAGGTAAAATCGGTTGTCGAAGTAGAACTTGTTCATGGCCTGAAATAATTTATCAGCATCTTGATTATAATATTTAGCTATGTAATTCATTGATGTTCTGAAATTGAATCTGAACAGCAGGTAGAGGACAATATGGGAAAAGTTTGCTGAAATTTTGAAAAAAGGCTGTTAGATATTATTAAAAACTAAAAAGTGTTTTCTGTTCAAAGTGTTTTAAATGTTTTCTGCTTTTCCAAAAAATGCTATCCTTACGATCAGTGATTGATAAACCTTCATCAGCACAATTTCCACTGAGTAATGGCAAATCTTTTGTTCTGTTATTATTAACACTACTGAGTGGTATTTCGGTTAAAAATGCACCTTCCCTTTTTGATTCTATTGTCGGTATCCAAATAGCATGACCGTATTCCATTGTCTCTGTCAAGGAACTGCTTTTAACCAAATCGTTAGAATTCACTTTACGGAGACAATTAATAATCAGTTGTGATGAACTTGTGGAACATCTGAATTTTTTTGCTAGTTTTTCGATATGTTGTTTGAAATCCTTTTGTTCTTGATAGCCACCAGGTCCTAGTGCTGTACCACTTTGCATTATTATTTTCGAAAATAAACCTAAAAACAATCGGAGCTAAAAATTTCCTTTCTGTCCCCTTTTTATTTAATCCTTGCAAAGTTTTGTTGGTTTCTCACCATCACTGGCACTTGAAATTAAATGCAAATTCACTGAAGCGCCACCAGCGCTTTGTCCAAACAATGTCACCTTCCTTGGATCGCCTCCAAATGATCTGATATTTTTTTGAATCCACTTAAGAGCGAGAACTTGATCTTTGAGACCGAAATTTCCAGGTGCAACTTCATCGGCTGTGGTGAGAAATCCTAAAATTCCTAGTCGGTAGTTAAATGTAACTAAAATAATGTCCTTTTGCAATAAATATTGTGCTCCGTACATGTTGCCTGATCCTATTAGGAAGCTACCTCCGTGAATGAAGACCATCACCGGAAGTAATTTTTGATCTGGCTATTAAAAAAATTTGATTTTAATCTCGATTTTGATATTAAGAAGTATGATTTAGCTATTCAAGAAATTTGATTTAGCTATAAGTTTTAGAGTTTGGTTCAATTTCAGAAATATTAAAAAATAATAACCTTAGGTTCTTCAAAATTTAACAACGGAGTGTAGACATTTAGGAATAGACAATCGTCGTTTCCAAATATTTTTCCACCGTCATTTTGAGGACATTCGCTTCCAAGTGAATGTGCTGAACGAATACCTGTCCAACCATCAGCTGGTTCTGGATTTCTGAATCTAAATTTAGAAAAAGAGAACTTTTTGTGGTCTAATTCACAAATGTTAGAGAATTTATTATGATTTTTATTCATACAAATGTTATGCGCCCTATTTCTACAAGCATCTTTTGCAGCAACATTAACAACAGCAACAGATTTTGAAACATGGGGAATTTTGGAAATCTTATTGATATAAATTTGTTACCTTCTATCTCCAATTGGCGGTTTAGCGTACGGAATACCTAGAAATGCGGAATAGCGTCTTCCGTATCTTCCTGTTTCCACATTTCCTTCCAATTGACCCTGAGAAATTTTCACTAAAGTTTCTGTGTTTACCGACAAAAACCACAGTAAATTCATCACTAGTAAACTCCTGATATTCATATTTGATTGTTTTTAAAATTTTCGAAAAGAAAAAATTTTCAACTCTTTATTCGTTTCGTGTAGAGGATTTCGTTTCCTTAATAAAATAAATACAGAGTTCTTTATCTGCTTGCTTTATCAATATTCGTGAGTAAATACATATATTTTTTTATTCTGATAAGTATTTGTACATTCTGCATAATTATACCGAAAAAAGGAATAATGACAATTCCTCATTTTATCTCAAACAAAGGAGAAGCAGGAAAAAAATATTTTTTAACACTTTGCTAGTGAGAGTAATAAAAAATTGTCTTAATTATTCGGATGTAATTTTTCATCTCTAAATGGGAGCATTTTTTCTCCAAAAATTGACTCTTTCTGTATAGTAGTCGCTGGACATTTCTACCGTTGGTTTCTTATTGTTTTTAATGTTTCCAATCTGAATATGAGAGGCAGAAGTCGCTGAATACGGTTGCCAGAGATTTGCATTTGGTATTTCGTTAGATGTTGGTCGTCTAAAAGATAAAATGATGGATTTAAGTAAAATTAAACTTTTGCTTGTAGTATTTTTTCTATTTTTAGCTTTTTTTTTTTAGCTATTTTTAGCTTTAGTTTGGATGTTGTTTGCATATTTATCATGACGCCTATTTATGATTTTTATGAAATGAAGATTATAAAATAAAAAATTACCCGCTTGTAGCAAATGAGGTCCAATAATCAACCATTAGTCTACTGATTTTTTCATCGCTACCAGTGAAATTTTTGTTTGTGGTTGTAATCGTGGAGTAAGTGATGGGAAACAGATAGAGAATGTCATCACCATGAGAGACGCCGTAATTCTTTTTATCACCACTCAAGGCTGTTAGACTCAATGCACCTCGGTAGCCAAAATTATAAAAGTAGTTCTTATTTCTCATTCGTGGTGTAACTTTCTCCAGTAATCTCACTTGTGGGTAGAAGAATGCACCATCGCTGAAGAATTTTGTCATTCTGCTCAAGAACTGTTTCAAAAAAAATTTTACATAAGTTGATCTGTACAAAATCCGAAGTAAAAACCAAGGAATCACAATTTTTCGTAAGGTTGTAATTTGGTTATAACCAAATCACAACCTTACGAAAAATGTGGTTCCTAAGTGAACTTCAACCTTATGGCAAATGCTGTTTCTGGGTTTTTACTGTTGGTTAAGTTTCTTTTTTGCTATTACCTGGTTGGGTAAGAGAGTGATATGGTATCGGTTGTCGAAGTAGAATTTATTCATTTCCGAGAAGAATTTCTCAGAATTTTGATTATAGTGGTGAGCGATGTAGTTTATGATTGTTCTGATGTTGTATCTAAAGGCTATATAGACTAGGAAATTGGAATAGGCAGCTGGAAAGGAATCAATAGTGATTAGAAAAATTAATTAGTTGTACTACTGCCTTATTCTTTTCGTTAACTAATATTTTAGTTGCAGATAAAGAAAATAAAAATTACTTACGGGCAGTAAATGTTAGGCCTTCATCTGCACAGGTGCCACTCATGAATGGTAAATCTTTCATTTGATTAGTGTCAATGTTTGTCAAAAATGCCCCTGGACTATCGGATTCAATTGTTGGTACCCACACGAAATGACCATGTTTGATTAATGTATCGATTCCTTTGCTTTCTTTCGCCAAATCGTTTGATTTTACCTTTCGCAAACAGTCGACGATAAGTTGAGATGAATCCAAGGGACAATTGAACTTTTTCGCCAAATCCTTAACGTGCGGTTCGAAATCCTTTTGTTCTTGATAACCTCCCGGCCCCAGTATGTTTCCACTTTGCATTATGTATTTTTGGAACAAACCTATTTGAACGTGTTTGAAAATTAGTCCTTCTTTTATCTGTTTACTTGTTTGTTAGTCTGTTTCTTATTTGTTAGTTTGCTTCATTGTTTGTTAGACTTTATTTGTTTTTGTTAGTCTGCTTATTTGTTAGTTTGTTTCTTGGTTTGTTAGACTTTATTTGTTTGTTAGTCTGTTTCTTTATTTGTTAGTTTGTTTCTTTGTTAGACTTTATTTATTTGCTAGTCTGTTTCTTCATCTGTTAGTTTGTTTCTTTATTAGGCTTTATTTGTTTGTTTTTTGCTTGTTTGTCTCTCTTACCATTAGTGCTTTTGGAAATAGCGTGCAGATTGACAGTAATACCTCCGGCACTTTCTCCGAACAATGTTACTTTCTTCGGATCACCTCCAAATGATTTGATATTCTTTTGCACCCATTTCAAAGCTTCAACTTGATCCTTCATACCAAAATTACCAGGTGCAACTTCATCACCTGTGGTCAAAAATCCCAAAATTCCCAGTCTAAAGTTAAAAGTAACCAAAATGATGTTCTTCTGTAATAAATATTGTGCTCCGTACATGTTGCCCGAGCCTATTAGATAACTACCACCGTGAATGTAAACCATAACCGGAAGTAATTTATCACTGTTCTGAAAACATAAATTTTGGTACTTGAACTTCATCCAATATTCCAATTTTAGAAATATTTAAAAGATATTTACCACCGGTTTTTCAAAATTTAACAACGGTGTAAAGACATTTAGAAACAGACAATCATCATTTCCGAATAGTTTTCCGTTATCATTTTGAGGACATTCACTTCCAAGTGAATGTGCTGAACGTGTACCTGACCAACCATCAGCAGGTTCTGGATTTTTGAATCTGTAAATATTTGTAATTAATTTTAAAAATTAAGTTTGAATATGCAATATGAATTGAATTGCAATATGCATTGCAAACTTGTTGAAAAATGTAAGAAAAAAAATTGTTACCGTCGATCTTCAATCGGTGGTTTAGCATAAGGAATACCCAAAAATGCCGAATATCGTCTTCCATATCTTGCTGTTTGGACAACACCTTCTAATCGTCCTTGGGAAATTTGTACTATAGGTTCAGCACTTACAGAAAAAACCCAAAGTAAAATTAAAAATATCATCGCGTATTTCTCTTTTTTTTGCGTGAAATAAAATTTAATACTTTTGTCGTCTTTGTTTCCTCTAAAGATAAAGAATACTGACAATTTCCTTTTATCTGCTCATCGACAGAAGTTATGAGGAAAAGAATTCTATTAGGCGAATATTTTTGAATCGAGTTTTTGTCAATATTTATTTATTTCATCATGCCGAATTTATTAATTTAAACTTGAGGAAATATTTCGGTAATTATTTTTGTTTTTTTTGTGCTTTTCAAAGAAAGAGAGAAAGAAATGAGAATTAGAAAAATAATTTATTTACAGATTTTTATACTATTTTTGAATTTTAGAAAAAGAAAACTTGTTCTGCTTTTAAAATTTATTGAGTTGTTGTTGTCTTGTCCTGTAAATGTAAAAAAACTTTTGAAATGGTAAACTAAGATCAATTCGGTGCATTCTTTTTCCAAAAATTCATCCTCTCGGAATAAAATGAATCAGCAAGGATTATCGAATTTTTCGTGTTGTTGTTAAAGTCTCCAATCATTAAATGATTACTTCTCTTACTATCAAATGGCTTCCAAAGATCAGGTGTCTCCAAATTTTTTGAAACCGGTTTTCTAAAATTATTCAAATTTTGTTTTTTAGGTTTCAGTTTATAGAAATTTTCTGAAATACTTTCAAATTAGTAATTACCCAGTTGTTGCAAAAGAAGTCCAAAGGTCAATCATTGCATCGACTATAAAATCATCTTTTTCTGTATAATTCCCTGATTTTAGTTTATAATCAACTCGAGATGCTGGAAATAAATAATTAAGCTCGTCTGTGTGTGAAACTCCAATATTCTCATTGCTACCAGTTGTGACATTTGTAAAACTAAATTTCCCCCGATAAGCAAAATTATAGAAATAAGCCGAATTTTTCATTCTTGGTGCAAGAGTTTCCAGCATTTTTACTTGAGGATAGAAAAAGAAGGCGTCTGATAAAAATCTTGTGGCATTCGTCATGAACTGTAATAAAAAGAAACAATTTTCGGAAAAAGCAGATTTTTGTTTTTTTTTTAGTAAAGTAAAGAAAGAAGAATTAGAAATTCAAAATATATACCAATTTATTGTTTCCAATTATAACTTTCCAATTGAAGTAAAATTTATTCACGGCTTCAGTCAGATTTTCATTTTTGCTGAGAAGAAAATTGGTAATGAAGGAAACGATTAGTCTTGAGAATAACTTGACGATAGTGGTCAGAAATTTAAATCGTTGTAGAACTGAAAATTAGAAATAAATTGGGAAATAGGTCTTTTTAAAGAAAAAAAAAATTCGAAATGTTGACTCACAACTGGTGACTATTAGTCCTTCATTTCTGTTAATGCCAGCAATAAAAGGCATGTCTCTTATTCGATCAACTAAAAACGCAGGATTTTCGGTCAAAAAAGCTCCTTCGATATTTGGTTCATTTGTCGGTGTCCATGCAATAAATCGAAACGGAGAATTGATCAACATTATACTTCTCATACTTCTTCGTCTCATGCATTTAACTAGATTTTTCGAAAATAAATAGGGACAAAAAAGTAAACCTGCAATTCCTCTTAAGTGTAATTTTTGTGCTTTATTGTCCCTATAAGCCCATGGACTCAATAAGTTTCCACTTTGTAAAATATATTTTTGAAAGAGATCTAAAAGTTATTACAAAATTTATTAAAATTATTCACTATTACTAAGACTTTAATGACTGTACTATGACTTTAATGACTATACTATGACTTTAATGAATATACTATGACTTTAATGACTATACTATAACTTTAATGACTAATGACTACGACTTTCATTATTTATTAGAATCATTGAATAAAAATAAAAAATTAGAATCATTGAGAATTATTGCAAAAATTATCGAAATTATTCACCTTTACTCTGTTCAGAAATGGCATGAAGAGTAATACTTGCAGCACCAGCACTTTCACCGAATAATGTAACTTGTTTTGGATCACCTCCAAAATTATGAATCTCACTTTGAATCCATTTTAATGCTAACAATTGATCTTTCAGACCATAATTTCCAGGCGATGCTTTGTCGCCAGTTGTTAAAAATCCAAATATTCCCAATCGATAATTAATCGTCACCAAAACAATATCCCTGTCCAATAGATTTTGAGCTCCGTAAAAACTACCACTTCCAAAATAAAAAACACCACCGTGAAGCCAAACCATTACGGGATATTGTTTCTAGAAAAAGAATTATTATTTTTTACAAATTTTTAATTTTAACAGACTTTGTAGCTTTTTCGACTATTTCTCGCTATTATTGTTCCTCTAAATAATTAGAGTCATCTTTAATTATTATAAAACAAAAACAAAAATGGAGCTCTTCATTTTTTTTTGTTTTATAATAATATTCTTATGAGTTATGCTGTGAAGCTTGTTTTAATTTGATAATATTTAAATCCTATAAATATAATGCTTAAAAATATAATTTACCGAAGATGAGGTGAAATTTACAACTGGTGTGAAAACGTTTAAAAATAAACAATCCTCACTGCCTAAGATTTTAAGTCCATTATATTGTGGACATATGTTTCCGAAACGATTTGCTTGTCTTATTCCATTCCAATTTTTTCCTGGTCGTGGATTACTGAATCTATATCGAATAATTTGCTAAATTATTAATCATTTCATTAAATATTTCCAAAATTACCTAGCTTAAAAAATAAATAAAGAAATAATTTTGTTTCTTTGTTTGGCATCATTTTTTTCAGTTAAATTATCAAATTAGGTGATTTTAATGGAATTAGTGATTAAAAGAAAATTAAAAAATTAAAATTAGTCAAAAAAGAAGTTAAAACCTTAAATTGTTAATTGGTGGTTCAGCAAATGGTATTCCGAGGAATGCTGAATAAATTCTTCCATATCTACTATGTTGTAAGGTGCCATTTAATTTTCCTTGGGAAATGGTTACAGTTGGTTGCATTTTAACAAAAGATCCACCAAAAATGTACAAAAACAATAAAGATATTTTTTGTTTCATTTTTTTGCTTTATGAAAATATTGTAACTACTTTTTTGAGTTTGATTCGTTTTTTTTCCTGGGGGTTAATTATGCAATTTTATTTCCATTTAGACTTTTATTTTCACTTTGATAGATATTTATTTTCAGTCTAATACATATTTTTACTTTGCACTTTGTTAATGTAGTGTCAAATTAAAGAAAGTTAAAATTTCTATATCGATCGCTATATGTATAATGAAAGGTCAATTAACGATAGTATCTATTATTTATTGTCTATACCTATTTGTCTAATTTTAAAAATTCTAATGTAATTTTAACCTCACAATGGAACAGCTGTTAAAATTCATTTTAGATAATCTATGTTATCTTGAAATTAAAGTTCTGATATTCTAATAGACATTTATTGATTTTAAGTGAGAATTTATTGACAAATTAATGTCATTTGACAAACTATAACAGTGGAGGAAGTAAGTAAGTCAAAATGTAAAAGGAATGGGAGAAATGTTGCACTTTGATTGATTTTTATTTTTACTCTGATACATTTTATAAAAATTTAGGAAAGTGAAAATAAAAATCTATTCAAGTAAACACGAGAAGAAAAATCTATCAAAATGAAAATGGAATTGAAAATAAAAATTAAAATAAAAATTAAATTAAAAGTAAAATCCTTTCAAAGCGAAAATAAAAGTGAGATAAAAAAATCTACGAAACCGAAACTGAAAGAATTGCAGATTAGGTCATCACTTCACTAAAGTTTGATTGCACTAGAAAAAATTATTATAATTCCAAAAAAAATATTTATTAAAAAATATTTAATACTACGTAATACATTATCGCTACTAAATTAACAACACTTATCTCGAACTTGTTTTCATACCCGTTTTTTGATGACTTATTTTTATTTATTAATTTTTCGTCATGATAGAATTTTATTGTTTTTCAATATTGAAAAGTATTTTCTTATCAGAAACAAAAAGTAGTTTTGTTTAGGCATCGTTAGAGTAATTTAATATGTTAGATTTCTTTTTCATTGAATTCTAATTTTTAATCTACAAACTAATAGGTACAATTTTGTATACATTTCGGAATTTTTCGTTGTTATTATTATTAAATTGGTATATTACATTTTAGTTAAAATTTTTTAATTTTAATTTTTTTTTTAAATTTTTAGTTAAACTTTAATTTTTAATGCAACAAGTTTTTGTTTCTATTTCGAAAAATATAGTTTATAATTAAGAAATTAAGGCCATATGGGAGCAAACGTCTTCCAAAAATTCATTCGTTTAGGATAAAAAGATTCGGCAATTGTTATCGCAAGTTTTGTGTTGTTATTAATATCTCCAAGTAAAAGATGAGTTTTTCTTTCAGTATCAAATGGTACCCATAGATCGGGAGGATTCATTTGTTTTGATGTTGGTTTTCTAAAAGAATTATTTGTCATTATTTGCAATTTTTACATTTGTAGGAAATATTTCCTATCACTATTTTCTTTAATATTGTTCCATAGTTTAGGCCAAACAATTTTATTCTTTATTTTCTTTAATCTTAGTACTTTATTTATTATTTTTTTTTGTTATTTTTACCCAGTTGTTGCAAACGAAGTCCATAGATCAACCATAACATCGATCATAAATTCATCGTTTTTCGTATAACTCTCTGTTTTTAGATTAAATTCTTCGGGTATTATCGGAAATAAATAATTAAGTTCGTCAGTGTGTGAAACTCCAAAATTATGATTATTACCAACAGTCAAATTGGTGAAACTGTAGGTTCCTCGATACCCAAAATTGTAAAAGTAATTTTTATTTTTCATCAAAGGCGTTACTGTCTTTAACATTGTTAATTGCGGATAGAAGAAGAATGCATCTGTTGAAAATTTCGTGACACTTTCTAAAAACTAAAAGGGGAAGAAGAAATAAATATTTGTTATAATGTTGCTACTTTTTTTTATTAATAATTACCACTTCAGTGCTTCCTGTCATGGCAGCTTTATTGAAGTAAAAAGCATTGATACCTTGAGAAAGATTTGAATTTTTATCGTCGTTAAGATAGAAATGGTTCACGAAAGAGAGAACAGGGTTGAAAATGTATCTCATGATGCTAGGCACGTATTTATGGATTCTCAAAACTGAAATAGAAATAAAAATAGAAAAATGAAATAGAAAGTTAGTTCTGAATTTTTTTTTCTAAATTGGAAAAATAGATGGTAAGAACCTTACAACTAGACACAATGAGTCCTTCATCGGCTGTAACTCCGCTAATGAAGGGCAAATCTTTCATTTGATTCATTAAATTCGCAGGATTGTCGTTTATAAAAGCTCCTTCAATATCTGGTTCATCGGTCGGCGTCCAAGAAATTATAGGAAACAAAGAACTTGTCGCCATTAATTGCCTGACACTTTTTCTTCTCATACAATTAAGAAATCTTTCGGAGAATATAAGGGGACAGAAAAGTACTGCAGCAATTCCTCTAACGTAGGATTTTAGTTCTTCTTTGCTTTGATAGGCCCAAGGACAAAGGAAACTACCACTCTGTATTATGTATTTTTGAAAAAGACCTAACCAAAACAAAAATTTTGTAAAAAATCATAAATATTCAAAAGAGTTCGTAGAATTTTTGGTGCTTTTCAAAAATTGAGTCAGATTTTCACTCCAATTGAGAAAAGCAATTTTTTCAGTGGTATCTTTATAAAAAAATATATTTACCATCACTCAGTGGGGAGATTGCATGGAAACTGACACTTGCTGCTCCTGCACTTTCTCCAAAAATAGTTACATTCATTGGATCACCACCGAATGATTTGATATTTTCTTGAATCCATTTTAAAGCTAAAACCTGATCTTTCAAGCCATAATTTCCTGGCGCTGCTTTGTCGCCAGTTGTGAAAAATCCAAATATTCCCACACGATAGTTAATCGTTACTAAAACGATATTTTTGTCCAAAAGAAAATTCGCTCGAAAAGTATTACTACTGCCCATTATAAATGCCCCGCCGTGAATGTAGACCATCACTGGCAGTGATAATAATTGTTTGTCACTATTTTCCTAGAATCATTGTAAAACTGTAGACTTTTAATAGTTTATCAAAAAACTTTCAAGTTTTTGATAAAAACAGTGTTTGATAAAAATGAAAAGTTATTTGATAAAAATGAAAAGCTATTTTATAACAATGAAAAGTTACTTGACAAAAATGAAAAGTTACTTGATAAAAATGAAAAGTTATTTGATAAAAAATGAAAAGTTATTTGATTTTAAATAATTTACCAATGTTTCATTGAAATTTAATATCGGTGTGTAGATATTTAGAAATAAACAATCTTCATCGCCTGCAATTTTCATACCACTGATTTGTGGACAACGATTTCCGAATTTATTTGCTTGACGAATTCCAGTCCAATTTTTCGCCGGCAGAGGACTTTCGAATCTCGAAATTTTAGAAAATAGATTTTTTTTTAAATATTATTTTTGTTTAAAATTTTTCTAACATCTGTGGTAAATACCTCAAAATTCCAATTGGAGGTTCTGCGTATGGTATGCCCAAAAATGCTGAATATGTTCTTCCATTTCTCGATTGTTCCCAAGTTCCATTTAACGTGCCCTGGGAAATTGTTAGAATTGGTTCCATTTTTACGTAGAATCCACTTAAATGATATAGGAAAATTAGAATTATTTTGTTCCTCATTTTTTATTTATTCTCTTTATTCACTTATTTTCTTTCTTTCTTTATTTTCTTCCTTTATTTATTTTATTAATTTTTAATTACTTTCTTCCTCTATTTATTTACTTTATTTTATTTGTTTTTGTTAAATAAAAATTAAAATTGAAACAAAAATTTTAAAGTAAATGTAAATTGACAAATGTCTTTTTGAAACACAGCCTTTTAATACTCGAGATGTTAATTAATAGATTGCAAGTTATAATAGCAGAATCGCTTCATTATTCTTTGCCTCTTTATTCTTTATGTTTCTCATCAACAAGAAATTAGCTAATTGCTAACATCTGTAACCTTAAACTTAAAAATGTAAATTACGTATTATTTTCATGAAAAAAAAAAAAATTATCGATTTTTCCTGACGAAAGTTTTTGATTGAGAGGAAAAATTTTTTTTGGTATTGTTTTTGTATTGTTGAAAACAAATTCTGTACTATTGAAGAAATATTTTATTGGTGTAAAATTTATAAATTTAAAGAGGGGCATTATTTCGCCAAAAATTCATTCTTTGGGTGTAGTAATTATTTGAGAGTGTCACAGACGGATCTTTATTGTTTCGAATATTGCCAATTTGAAGGTGAACTGGATTTTGATTTGTGTACGGACTCCATAAATTCGAATTTGTCAAAACGCTCGACACTGGCCTCCTAAAATTATACAAATGTGTTGAATTAATTACAAAATAAAATATTTATTTACACGATAATTGCACAGGCCGAAAAAAATTTTGATGAATCTTAGAACCAAGAAGTGGATAATATTTTTTCCAAAGGTTTTTGATGTCGTGAATCTAAATCTGACTTTCAGAATTTAGTAAAGTCTGGTTTTTGTTCTGAGATTCGTCTAAATTTTGTACCATAATTAGTTGTAGCTTATTTATTTGCACCATGATTAGTTGTACCATAATTATTTGCATCAGAATTAGTTGTACGGTTATTATTTGTACCATAGATAATAATTTTTACTATTATTAATAATGTTTACCCGTTTGTGGCAAATGATGTCCACATGTCGATCAACATCCTACTGATAACATCATCATCTCTATTAAAATCCAAATGTGACGTTCTAATAGTTCCAAATGTCAATGGAAACAAATAGATAAGTTCATCAGCATGGGAAACTCCGAGATTTTGTTGGTCTCCTTCAATCATTGTTGCACTAAGTGACCCTCTATAACCCAAGTTATAAAAGTAATTCGAATTTCTCATCGATGGTGTTACTTTCTCTAAAGTTCGCAATTGAGGATGAAGGAAAAATCCATCAGTGATAAATCGTGTTGCACTGTCTAGGAACTAAAATTTTTTATCAAAATTAGCATCGGTTGTATGTTCAAATATTCAGACATGTTGATGTCTGCAAATACCAAAATTTTGATAATTGTATGTTGATGCAATTATTAAAATTTTGGTATTTGCTTTGAATGGCACTATAAATATAGCTGCTAAAAAATTTAAATTTTGAATTAAAACTAAATTAAAATTTCGCAAATTGAAAAGTTTAGAAATTTACATCTCTTTTTCTCGACAATATTATCGATCCATTGAAGTAGTATCTTGTCACTTCGGCAGTAAAACGTCTGCTATCGGAAACTTCAAGATAGCGTCTACTGTAGGTATTGATCATCGAATTCGTATTTAACTTAAACCATTGATAGAGTAATTCATTTGCATAAAATTCTGAAAATAAAATTTACAACCCAAGTAGAAAACTCTACATAGTATCTGCAAACTTTCCTGCAAACTTTCGGATTCCTGCTTTTTTAGAAAGTCTTCAGTAAGTCTAGTGATTTAAAAGTATTCAAATATTCTGGAATAACAGTATTTTTATACTTTTTGAAGCACCAAACATTCTACAAACAAGAGTTCGCTGAAGTCCGCAAAAAGTTTGCAGATATTCTGTGAATTTTTCTACTTGAAAATCAAAGGTGATTATAGTAACATAGCACAGTTTATAGTATAGCACAGATTATAGTAATATAGCACAGTTTTCTTAAAAGTATCAAATTGGTACTAAAGTGAATCAAATTGATGCTAAAAATTTGGTTCAATTTTTGATTTGATCCGCATTTCTGGTATTTGTTGCAATTTGATACTTTTCAGTTAATAGTGAGTGTATTACCTCGAGTTATTAAAAGTCCCTCGTCAGATACAGTTCCACTCATGAATGGTAAATCCTTCATTCCATTATTCATCAGTAATCTTTTCGGTGTATCTTTTAGAAAAGCATCGTCATTTTCCGGTTCATCAGTCGGCGTCCAATTTAGTAGATTAGCACGTTCAATAGAACCAAAGGCAAAATTTGAATTCACCAAACTTGCTGCCGATTTTGTTCTCAGACATTCAATGAGATTTTTTGAATTTCTTGACAGACAGGCAACACCCACTGATACTTGTCGTAAATATGTGGCAATTGTTTCTCTTCTTTGAAATGCCCAGGGACAAAGTGGGGCACCACTTTGTATAATATAGGCGCTAAATAAACCTTTAGAGGACCCAGAAAAAAACTGCTGTAAATATTATCTTGTTTGCATAAATATTAGTTTTTGTGTGCTATTCTACTCTACCTTCACTTGCCGGAGAGAGGGCGTGAAAACTGACACTTGCACCTCCTGCACTTTGACCGAAAATTGTCACTTTTTTTGGATCACCACCAAATGCTCTGATATTTTGTTGAACCCATTTTAAAGCGAGGACTTGATCCTTCATTCCGTAGTTTCCTGTTGCGACTAAATCGCCAGTTGTGGTGAAACCCAACATTCCAAGACGGTAATTTATCGTTACTAGAATGACGTTTTTATCTAGGAAAAATTGAGCTCCATACATGTTGCCAGTGCCTGATGTAAATCCACCACCATGTATCCAGAACATTACGGGTAATAATGTATCATCCTAAATGCAATAATTTCTTTTTTAAAAATAGTTTTTATGGATAAAATTCTGAACTGTTCATTATAGTGATAAATCTTTTTTTGCTTGTTTCTTTGCTATAGAAATTCTTAATTAAATATTTGTTTTAAAAACAAAATTGCAAATGCTTACAGTTGCAAATTGCTTACAGTTATAGAATTAAATTCGAGTTTTGGTGTATAAACATTTAAAAATAGACAATCTTCGTTTCCCATCATGGCTCTGCCTGCGTCCCTTTGCGGGCATATGTTTCCAAAAGTTTTCGCTGATTTTACACCCACCCATCCTTCAGTAGGTTCAGGATTACTAAATCTGTAAAAAATATAATTGTGTACCCACGATTAAAAATTCTATTTTTCATTTAGAATTTCAGAAAAGATTCAGATATAATCTGAGCTTTTTGAAGCTCAGCGATAAAGTAAAAAGTTTTGAATTCTAGAAATAGAAACATTGAATAAAATTTAGTATATAAAATAAAAAATTCTTTACCTGAGATTTCCCACCGGTGCTTTCGCGTACTGTATGCCAAGAAATGCAGAATATCTCCTCCCATTTTTCGATAATTCCGTTGTTCCATCTAAAATACCCTGCGTAATTCTCACTAATGGATCGGCATTTATTTTCAAAATACACAATAAATATAGAAAAGCAATAGAATAAAAAATATTCATCATTATATTGATAAAATTTTGAACAAACTAAAAAGAAAAGAAAAATGTTTTCAATATTTAACTGAAGCAAATTTTTTCTTCATATCTCTCTTGGGTTTATATATCGTGTTTGTCAAACAGTCATACATGTATTTTCCTTATTCGTTATATTTTTTTTACAAAACTTCCTTTTAGCTAGAAAAAAAATGTCTATTTCCGTGCTGCATATATATTTTTCTTTTCTGATAATAAATATTTCATCAAATTCAAATAATACATAAATCTCGAAACAAAGAATTGTATTTTTTGGTAGAGAGAGCGGGGGGGGGGAGAGAAACAGTTGGAAGGAAAAAAAGAAAATCATTGTTGTCTTTGGCAATATTGAATCATCATCATTCGTTAAATATTGTTTAATTTTTTCTTAAACTGATTTTGACGAATTCATAAGGAAAGAGTTTTTTTGGTGAATAAAAATTGATTTATAAACATATTTTTAAAATATCTTTATTGTATTTAATAGATACATTTTTTCGGAATGTTCTTTTTTGATTTTTAAAGTTTAAAATTTCACTTTTAGGGGATTTTCAAGTTCTTCAATTTACTCCAATTATTAAAGTACTTGAAAAAGTACAAGTTCTTTTTAAGTATTTTAATAATTGGAGTTTTACTACTTTGACTACTTTTAAAGCGGAGCATTATTTCGCCAAAAATTCATTCTTTGGGTGTAGTAATTATTTGAGAGTGTCACAGATGGGTCTTTATTGTTTCGAATATTGCCAATTTGAATGTGAACAGGATTTTGAATTGTGTACGGACTCCATAAATTCGAATTTGTCAAAACGCTCGACACTGGGACCCTAAAATTATAAAAAATCTGTAGCATAATTATCTGTACCACAATTACTTGTAGCATAATTGTCTGTACCATAATTATCTGTACAATAATTATTTGTACCATAATTAATCATTTTTACCTGTTTGTGGCGAACGATGTCCACAAGTCGATCATTAATTTGCTAACATAGTCGTCATTTGTGGTAAAATTCAAATGAGTTATTCTGAAGTTATTTATAGTAACGGGAAAAAGGTACAAGGCATCATCACCGTGATCTACTCCTATATTTGCCTGATTTCCATCCATCATTGTTATGCTCATAGATCCTCTATATGCAAAGTTATAGAAATAATTAGGATTTCTATTTACTGGTGTTACTTTTTCAATCATTCGGACTTGAGGATGTAGGAACAATCCATCACCAATAAATCTTGTTAGACTGTCTAAATACTAGAAAAATCCAATGAAAATTTCGTTAGAATTTCAAAAATGATGTCATACATTCGAAAATGATCAAACAGCACCGAAAAGTTTCGAAAAGTTGAAATTAACTTGAATGCATACTTTGGAATCATTTGTTACGAAGCTTATGATACTTGAAGATGAAGCTAAAATTAGTAGTTATCCTTTTTTTCCAAAAGTTGTAGTCAAGTTGATTTCGAATTTTAGAAAAACTTTCGGTGCTGTGTGGTCAGTAGCAATACAAGTAACAATATTAGTAATAAATAGTAAACAGTAGTAATAATAATTAGTGTTAAAGATTAAATAAAATCATTTACATCTGCTTTCGTTGATGTGAGAATTGATCCGTTAAAATAGAACCTAGTAACTTCGTTTCTAAACCTCCTGGAACTTTCAGTTTCATAATATCGTCTGTTCATGTAGTCAATCAAATGATTCGTGTTCAATTTAAATAAATTGTAGAGTAAATCGTTTGAGTACAGAGCTAAAAATGAGAACGGTTGATAATTGACTTAAAAAATTAAAATAGATAAAAATGTTAATAATCTTGTCAGCAGAGAAACATTTATTTTCCCTCTGATTAAATTAAAAGTTAATCAATGATTAACTTTTAATCGGTATTGATCAAACTGGCCCTAATTTTTTTTTATTTAAATTAAAATAAAGTGCCAACCTTGAGTAATTAGAAGACCCTCGTCAGCTACAGCTCCACTCATAAATGGCAAATCTTTCGTTGCATTATTGTTCATCAAATTTTTCGGAGTGTCAGTCAAAAATGCATCATCATTATCCATTTCATCGGTAGGCAACCAATTTAGTGGATTAGGACCAGAATCTATGTTCACCAAACTTGCTACTGATTTTCTTCGCAGACATGCGACTAAATTTCTTGTATTTCTTGAAATGCAGAGCACTTTTGGAGACACTCGTCTCAAATAAGAAAGTGATTTTTCCCTTGTTTGGAATCCCAGCGGAGTTAGTGCTACACCACTGTGAATTATGTAGGCACTAAATAGACCTTTTTCATAAAAAAATAAAAATGTTAGGGTCATTTCTTTTCATACCGTTTCTCTGCAGATATTAAATTGAAACAAAAAGCGTATCAAAAATGTTGCAATGATACGTTTTTTGTCTCAACTTGATATCCTTAGAAAAATAATGATCATAAAATAATATTTTTTAAGGAATTGTAGCTATTTTTCTAATGTTTAATTTGTCTTCTTCTAATATAATAAGATAAATAAAGATGCATTTTTCTATACCTGTACTTGCGGGAGAGAAGGCGTGAAGGTTGACACTAACACCACCAGCACTTTGACCGAAAATAGTTACTTTGGTTGGATCACCACCAAATGATTTGATATTTTCTTGAACCCATTTCAAAGCTAGGACTTGATCTTTTAATCCAAAATTTCCTGGTGCTACTAAATCGCCAGTTGTGAGAAAACCCAACATTCCTAGACGGTAATTTATTGTTACTAGGATGACGTTTTTGTCCAAGAAATATTGTGCACCGTAGATGTTGCTGCTGCCCAATATAAATCCTCCACCGTGAATGAAAAACATTACTGGCAACAGTGCGTTAGTGTCGCTCTGAAACCATTGAATTATTAGTTTTATTCTTTGGAGAACTAATGAAAAGGTTTTCTACAATTAAGAAAAGTTTGGAATTATTATTTTTTCTTCAATTTCTCAGATAGTAGGTAATCTTGCAGAAAAACCGATTCACAGACAATTTTGTTAAATTCCTAGTAGTTACTAGTTATATTAGTAGTTAGGGAATGAGTTAAGTTGTCAAGTTTACATGTTAAAAATATCAAATTTCTAAAATCATAAAAAAACTACTCAAATATTTTTCTTAGCCCATACTTGTACAGAGATAAAAGTTAGGCAAAGTTTCAAGCTTCATTTTGGTACCAACCGGAAGTTGATATCTTGCACACAAGAAAAGTTGTGGCTATTTGAATCAAAACAAGTTTACATGTTGAAAATATCATATTTCGAAAATCATGAAAAACCTTGTCAAATATTTATCCAAGCTTATAGTCGCAATGAGATGAAAGTTAGGGAAAAAGTCAAGCTTCATTTTGGTACCAACCGAAAGTTGATATCTTGCACACAAGAAAAGTTATGGCCATTTGAATCAAAACAAGTTTACATGTTGATAATATCAAATTTCGAAAATCATAAAAATCGTTCTTAAATATTTATCCTAGCTTATGGTCGTAATGAGAAGAAAGTTAGGGAAAGAGTCAAGCTTCATTTTGGTACCAACTGAAGCTTAATATCTTGCACACACGAAAAGTTGTGGCCATTTGAATCAAAACAAGTTTACATGTTGAAAATATCATATTTCGAAAATCATAAAAAACATTGTCAAATATTTATCCCAGCTTATAGTCGCAATGAGATGAAAGTTAGGCAAAGTTTCAAGCTTCATTTTGGTACCAACCGGAAGTTGATATCTTGCACACAAGAAAAGTTGTGGCTATTTGAATCAAAACAAGTTTACATGTTGAAAATATCAAATTTCGAAAATCATAAAAATCGTTCTTAAATATTTATCCTAGCTTATGGTCGTAATGAGAAGAAAGTTAGGGAAAGAGTCAAGCTTCATTTTGGTACCAACCGGAAGTTGATATCTTGCACACAAGAAAAGTTATGGCCATTTGAATCAAAACAAGTTTACATGTTGAAAATATCAAATTTCAAAATCATAAAAAACCTTGTCAAATATTTATCCCAGCTTATAGTCGTAATGAGATGAAAGTTAGAGAAAGAGTCAAGCTTCATTTTGGTACCAACCGGAAGTTGATATCTTGCACACAAGAAAAGTTATGGCCATTTGAATCAAAACAAGTTTACATGTTGAAAATATCAAATTTCAAAATCATAAAAAACCTTGTCAAATATTTATCCCAGCTTATAGTCGTAATGAGATGAAAGTTAGGGAAAGAGTCAAGCTTCATTTTGGTACCAACCGGAACTCGATATCTTGCACACAAGAAAAGTTATGGCCATTTCTTTTTTTAACTTCTATCTCGTTACAAGTATAGACTAGGATAAAAATTGGAGAACGATTTTTAGTCTAACATTGAAGGAACAGAAAGCTCGCAGAACTTGCTCCGTAAGCTATCTGCAAGACTATGTGCTGTCTGGTTTAGAACAGAGATTTATTTTATCTTATTGTATATTTGATGTAAAATAATTGAATAATTATTACTTACGGGTAGCGAATTGAATTCCAGTTTAGGTGTAAAAACGTTCAAAAATAAGCAATCTTCGTCACCAACAACAGATCTTCTGCCATCTTTTTGAGGGCAAATATTACCGAAAGTTTTAGCAGGTCGAATTCCTATCCAAGCTTCAGAAGCTTCAGGATTTTGAAACCTAGAATAGTTTTCGTTTTTAGCTCTTAACTATTTTTCATTTTTCAATTTCACTTTAATATAAACTAAGATTGTTTCTAAAAATTGATGGAATTTGTTTTTTTAGCAATTTTTTAATTGCTAATTAAAATAACAACACAGTTTTCTTGAAGGTATTAATTTGATATAAGTCTTAAAAATTAAAATAGAATTTTTTGAAATTATTTATTTAAAAAAAAAAATTCAGATTTCAGTTTGTATTTTCAATATCTAGTATTTTTCTAAAATTTGACAAAAGAATTAAATTACTTAACAAGAATTGCTATAAATAATTAAATTCCTTCATGAATAATAAAATTCCTTTTTTAGTTTAAAAGTTACTATTTGATGCTTTTTTAAAATTAATTATCGAGTGCGAAATCTGATCTCACGGAAAGAAGAGTTTACCGAGAACATCGATGATTTTCTCTAAAAAAACAAACTTCTTAATTGAAACAACTAAGAATTTCGCTAATATAGTAAAACTTGTATTTGTTACAAGTAATTTTTTTTCGTGCTTTAAAAAAATATCTTTAAATAATCATACACTATACCTGAGGTTTCCCACTGGTGCTTTCGCGTACCGAATTCCAAGAAAAGCAGAATATTTTCTCCCATTTTTTGATATTTCTGTAGTGCCATCTAAAATGCCCTTAGATATTTTCACTAATGGTTCGGCATTTATTTTAAAAACAAAATACAGGAATAATAAATAAAAAATACTATTCATTATCACTGTATTCAAAAGTTTAATTTCTAAAAAACCATTTTTTATTCATTATCTTTCGGCTTATATACCATGAGTTTTCATATTTTTCTTTTTAATACTATCTGACAAAAATCCCTTTTAATTAGAAATGTTTTCCTCTCTAATCGGTCATTGCATACGCATAAAAGTTATTTTTCGTTGATAAATATGTCATCAAATATACGAAACCTTAAAAGACTGGAATAAAAAAAATGTAAAACGGAAAAAAATTAGAGTTATCTTTGTCAATATTGAACTGTAATCAGTCTTTAAATTTTCTCATCCTTTATCATTTAGATTTTGACAAATGACAAGGAAACAGATTTTTTTGCGACAAAATATTATTTTTTTTTCCTAAAAATAAAGCTGTCAGAAAAAAACGAAAAAAGCAGAAAAACAGAATTTACTCAAAATTAAAAAAAAATTCGAGAGTTTAAAATTTTCAAAGGGAATAAATCTCAATATTTTGTACTTTTTTGGGAAAACGGCGATAACTTTTTTGAATTTTGTTATACAAAAATGTGTCTAAAGGGAAAGTTGTTTGTTTTAGCCTAAAATAATAGGAAAAAAACAGAAAAGCAGATTTTACACGAAATTCAGAAAGATACCAAAGTTTGAAATTTTCAATGGGAATAAATCTCAGTTTTTTGAACTTTTTTGGGGAAATGGCGATAAGTTTTTTAAATTTTGTTTTACAAAAAAGTGTTTTAAGAAAAAGTTGTTCATTTTTATACAAAAAGTAAGGAAAAAAGCAGAAAAACATATATTATTAAGAATTGACAAACATTATATTAACAGTAATCATATATTAATTTTATTTTCCAATAATTTTTTTTATTTAATATGTATTGAATTACTTGCATTTTGTTATAGCCTGTTGTGAGTCTGACGTTGGTTTTCTTGTGTTTCATTGCCAACACAAAATTTTTAAAAATTGACTGGTCGCTGATGACCGACTGGGTGCCAGCTTCATATTTTTTTCTTTGTCATTTTTGAAAAGATATTTTTTCTTCTTCTGAAGATTATTTTTCCTTTTTCTGGAATATTTTTCTTTTTCGTTCCAAAGATATTTTCCCTTATTTTTAAAAAATAATTTGCCTTCTTTCAAAAAATATTTTTCCTTTTTTTGAAGATATTTCCCTTTTTTTTTGAAAAAAATTTTTTTTTTCTGAAAGATATTTTTTCCTTTATTTTGAATGGGATTTACCTTTTTTTGTTTGTTTTTTTCTTTTGTTACGTAATTATTTATCATTATTGGGAATTTCCGCTTTCGTTTTAATAAAATTTTCCTTTTGTCTGTTAATATAATTGAAAATAAGGAAACGTTTTTTTTATTTTTATCAATTTTAGAATTACAATAATATTTTTTCGTCAGAATAAGTTATTGATTAGTGGTTATTGATGATACTTTATGTAAATTATTGGATTTTTAATGAAAATTGAAATTTTTTGATTACCGGGTATTGAAATTATTTTTTGGAAATTCTGTTTTGACAACAGTCGTTCATCTCTCGTATGGTTAGAACCATGGGAATCGATTTTTCAAATAGTGAGCAGCATGCGCACAAAAATGTTCGTTCTGCGACTGCTCCTGAAAAAGGATGAATGTTCTGTCCTTTCACAATTAGGAAAATAAAGCGACAGCTAACAGCAATGATGTAAAGTTGTGTATTTTCTGTAAACATTTATTTTAAATATTAAAAAAAGAAAAATGACTCCAGGATTTGGGCACGATCCACTTCCTTCGTATAATTTCACAACATTGGGTATGTAGTGGAGAGAGTAATAAATATTAATTTTATTCCTTGTCTAGAAAATTGTTTATTTTTTTTCTAGTAAATTACATTATTTTCTAATTTGAGTAAATAAAATGAGTAAATAAAAGTAAATAAATAAATCGATTAATTAGTTAAAATATTTCTCAAGTTTAAAAAAGTAAATGAGTTATTTAAAAATATTTTCTAAACGTTTGGGTAATTTAAACATATTTTCTAAATACTTCTCAAGGACTCTCTAATTTGGAATTAGTAAAAAATAACTAAATTTTAGTAAAACCTGTCTAATTTTTTTCTTTAGCAATCAGTAAAAAATAAATCATTATTATAAGAAATTAACTAATTATTAGAAGAAAACAACTTAATAATCAGTAGAAAAAAATAGTTATTTGTAGAAAATAACTAATTACTGGTAAATAGAACTAATTCATATAACTAATTTTTTGTAAATAAATACGAAAATTGTCAAATTTGATTAATTGAATTAATCACTACAAAAATTCTAGTTATTTTTAACTTTTAACTGACTCAAATTTAGAGAGTATATAAAGAATTTTGAAATGTTCCACGTTCCAAATAATCGTGATTATAAATAATTTACAGGAAATACAGCCTTATGTCTTTGGCAGCAACCGCAACATTTTCTATTTCAATTAGCAAATCTATGTTTCGTTCTATCATATTCGGCACCATCTTCTAAGAAGGGCATACTGTTTATGCACTCGATTCTTATAATTGGTACGCATTTCAAGTATTGAATGTCAATTAGTGGAATAATTGTTTTTTTCAAATACTTTTTTTAAAATATTTTTTTAAAATATTATTTTTAAAATATTTTTTTTTCCAAATTTTTTTTCCCAAAGTGTTTGATTATTATATTTTTCTATAGGTTTCATGCTACTATCTGGATGGGCATGGCATGTCATTTGTGCTCCGGATATTTTTTCCTGGAACTTTAGTTTTCTTGTTTTGAATATTTGTCAACTTGTTTACATTGTTTATCAAATGCGACCAGTGAGATTTGATCCTGAACTTGAGGAAGTTTATCACACTCTTTTTTATCCTTTCAAGGTAAAATGTGTGAAATTATTTTCTTTGTAAAATAACACGGAAAAGAAATTTTATTTGATGGAAAAGAAAAATTATTTTATTGTATTAGCGATATTTTTGGTTGTTTCAGTTAATACTTTTGCTATTCTAGAAAAATTTATTTCTGTCAAAAGTTAAGATTAAAATCGAATCAAAACTCAATTAAAAAATTGCACCCCTTGTTTTAATTTAAATATAAATTCTGGTTGGTTTTAGGAAGAATTTGTAGTTTTTTTATTTCTCTTGTTTTGATTTTGTTTGATTGTTTTTTTGTTGCTTGTTTTTGTTTGTTTTCGTTTCTCTCGATTTGAGAATATTTTCAGTGTTTAGACTAAATTTTCTTGTTTCGTTTCCTTTTTCTTTTTGCATATTATTGTGCAGTTTCTACGCAGGGAGGAATTACAATAATTTAAAATAAATTTTAGGTGACTCGTTTGCAATTCAAAAGATTGGTCTCTTCGGAATTTGCAACATTAATGTCTCTCCATGCAGGCGAAGCGTATGCTATGCAAAATTTAACAAAAACAGACAGACTTGGTCTTTTATTAAGTGGAAAAATTAACGTTCTCAGTGAATCGAATTTTTTGCATCCAATTTTACCCTGTGAATTTCTCGATTCGCCGGAATTTGAAAGTTCTCGCGCGTCTGTCGATGATAAATTTAAGGTAAAGACAATAAATTTTTTTATATTTAGAATTTTTTATTTTTATTAATTCAATTGATTTATAAATAAAAATTTATTAATTGACATTAAGTATTAATTTAATTATTCTGATTTGCAATAAAAAAATGTTATTATACGAATTGTTAGGTGTCTATTGTGGCAGCAAGTTCGTGTAGATATTTATATTGGCAAAGAACGGCTTTGGAATATTTACTTGTTAAGGAAACTTATTTGGCAACAATATTGACAACATTAATTGCTAGAGATATTGCCACAAAATTGTATGCTATGAATAACAAGGTAAATTATTGCAGGAATTTTACTTTTTTTTCATCTAATCTGTTAGTTTGAAACTTTGATGTAATTTAATTTAAAAAAGAGCAAATTTTCATTTCATCAAATAATATTTTTCGCAAAAATTCAATTATTTATAAAAGTTAAAAATTTTAATAAAATTCCAGGCAAGAAAACAATTATTTTCGCATAAAATAATAAAATGGTTCTTAAGAATTCAAATACCTACTTTTAAGAATTATAATAAAATTATTCACAAGAATTCAATTATTTTCCACAAATAATACATTTTTTCACGAGAATTCAATTATTTAAAAAGAATTTAATAAAATTCTTCGCATAAATTCAATTATTTTCATAAATAATAAAATTCCTCTCCAAAATTCAATTATTTTTTGAAAAATTCATAAATTCTTGAATTTTTTCTTTATAATTCTTCACAATTATTCAATTATTTTCACAAATAATAAAATTTTTCACGAGTATTCAATTATTATAATTTTTTGCCTAAAATTTAGGGAAAAAAGCAGAAAAGCAGATTTTACTCGAAATTGACAAAAATACTAAAGTTTGAAATTTTCAAAGGGAATAAATCTCAATTTTTAGTACTTTTTTGGAAAAATGTTGATAACTTTTTGGATTTTTGTTGTACAGAAAAGTGTCTAAAGGAAAAGTTGTTTGTTTTGACCCAAAATTTAAGGAGAAATTCAGAAAAACAGATTTTATTGAAAATTGACAAAAGTACTAAAGTTTGAAGTGTTTAAAGTAAATAAATCTCTATTTTGTTACAATTTTTTTTATTCGTTAAAATTAATTTTCGATAGCTAGTTTTTTTTACTACTTTTTTTATTATTAAAGCTACCTACTTTTTAATACTGTTTTAAAATTATTAATTATTTTAAATTATTGAGTGTGAAGCTTGATTGGTTCGTAATTCAGATCTTGATTTTTAGATAATCACTGACAAAGGTTCACACTTAGATATTCGATTGCCAACAATTAGCGCTGGTTTAGGTATTTCAGGTGAATACAGAAGTCCAAAAACTTCGAGACAAGCTCTAATTCGTCGAAGGGAATCACAATTAGCATCCAATAATGGTACAGAATTTTTTTATTCTCTTCCACAATTTTTTTTTTTTTTTTCTAGAAATTTCTAACTTAGAAGATTTTTCTTTAAAAAGTTCATTACTGCGAATAAAATAAAAAAAATATTTGCTGGGAAAAAATAGTCTTAGAAAGTTAGAATAATTTCTTTTTCTAAAATTTCCAGCTGGTGCAAAGCCAAAAGAAAGATCAATTAATAATACGTCGAAATTAGGTGCTCCAAATATGGAACCTCTGCCAGAATTACCCTCGTTTGATGATTTGGCTTCGAGTGGCGTTGAAAGTTGGTTAGATTCCTCGAGTAAATATCACAGCTGCGAAATTGTCGATGAAGATTGAATTTTGAATTTTCGAAAGAAAAAATTGTTACAATGTTACCAAAAAAAAAAGAAAAAGAAAAATGCAAAGTTGAAAAAATTAAGAGGTGATTTAGTCAGGAATTTGTTGATAATTGTCGACCAAAAGTTGCTGGAGGATATTTTAATAAAAATGATAAAATTGAGAAGAGAAAAGAAAAATGTTGGGGACTGAAATTATTGCGAAAATAATAAGCTTTTTACAATGTGTAGTTTCAATAAAGAAATATGAAAAATCATTGCAATTTTATTCAATCGTTTTTTGTATTCTTTTCATTTTCGTATTTTCTTTTTGGTATTTTCATTTTCCTATTTTTTCCTTTTGGTATTTTTATTTTACTATTTTTCCCTTTTGGTATTTTTATTTTACTATTTTTCCTTTTTGGTATTTTTATTTTACTATTAGTTAATATTAGTTTATTCTGTAGGGAAATATTAATTTTTCAATATTGAAATTCATTTCACCGCTGTGTGTGAAATTTATTAAGAAAAATTTCAAGAGTTGAGAAATTTGTTCAAACGATTAAACAGTGATGAAAATCCATTAAATTTACAGAAGCCATTTTCACTCTTAAGAGTTTGCACATTAAGTTAATGTTTCGTGGGAGTGCCAATTACATTATTTCCATTTAAAAAAATAACATTTCTTAGTAGTGCGAACACTGTTATTAAAATTGAATAAAACACGCAATCATTTAAAAAAGAAACTCCTTTATTTCGAGTATAATTATGTCTAATGTAATATGTTTCAATGAAAATATTGTAGGTACTTTCCATAAGGAAATTAAAAATTAAAATTATAATTAAATTACAGTTAAAAATTGAAAAATTGATTTTAACACACAAAATTTTTTAACAAATAGAGAAAATTTTGCTTGTAACCAAAAGCTTCTGTATTAAAATATTTGCTAGCAAATATTTTAATACAGAAACTTTTGCTTACAGGCAAATTTTGAAGATAAAAAAGCTTTGCTAGCAAATATTTTCAGACAAGAAAATTTGCTTAAAAATATTTTAAGAAAAAATATTTTAAGACCAACAATTTTGCTTTGCTAGTAAATATTTTGAGACAAAAAATTAGTTAAAAAATATTTTAAGTCACTTGCAAAGAAAATATTGTTGACAAATATTGTTTGACAGAAAAATTTGTTAAAAAATATTTGAAGAGAGGAAAATTTGTTTAAAAATATTTTAAGACAAAAAATTCTGCGCTTACAAATAATAAAAGTTGAAAACTTTTCTCTTCTAAGTTTCATTCTTCCGCATAGGTAAATAATTTTTGATTAATTGTAAACACAAAAAGTTCATATAAAAACTGACAAAAACAAAGTTTTTAATGAAACTTGATTGTCCTCATAAAAAAGGGGAGAAAAAGAAAGAATATCAAACTTAAGCAACTTGTTGTATTTAAAAATAACAATCTTAGAAAGTGAAGTAGGTTACAATGTCTATAAAAAAAATGCGAGTTATAAAATTACACGCCACGATAACAGTTAATTTGCCGTAGAAATATTTTCTCAATATCTTGTGTGAATTTTATATTCCAATAAAAATTGGTTTTTAATAATTCCGGTTTCGTTTTCCACCTTCATTATTATTATCATTATTTCTCTACTTGTTCGTTATATCCTTGAAAAAAAAATTTGTCATAAAAGCTCTTTATTTTTTTTCACCTCATCCGTTTTTGTTGACTTGGTCATAATTCTTGTTAATATCGACTCTTTTGTTTATAGTCGTTTGTTTTATCCTCAATTGTTCGTTTAATAATTTTTCTTTTTATTCTAAATTAGTTTTTTTTATTCCCCTTTTTCCTCGTAATAGGAGGCAATGAATTAAGAATCCAGGAGAGATAAATATCCGGTGCAACCTTTATATAGAATTGTTTACCTCTGCCGTTTACTTGAGATGAACTTTTAAACGAGAACGATAAAATTTTGGTCACGCAAAGAAACATTAGAAGCTTTTAAATAACGGAATTTCTTAATTTTACATTAAGTTGTTTCACTTAGTCGAAAGTGGAGGAAACTTTTCCCTTTTTTCTATTTTTGGTAATAGAAATTTTTTTTTTTTTTCTATTTTTGGTAATAAAAAAAAATTTTTTTCAAAGGATTTTTTGGTATTAAAAAAAATTTCTTAATAGATTTTTTCTCCCTCGTTAAATTTTTTTCCTTTGTTTTTGGTAAAAGAAAAAAAAAGTTTTTGAAAGGTATTTTTTTTATTGTTTTAGATTTGATGGGGGTAATATTTTTGTTGGCGGGAAACTTAATGTTTACATGGTATTCATTGGGTTGAATTTTATGCAACATAATTTATATGTGTCTTTATTATTGTCCACGGACCATTTATATACTGCACGGAATGATGCATAAATGTGTCACAAGATAACTACAGAGGACTGACACATATATATGCGACTATCAAACCCTTGAGGGTTAATACTGTCCATTTCCATAACTGTATTAGTAACTTAACCTGATTCATTCAAAATGTCATAACTTAATGGAAATTACTATTAAATTAATAGCCCGGCGAATTTATATATATGTATATAATTCTCGAAATTAATTTCTGTGTAATACAAATTAAATGTTTCGGGATTTATATAATACATAATACACATATTATAGATAATATATTTTAGTTGTTATTAATAAACTTTTTTTACTAAAGAAACTAAAAAAAAAAAATAAATAAAAAACAAAATTTAAAAAAAAGTAAAAAACAAAACTTAAAGAAAACTGCTCTCTAAATTTGAATTAGTATTTTAAATTAGCAAATTTTACGAATGAACTAGTAAAAAATTAGGTACTATTTGGTAATAATAAAATTGTAATAAAATTCAGCGTAAACATTTAATTATTTTCAAAAATTTGAAGAAATTTTTAGCCCAAGAATTCATTTATTTTCATAAATTATGAAATTCTTGACTGAAATTCAATTATTTTCAATAAAATTTTACAAAAGTATTCAATTATTTAATAAAAGTTTTAATAAAATTCTTCTGGAAAAATTCAATTATTTTCAAAAATTAGAAGAAAATATTTGCCCAAGAATTTAATTATTTTCCTAAGTAATGACAGATTTGCCCAAGAATTCAATTATTTTAATAACTTCAATTTTTTAAAAATGTTTTCTTAATAATTTTTTTAAAATTCTTGGAAAGAATTCAATTATTTATCAAATTTTTCACAAAATTGTTAATAAATATTCAATTTTAAGCAATAATTTATTAAATATTCAATCAATTCTTTATTGTTTGCAATAAAATTATTCTTAAAAATTTTATTAAAATTCATCAAAAGAATTCAATTATTTAAAAATTTTTGTCAAAATTCTTTGAGAATTTAATTTTAAGAAGCATTTAATTATTTGATAAATTATTTATTTTTACATCTAAGATTTAAATAATTGAATTCTCGTGGAATTTTCTAATAAAAATTTATTTAAAATGAATTTCAGTTAAAATTTTAGTTAATAATTGAATATTAAATGCATTATAGCTTGAATTTGTAGAAATAATTGAATTTTTGAAAAGGTTTTAAATTAAAATTTTGAAAAATCTGAATTTTTCATACTTTTTAACTAAGTAATTTGTAGAATTATTTTTTTAAGAAAGTTTAATTGAGGATTTTTTTAAAAATTATATGAAGTTTTTATTTTCTAATCTATTTAATTGAAGAATGTCTGAATAATAGAAATTTCGTAAAATTGAATTGCAAACAAAACGGGTTTAAAAATTGTCAAAGATCTTTTTTAAAAATTGTTTAAAAATAATTGATTTGAAGAAGAATTTTAGTTTTAAATTCTAGAAAATAATAATTGAATTGAAATGATGAAAATAAGTTTGTAGAACTTACAGTAACAATTGTTACTGTAATAATTATTAATGAATTAATTAATTGTTAAAATTTGTTTCAATGTTATGTTTATATTTTATAATTATTATAGTTTATTTTTTTGTATTGCTCATTAATGATCCATGTGATTGAGGGCTGAGACTTAAATGAATTCATTTATAATAAATAAACAAATAAATAAATAATAGTTTTTACTAAAAGTTATTTCAATAAATATTTTTCTGAATAATTCTTAGTCTGAATAAATATTAGTTTCAATAAATAGTAGTCACGATAAATGTTTGTTTTAATAGATATAGTAGCCCCAAATAAATAGTATTTTGAAGTATTAAATAGTTTTTTGAATTAATAAATAGTATTTTGAAGTATTAAATAGTTTTTGGAAGTATTGAATAGTATTTTGAAGTATTGAATAGTATTTTGAAGTATTGAATAGTATTTTGAAGTATTAAATAGTATTTTGAAGTATTAAATAGTTTTTGGAAGTATTAAATAGTTTTTGGAAGTATTAAATAGTATTTTGAAGTATTGAATAGTATTTTGAAGTATTAAATAGTTTTTGGAAGTATTAAATAGTATTTTGAAGTATTGAATAGTATTTTGAAGTATTAAATAGTATTTTGAAGTATTAAATAGTATTTTGAAGTATTAAATAGTTTTTGGAAGTATTAAATAGTATTTTGAAGTATTGAATAGTATTGAATAGTATTTTGAAGTATTGAATAGTATTTTGAAGTATTGAATAGTATTGAATAGTATTTTGAAGTATTGAATAGTATTTTGAAGTATTAAATAGTATTTTGAAGTATTAAATAGTTTTTGGAAGTATTAAATAGTTTTTGGAAGTATTAAATAGTATTTTGAAGTATTTAATAGTATTTTGAAGTATTAAATAGTTTTTAGAAGTATTAAATAGTATTTTGAAGTATTGAATAGTATTGAATAGTATTTTGAAGTATTGAATAGTATTTTGAAGTATTGAATAGTATTTTGAAGTATTAAATAGTTTTTGGAAGTATTAAATAGTATTTTGAAGTATTAAATAGTATTTTAAAGTATTAAATAGTATTTTCAATAAACAGCACTCCCAGAAAAAAATAGTTGCAATAAATAGCAGTCCCTGCAAATAGTTGTAAATTTGATAGTAATACATAGTAAATAGTTGTAAATTTGATATTTCTCTCAACCAATAGTACTCCAATTTGTCATCAACAATATAAACAAGTTGCAATCAACAGTGAGTAAAGAGAGAGAGAGAGATCGACCTTGAAAATTGCCTAACCTGCATAACCTGCATCGAGTTGAAAACTGGAAAATTTCCTAGAAAAATCCCGAGC